TGGGACCCTATGGAAGTAACTTACCATTACCCTTATACTCTTCATCATCCACCTACATCTCAGGCTCGGTCTTCAATTTCTTCAAAGGCCTTCCCGACAGCCCCACGACTTCCTCTTCCCCACTGACCACCACCGCACTAGACTTGATCTTACGTTTCCTCGAAACATCCGCGGCCTCCGAATCGGTCACCTTGCCCTTACCCTTCCTATCCTTCCTCTGCTTTACCAATTTTTTCAACGCCTTCCTCTTCGGGTCCTTCTCCCGCTCGTCATCTCCATCGGACCCGCTACCAACCTTGCTCCCCTCATTCCCATCTACCTTCTCCTTCTTGTTCTCCGCCTCCATGGCCTTCCTAGCTTCCACCAAAGCCTTGGCCTTGGCCTCATCTTCTAACTTCTTCTCTGTGGCCCTCCTTTCCTCCAAGGCTCTGGCCTCCTCTTCCAACCTCTGCTGCTCCACGGCGGCCGCCTCTGCCTTTGCCTTGGCCTCTACCTCCTCTTGCCGTTTCTTCTCCGTGGCCTCCCACTCCTCCCTCTCCTTCCTTGCCTTAGCCTCCACAACCTTCCTCTCCTGCACCAACCTTTTCTCTTGCCGTTCTAACTCCAGAGCCTGCCTCTTTTCCTCCTTTTGTTTCTGTGCCTTCCAGGCCTCATGAGCCTCCACGGCATCCTCCCTAGCTTTTTCCGTGGCATTCCGCTCATCATAAAAGGCTTCTAGGTCTTCAGGCCGAATATCTTCAGGCGTCGGGGCAGGCTCATACGGTTCAGGCATCACAGAAACACGGTACTCAATGGTTGATGACATGACGAACAACGAGGATGAAATTCAGAAAATAGAGGAGATGGTGGTGGTAGGAAGCTAAGAGGTGAAAAGCCATGTGACCAACCTGAAAAAATTCCATGCAGTCACACTCGGCCATCGGGATCTGCATCCTTGAGGGCAAGAACACTAAGGGGGGGATACTGTAACGAGCATGCCGACAGAAACCCGACTTCCACTCAACCCAACAAACCACAGCCTGGAATCCTACAGATTCCGATTCCCAGTTTCTATTTCATATTCCATTTCATATTCCATTTTATATTTCACTTCTCCATTACAATTTATCAATAGCCCAACATTGGTAGTGAACATGTCATCAGACCCCATCGGCTACCGACCGGTAGAATACATCCTCCGACAACCCTAGAATGTAGACCACTCTGAGTAGGAACTAGATCGGACTCCTAACTAGTATATAAGCCTTAGAATTACACTGTAGATACTCAGTTCGAATATCAACTTGGTTCAGCCCAATCTCTCTCTCTGACTCAGTCAACTCTTGTCCTCCAGTCTGCGGAACTCTGATCCATTGGACTTATCTCTTACCTCATCCCTGCCACTCTGCAGACTTCTGTCCGTATCCATCTTAGGGCTTTGGCTCAGGGGTGACATTGCTAATAGCTTCGCCTATGCCCGACACATCCAGTGGCATTCCGCTATGTGCACTTACTGCCGCAATCTTATTGGCATGATCCTAACAGAGGGGATGGACAGGAGAGGATGGCAGAGCCATGAAAAAAGTAAAGAAGGAGGGCAAACAGACCCAGTGGGTTGTCAAGCCATGTACCAAGCCAAAGGGATTTGCAGAGGCCTATGAACTTGACAAGTCCACCAAGGCCCTGTTGGCTATGGACTTCATGGATACTGCTAATGAAGAGATCCCTGTGGAAGCAGGAGCTAGCACCTAGGTTGCAGGGAAATGATCAGTCAAGAGATTCCAGTGAAATCCCTGGAGGAGGTATATAATAGTCTGTTACTTTGTAACCATTACTTTTCCTTTTTTATTTCCATACCTTTTCTTTATTGTGCCTATTCTTCTTGGGCACTTGACACTCCTTTACATTTATCCTAACAACCATACTTACTATCTTGTGGGCTCCTGCCATTCCTTTTTGCTTATCTATCTTACATGTGATTCTTGGATCTTAGTATATATACTTACAGATACCAGTGTTTTAGACCCTTGACAATTATAAACCTATCCTAGTTCTTGCTTGCGCAACAAACCTCTGAGAACTCTGAAAGTCCTGTCTTATCTTCCTTTTATCTTTTCTCATATAACTCCTAACATGTCACTCATCACACCATTGTTACACTGATCTAGTTTCTACTTGGTGTGGTCTACATTCTAGGATGGTCAGAAGTTGTAATCTACCATTTGGTAGCTGATGGAGTCTGATGACATACTCGCTACCGATGTCAGGCTCTTGATAAATTAAAATGGAGAGATGAAATATAAAATAGAATATGAAATAGAAACTGGAAATTGGAATCCATAGAATTCTGAAATAAGGTTTGTTGGAATTGAGCTTGAGAACTGGAGTTCTGTGTTGAAATACCAAATGCGCCATGCTTCTGACGGCCACCCCTCCTTTTCGTAGTATATTTTCTAAATTTAGCATTAGTATATAAAGTAGGATACCTTGTAGTCGAGCCCCTCGCACGTTTCTGAGGGTTCCCTGCTAATCCTGGAGTCCCGCTTATCTGAGCTGAACAGCGTACTCCAACACAAATGTGCAGCATAACCCTTCGAGTTCTTGCTCTACTCGCTCACTGCCGCCACCTGCTGCTTTACTGATAGCCCAACGTCGAGACCGTTGCGGCCCCTGAGACCTACAAGACCATCAGCCTAGCTATGAGAATGCTAAGGCTTACCGTTGACCCCTCTCATTTCACGAGACTCATTCCATCCATCCCCCTTCGCCATGTCTTCTGACAACTCTTCCATTCACTTTCCTAAGCTCAATGACTCAAACTATGTGACCTGGAGCATCATGATGGAAGCTGAGCTCATTCAGAAGGGCTTGTGGACTGGCATTATCGAGATCCTAGTTGATGGAGATGGGAAGACTGCTGATGAGGTTGAGAAAGAGTATCTGACAAAGAAGACCAAGCGGGCAGCCTCAAAGATGGCTGAAGCTCGTGCAGAGATGATTTTGTGAGTTGATGGTGGTCAGCTGCCACACATGATTGCGAGAGACCCGATGGAGATTTGGGAGACACTGAGGAGTGTCCACTGAGCCAGAGGATTTGTGACTTCGCTGGCATTACGCAGGAAGTTCTTGATGATGAAGAAACAGAGCAATCAGTCAATTCAGTCTTGGGTTGGAGAGATTCATGGGCAGGCATTCGCCATGCAGATGTCAGGGATTGAAGTGAGTAATCAGAACGTGATCTTGGCACTTACTCTGGGCCTTCCTTCCTCTTATGACACCGTCATCATTCATTTCAATGCCACTCCCCCCGACCAGCTCACTATCGACCACGTTATCACCTGACTGCTGAATGATGAGACTCGCCAGTCTATGAACCGCCACCGTTCCACCCAGAATGCCACAGCCACTGATGAGGCCCTTTCTGTTACTCAACATCGTTCCTGCCCTGATGCATCTGAGATCATTTGCTTTTTCTGTGACCAGAAGGGTCATTACAAGGATGCTTATCCTGAGAAGAAGCTGTGGGAATCCCACAAGCAGGAGGTTGCCGGAATGGTTGAAGGCACTGATTCAGATGAAGAAAGTTTGCTGCTTGAAGAAGACTGATTTTTCGTGTGCCCTTTTTTGATTTATTTTGATATCACCCAAGTTTTCTGTGCTTCCCTTATATCCCTTTTAGACTGCTTAGCTTACGGGGGTGCCATTCTTTCCACTGTTGCATGCCGATTTGCAGGGGTGTGTTGAAATACCAAATGTGTCACACTTCCGATGGCCACCCCTCCTTTCCATAGTATATTTTCTAAATTTAGCATTAGTATATAAAGTAGGATACCTTATAATTGAGCCCCTCGCATGTTTCCGAGGGTTTCCTGCTAATCCCAGAGTCCCACTTATCTGAGCTGAACAGCATACTCCAACATTCTGTTGGCATGCATGTTACATGGGTAAGGGATAGGCCAATATTAAGTTTTTACCAAGGATATTGAGCTATGGGTATGAAGTAAATTGTGTGTAAATAATAGTTATAATATTGATTGTTGGCTTGTTAGCTAAATCATTCTCATCTCTAGTTTATTTGGTTTATTCAGGTGGGAGAAGAAGACCCAGAACAAGGTTAATCAAGGAAACATTGGTTCTGTATTTTTGTCTCTAAAATGCCATCATACTTGAAGACTGTCAGCAGAAAAGATGGGTGTTCCTTAGAGTTACCTAGAAATAATACCCTATATAGCTGTTGAAATGTACAAGAGACTTCTAAGAGAAAATGGCACCTGGAACCAGGACAGCACTGCAGCAGAAGCCACCACTAGTGAATCATTTTCAAGTGGTACTCTCATGTCTGCTATTTTTTGAAGTACTATGCAAATAAATTATCATAATAATACTTTCCAGAGGAGTCAACATAGCAGGCTTTGCCCCTGATGTGGGCCTTGTAGGTGCTATACTGCCATGTATCCCTCCCAGCACTCACACGCATGTCATGCTGGTACCAACGCAACGTGTGCACTTGAAGAGCAAATCTTCGCATAAATCGGCCGGACGCAATTAATGGCCCGGTATCGGAGAGAAGGTAGCCGGAACACGTGATACGCAGTTGATAGACCGTCGGAACTCGGCGCGGCAAAAGAGGATCGAGCGCCGAGACTGAGCGAGAGAACGTCGAGGTCTGGAATGAGTTGCGTCGCTTAGAAGCCCGGTGCGGAAGGATGAAACGAATCCGCACCTTGTTAACCTGCAGTGGCGTCGTGTCCACGTCATCTACACGTTTCGCACCCCGAGTGTTGATGAGGTCTTCCGAAACTCGGACAATGATGTTGCAATGTCGGTGGGCGTTAGCGAGCGACAATGGTGACCAAAGGCAAGGGCGGATGCTTGTAAGCGCTGTGGTTAGCGAGAGACGTAGGTAGCGCTTATGCGATTGCCATGAGGAGAGGGAACGATGGTTCCTATCATTCTTGATTTACGAGAGGATTAGAAGCTTGAGAGGCTATCGAATGAGCGCTAAAGGGAAGAGGATAACGGAGTGACAAAGGGTGACATTCGAAGACGGGTGATATTGATCAGCGCAGCCGAGTCTTTTGAAATAGCAGCAAGAACTCAACGGTAAAGAAAGGGAGGAAGCAGCCCTTTGAGTAGATGGAGGTTGGAGCGAAAAATTTGCGAATAATCAGATTGTGGCTGAAATTACGGCCGGCGGAAGGAGATACCCGATTTGGAAGAAAATGATGGGAGTGGTCGGAAGTGCATATGGCGGCGAGGAGCAGGTTGACCTTGACTGGCTACCATGCTCGTCTCTTCCCAAGCAAATCTCAAAGACCTCCTCGCAAATCCAAATCCACCAAGAATGCATGACGACAGCTGGCGAAGCCGTCGCAGTCAGTCACAGCGTCCCGCCCTTCGCCTCGACATTGGCCACCCCACCGTCGTCCCTACCGTTCCCAAGGTTCGCCCTTTACCAGCCCCGCCGCCACCACAGACGGCACTCACGACGACGGCGAGCATCTTCACTTCAGCAGCATCGACACCGACGACCGCTGCTTCCTCCGCTTTTTCGCCCGTCCTCCGTCCCCTTCCTCCGCCGCCACTGTTGCCGACCATCAAGCTGCCCCCAGCGACGCCCACTACGCCCACCAGAACGCGTGTCGCACCTCGCGGTATGCGTACAAAGCGTTCTCGCTCTGAAAGCAGCAGTGCCCCACGAGCACAGGCAGAACTCGTATTTGATCCCAAAGTCGGCTCATGGGTCGTCGTTCCCAGTCGCCGTCAGACAGAGGTCGCAGTCACTCCTCTCAATGTGCAGAAGCGTCAGGCAGAGCTCTTGTCGCCAAGAAGTGTCAAGAGTAAAGGCAAAGGCAAAGCGCGTGCCGTTGACCAGATGGAGTCGCTCTCAGAAAACGAGCCGCATCCTCTACAGGGTTTGTCTCCTTACACCCGCTCTATCTCACGAAAGCCCCCTTCGTCCTACAGGCCCTACCCTCATGCCCTCCCGCCTATCCCGCCTCCTCCGCTGCCTTCGACGACAGACGCCCCGCCCCCTCTACCCCCAAAACCTACCCCAGATGTTATATACGAGTACGGTGCAGCAGACGATATTCCCTCAGATAGCTCTTCTACCTCTTCCACAGAGAACGAGCTCTACCGTTCTTACGTCGACGATGGCTTTGAACGTAGCCGGTCTCCCTCTCCCATCCAATACGCTCGCCGCAATTCTATTGAGGGGCTCTACGATGATGATGATGACGACGACGACTATCTCATTCCCAGCAACAGGCGCAGGGTTGCAGCCCGCAGTGCAATCCTAGAACCACTTGTCTTCTCCGACAATCCTTCCCCCGTTGATCCCTTTGACGACTGGGACATTGACGACCAACCACGACGAGGCAGACAGTCCGAAATCGGACATGGTTCTACTTATTCTTTCACTTCCTCCACCCAGACCCGCGGCAGAGCTCGTTCTGCAGAGAGCGTCCTTCGTTACGTGGATATGGATATATCATCACCGCCTCAATTTACCTTTGAAGAGGAGGACACAAGTAGAGGGCGTCAGAGGGACCGTAAGAAGGATAAGGATAAGAAGGGCGCGTTTGGCTTGAGAATATTTGCTGACTAGAGGTGTGCTTTCTTCAACCCTTACCACTGGACTATTGTCTAACCTACCTCCCAGCAATGCATTACAACTAATTTTATGCTTGATACATACATACATACTCATACCCTCTCCGTACATAGATCAACCAACCCCGACACTTCATTTTTGGCATTTACATTGTTCGTCGACACACGCCACCTTCGTCCGGATGTACTCTACAAATCAAAATCAAAACACGAAACACGAAAAAAGTGGGCGGCACAAGGTCTTCGGTGCAAACTTGATGCGCCCCGATACGGCTTTTTCGCCTTGGACCTTTACATCGGCCACCCCTCAAAGATACTTGCCGTTGGAACCTGCAGACCTTTTGAGAAAAGGACTGGGAACAAATTCGCCTTCCGTCCGAGGGGATGTCGACACCTTCCCTGAACGGCCTGTCCTCGACTCGAAGGAGATAATAAACAGCATACCTTCTGCCTAATGTCTGAAACACTGGATCATATCAATGAAATTACCCGACGGGCTCGGGCGGGTGCTGACGCATTCCATCGCCGTTCATCAAGGAACGTTGAGACCTTCGATGAGCATAGGTTGCTCTTGTGTAGAGGTACACTTCCGCCTTTGGACGATCGGCGGAACGGTCGATCTTCGTGCATGGTTAATCAGCGGTATACGGATACACTATCGGATAGGCTGACATGTAGGCAGTATCAGCTCTACTTCTCTGCATTCATTCGTGTTCACATAGTCGAAAACTCGGACGCCAAATGCGGCTGTACCTTCGTTCTCTGGTAGGCTTCTCACCCTGCCGGAGAATGAAGCGCCGGATGAGATATACAGGGATGATGGGGATATCACTCAAGCAGGGTATAAGCGTTCATCAGACAGATTGGTTCTATCAAGAGACTAGCGGAAGTGACTTATGGGTATAAAGTGTGATATTATCGGACAAACTTGAACGCTTGCGCCGTACGAAAATACATAATTACTCTGAGCAGGTCCGTCAAGCAACGGGTAAGCATGGCTGGGCCCAAGCTCGAGTCCTGCAGGGCCCACCTGTCTGGCCGGATTCCTCGCAAGTACTCCGTCTGTTTGATATTTCTCATAAGCGCGGAGTCTCGAGAAACCCGTTAGGTGACTCTCCTTCTCCATCTTTCTCAGGCTTCAGATTTGGTAGCCTCCTGTGCAATGCAGTGCAGTGAGTCCACTTTCCCGAGGCCGAGTCCTTCAACCATACAAGACGTACAAGTTCAAATGATCTGGGCTGTGCGTAGTTATTTGAGAGACAATGGTTTCATAGTAACATAGGCTAACAATGCAGGTATCTTCTGGTTCCCTGGTGGAGATGATTATTTGTACCACGATCAGCGAACCATCTCCCCATGGGCGCCGTCGATTCAAATCAATCAGCTATGGATTTGAGTTGAGATAAACGCTGATAATTAGTAAGTAGTTACCAGTTACCAGGACGTGCACAAGCTTCAAAAGCGTCTGGACTCGAGATAGCTTAGTGCGCGCGCCCCCAACAGTGTTCTATCAGAATGACTCCGCCTCAATATGTTGATTTCAGACGAGCCTGCATCTCCTTGACTAATACGGTTTTCGTGTACCGGTACGAGCGGGCGTTTTATTACCTGAGTATACAATAATAATGCATCGCCTACCACGGGATCCTACTACCGTCGACGTTGATGAACTCCCCTCCATCTTTCTCCCTCGTCGAACCGTCCACAATATCAATCAGCCTCAATGCCGCGTCCCCTGGTTCCATCGCTATCATATCTTGGATGGGTGCCAAGGATCCAGTCTTATCCATCTCGCGGTTGGCCCGCGCTACAACTGATGAGTAACGAACTGATGACATCCAAGATAGAAAGATCTACACATATCTGTTTTGACGATCCCAGGGGCCAGCGGGAAACATACTAGGACCGGCGGAACAGATGGTTTTTGATTAGTATTCCATCTAGACGACAATAGCCATATTTACCCAGCCAATCATTCTCGAAATGGATCTTCCTTGCGATATAGTTGAGGGCGGCTTTGCTGGCGCCGTAGCAGGTGTACCCTGCGGGGAGTTCGATGTATGCGGTTAGACTGGCAGCCGCCGATGAGATTGGAATGAACTTGGGTGTGGCGCTCTTCCGCAGGAGATTCGCGAGGGACTGGAAGAGCACGAGAATGCCGGTAGTGTTGATTTCAAAGTGCTCCCGCAGCGCGCTCGGTGGAGTATCGAGGGCGGAGCCCATGTAAGTAGCGATTCCTAGGCGTAAGGTTTGTTGGATGACCCAGATACATATAATGCCACACTTACCTGCACATGCAATCACCACGTCAACTTTGCCAGTACTTGCTTTCAATATCCTTTGCCAAGGCAGTGTTACCATCGAGGTCGCCTGAAGTGTACTTGACGGAATAGACGTTCTGAGCGCTGTGTTTGAAGGCAGAAGGATCGCGAACCGCCGCGAAGATTGCTACGTTCGGCTTGGCGGCGAGGGCGTTTACAAGGGCAAGGCCTGCAGCGCTCGCCGCTCAGGAGATGATACACTAACTAGGAATAACCTACCTATGCCACGGTTGGCGCCAGTGATGAGATATACGGTGGTTGTGGCACCGGTGGACATGATGGGGGGCAAATTAAGAGTCGATGGCGTTTCAGAAGAATTTAAGTCATGACAGAAGAGAAGCTATTGATACCTTCGGCGTCCGGTATTACTGGGCATATCGGCCAGGGTGCTCTTCGAGATGGGATTATACAACATCTTTCTGCCCAGATGTGTTGAGTATGAAAGACTTAGGAGACCCCGGTAAGACCAAGAGACTAAGAACGTGACCACGAGTCCACAGCACCATTTCAAGAGGATATTCAGCCAGTACAATCTTTGAACGCTGGTAAGATGAGAAGTCGCCCGCACTTATCAATTGATCAAGTGGGGGCTTGCTCTCAAGCTATCGCCAGAGAGGCAGTTGCACCGAGAAGAGGGTACCAAGACAATTACAGGACGTTCGGTAGTGCGATACAGAGTAAAGATTAGACGAAATCGAAGCTAAAGTAAATATCATTCACTGGTTTCAAAGACTTTGCAAGTCGATTATAGCTATGGAGCCAGAGCATATACATACGTCAGGATTAACAGAACCACGCCACCGCAGTAGATATTTGGAATCAAGTGGTTTGATGGATATGAAGATGAAGCTTGATGGTGTCTGGACAAAGCGACGACAAAGTGGCTTGTTCAGCCTCAGGGTCCGGGGGAGTCCGGGCCGCTCATCCACGTTACTTCTCAGTACCATTCTATCTAACTCCGCTTGGTTTTTTAACTCGTGGATCCCTGAAGCCTGAACGTTAACCGGTCATTCTGAACTTCTCGAGACATTGTCCTTGGATGGGGAAATTTCTATTGGCTTCGTTAATGTGCCTTGTGTGCTTTTGGGGCTCTATGTTCCTGCCGCCCGACGTGCCATCCAATTGAATTGCCCGGATAGCAGATATCCCAAATGTCCCGCCTCCCGACATACTTTGCAATTTTTCATCCTTCTGCTCGGATATTCCGGATTTTCTCCAAATGTCCTACCACTTTGGCGCCTAAATTAGACGCCGAACAGCCTTTACTTTTGCCGATGGCAAGGCTTGCCAGCCACGGGTTGAGCTATCCTTATGACATTCGACGGACCTGTATCAAGCTTATTGGTTCACCTGAGACCTCTTTCCTTGTATCGACTGGCTTTTATGCATGAATACACTCCCGTCGCCGGCTATGGTCCGTGGGGTTGACTGACTTTCCTCTCCTCAGGGTAAAGAATACCCAAAAGGAGAGGGGAAAACGCCACCAAGAACTGCCCCCGCTGAACCTGGGAGTACTTGATACAGTATACGTCCTGGGGTCATTGTTCTGTGACTGATTTGTCGTGATTGTATTCTTATCGATACGCATTACTTATTACTTGATGCTTTCGAGTGGCGCTGAGCCGGATATCCAAAATCTGCAATCTCAGCTACGTCTTTGTCCTGTCTGGTAGCCCCACACCGATCTCAAGCGATAACAGCGTTCACAGGTTCTCTCCTCGGCGGCAGACGGAGCTGTTTCTCCAATGTTCTGCCGCATCCGTGTTTGTTTTCTGAACCCGATCATGACAACTAGCTCGCTGTCTCGACTCTTATTCTAATTCTGAAAAGGGGCAACAAATAGATGAGAATACTTATTTTCAAGATGCATTCGGCATCGAGTTACAACGCAACTTGTCCTGTTACGTTATTCAGGGACGGCTCGTCATGATGACCGAAGACGAGATTTGCATTTGCATTTGCACTTGTGCAGTTGTTAGGAGGCCCCCTTGCAGTGTGAGTATCTGAAAGATAGACTGTGTTTTGTAGGACCGGTCCGACTTGTAAATGAGAATTGGAGAAACTAAATATATGTTCAAAAAGAAGCATCACGTAAACGGAAGGGCCGTAAGAAAAGTATGACGTTCATTTTGGTGTGCCGCGTGATCTGCATCATGGATAAATGCAGACGGCTCTGCCTTCAACCACCATTATCTCTCCGTCTTCGCCTTGCCTCAGTGCTCGTCGACGTTCTCGACGATGGCGACCCCAGATCCCTTTAGATCCCACCTTATTGCCCTTCTCTCTGTCTATTCTCTTGGTCTATCCACCGCCCCGCTTCCCAAGTACAATGGGCCTACTGACTGGCAAACCGACTCTATTTTACGCTCCTTAGCAGACTTTTCGTCGCGCATGTATGCTGCAGAGAAGGCTATCCACGGTGTCGACAAGCAGGAACGCCAGAAATGTGATCCCAAGCGGTCGACGTCTTCCCCGGAAACAGACCCATCCAAAGCACGCTCCTTAGCTCCAACATCCATCAACCTTGGTGATCTTCGGACTCCACATGACCCCTCCTCGTTTTTTAACGACGACTTTCTGGGTCCTCCTGTCGAGGCAGCTGCTACCTCCTCTGCTCCGCCTACTTCTTCTCCGGAGTACATATCGTGTCCGAGATGTGGTACTCGAACCACTGATCCTCGCACGATACACAAGATATCCTCTTTTTCGACACGTATATCCTCTGGATCCCCTTCGGTCGTCACAATCGGAGGACCTTTGGATATTGCGGCTAGAGTGAGCGGGATGAGCGCAGTCGAAGAGCTGAAGCTCCTCAAAGATCAAGTCCAGGACGTTGCTCGCGTCTGTAATGCTGTCGCCAACGGAGATCTCAGTCAGAAAATCACTGTCGAGGTTCGAGGAGAAGTCATGGTAAAACTTAAAGACGCTATCAATACCATGGTACATCTTCTTTGTCTTCTATCTGCTTACTCGACTCACCCTCATCAGGTTGAGAAACTAGGTCAATTCGCAAAGGAAGTTACCCGCGTCTCTCAGGAGGTCGGAACAGAAGGGTCTGTACCGATCTTCTTTACTCGAATCTACTTACTAAATTTTCCTCCAAGGAAACTCGGTGGCCAAGCTTTCGTTCCAGGGGTCGAAGGCACATGGCAGGAGCTTACGGACGTCGTTAATGTCCTCGCCGGTAACCTCACCAGCCAAGTCCGGTCCATTGCTCAAGTCACTAAAGCCGTCGCTGTTGGAGATCTATCGAAACAGATCGAAGTCGACGCGAGGGGCGAGATTCTGGATCTCAAGAACACTGTCAACGGAATGGTCGTTAGACTCCGTGCATTAGCTGCGGAGGTCACGAGGGTCACGCTAGAAGTCGGAAGTCAGGGAAAACTCGGTGGGCAGGCTAATGTTCCGGATGTAGAAGGGGTTTGGTTCGAGCTCGTGAAGAATGTTAACCGCATGTGCTCGTCGTTGACGGATCAAGTGCGGTCGATCGCTTCAGTCACGACCGCCGTTGCAGAGGGCGACCTGACGAGGAAGGTCGAGATCGAGGTTGAAGGTGAAATGCAGCAGTTGAAGACGACGGTCAATTCCATGGTGGACTGACTTGAATGCCTTCGCTGGCGAAGTCACTCGTGTCGCTTTGGAAGTTGGAACGCAGGGTATACTGGGTGGTCAAGCAACGGTTGAAGGTGTCAAGGGAACGTGGGCGGACTTGACGAAGAACGTGAACAAAATGGCAACCAACTTGACAGACCAGGTTCGGTCAATATCCAAAGTCACAAAAGCCGTGGCTATGGGAAATTTGACTCAACTCGTTGATGTTAATGCTCAAGGTGAAATGTTAGATCTCAAAATCACGGTCAATAGAATGGTGGAGGCCCTCAGCGTCTTCGCAAGCGAAGTTACCCGTGTTAGTTTGGAGGTTGGCACGGAGGGGAAATTGGGTGGCCAGGCTGATGTTCCCAACGTCGTCGGGACCTGGAAGGTATGCGTTCACGTCAAATCCACTCAAAACGCAATAGCTCATCTTGATACAGGCTCTAACAGATAATGTGAACTTGATGGCGATGAATCTCACAAATCAGGTACGGTCGATTGCTGCAGTGACCAAAGCTGTGGCTGGTGGCGACCTATCGAAGCGCGTGGAGATTGATGTGAAGGGAGAGTTCCTAGAACTAAAGGAAACCGTAAATCAAATGACCTCATCATTGAGTGTTTTTGCGGATGAGGTGTGTCTTTTCATCAATCATCTATGTCATATATGAACGTTGCATCTTTATCAGGTTACCAGAGTAGCCAGGGAGGTTGGTACTGAAGGCAGGTTGGGTGGTCAAGCTCAAGTGAAGAATGTTGCCGGAACATGGAAAGCTTTGACGGACAATGTCAATGTTATGGCTAGTAACGTATGCGTTTTACATCTTGGTTTCCCCCAAATCTTCATTTATCTCTCCACAGCTGACGAATCAAGTGCGAGCTATTGCCATTGCTACAGTGAGTTCTCGTTTCGGATACTATCTCCGCGCCGCATTTATAATTTGTTCATTCTGTAGTCAGCTGTGGCACACGGTGATCTGACGCAAAAGATTGTGGGCCTGTCCGTTTCTGGAGAGATGTTAGAGTTGGTCGAGACGATCAATAAGATGATCGACCAGCTGGATATCTTTGCCGTCGAGGTTAAGAAGGTAGCTCGAGAAGTGGGGACAGAAGGTAAACTGGGTGGTGTTGCAGATGTGGGAAATGTTCAAGGTATCTGGCAAGAGATAACGTACGTATTTTTCCTCGTTCACGCGCGGTTTCTCAAGCGAATTAATCTAAGGCTTTCTGTGAATGCCATGGCAGGAAATTTGACAACCCAAGTCCGTGGGTTTGCCCAGATCTCGGCTGCTGCAATGGATGGCGACTTCACTCGGTTCATCACCGTCGAAGCAAGTGGCGAAATGGACTCGTTGAAGTCGCACATTAACAGCATGGTGTTCAACTTGCGGGATAGCATTCAAAAGAATACTGCCGCGAGGGAGGCTGCCGAGTTGGCCAACAGAAGTAAGAGTGAGTTCTTGGCGAATATGTCGCATGAGATCCGGTAAGAGATCCCCCTCCGCTGGTTGTTTCTTTGTGCTGAAAGAAGATGTGCAGAACGCCTATGAACGGTATCATTGGAATGACCGAACTGACCTTGGATAGTGATCTCAACCGATCGCAGAGAGAGAGTCTCCTTCTTGTCCACAGTCTTGCGCGATCACTACTATTAATCATTGATGATATTCTGGACATCTCAAAGAGTAAATCCTTCTTCCCTGTCAGCGCACTTGATGCTGATGCTGATGTTTGATAGTCGAGGCTGGACGGATGACAATGGAAGCCGTTTCATTTTCCCTACGCCACACAGTTTTCGGAATGCTCAAGACGTTAGTCGCACGTGCGTCGCAGAACAATCTGGACCTAACTTTCGACATTGCACCCGACATCCCCGATCATCTCATTGGCGATTCATTACGGTTGCGCCAGGTGATAACGAACCTTGTTGGTAATGCGATCAAATTTACGCCTCCGAAAATTTCCCGCAAAGGACTTGTTGCATTGAGCGCACGACTGGTGGCGTTGGACGACCACAACGTAACGCTCGAGTTTTGTGTCACCGACACGGGGATTGGTATTCCCAGGGCCAAATTGAATATGATCTTTGATACGTTCTGTCAAGCGGATGGATCTACTACCAGGGTATATACCCGTCTCCCTTTGTATATGTTCTAACTAACACTTTCTGTACAGGAATACGGCGGAACTGGACTTGGGTTATCAATATCGAAGCGCTTAGTGTCACTGATGCAAGGTAATATGTGGGTCGAGAGCGAAATAGGCAAGGGGAGCAAGTTTTTCTTCACAATCAGCTCTCGGATAAGTCATGTGTCAATGGAAAATATCATGACTAAGATGACGCCGTTCACGAACCGGACAATATTGTTTGTCGATACTCTGGGCGACAAGACCGGAGTAGTGGATCGAATAGCGCAACTTGGTCTGAAACCCCATGTTGTACACTCAGTGACCGAAGTTGCCAACGAATCACAATGTCCGCATATCGATACGGTTGTCGTGGATTCTCTTACTGTGGTAAGTACCGAAGTTTGTCCTTAGAACTGTAGCTAACATTACCACATTGCCTTAGACCGAGAATATCCGCGAACTGGATCACTTCAGATATGTACCCATCGTGTTGCTTGCGCCTTCCGTGTCTCGACTCAATTGTACGCTTGATACTACGATGTTGCGTGCCCCACTCATCCTTCGGTAGTGAAATGGTGCTTGGACAATAGCATCACAGCACAGCTAACGACGCCGGTAACGCCCCAAGACCTTTCATTTGCGTTAATAGCTGCGCTGGAGTCCAACACAGTGAACCCTGTGACTGTGCAGAGCGACCTACGTTACGATATCCTGCTCGCAGAGGATAATTTAGTGAACCAGAAACTAGCGGTGAAGATTTTGGAAAAATACGGGCATTCTGTTGCAATTGCGGAGAATGGAAACCAGGCTGTTGAGTTGTACAAGAACAGCGTGCTTCAAAACAAGCCGTTTGATATAATACTGGCAAGTATCTATTCTGAACACCTTTCTGTCTACTGACAGGGAGTAGATGGATGTGTCTATGCCGTTTATGGGTGGAATGGAAGCGACAGAAATCATTCGCTCGTATGAGTTACTAACCGGACTGTCGCGGATACCGATTATAGCGCTGACGGCGCACGCTAGTGGGTAGCAATGCGTCCTCTATTGTGTTTATGCTCATGTCTATGTAGTGATTGGTGACCGTGAGCGATGCCTGCAGGCAGGCATGGACGACCATATTACCAGTACGATTTATCTTGCCAGTGCTTTATCAATGCTAATCATGACTGACAGAACCACTTCGTCGAGGAGATTTGCTCAACGCGATACATAAGCTTGCGTCTGAAAAGAATCCCTCTCGTAATTTGCTACGGCGCGCACCCGCCTCGATATGAGCAACGCGTGCTTCATACCCGATTTAAAGAATAACATCAGCTGTACCGGATATTGTTCATGATTTTGCTGTGTGCATGTATAATTTTTGTACCGTTATCGCTATGTTTTCCTTTACATGATACCATATATAATACAACATTCATTACACCTCGCCCAAAATAGACTTCACTTTCTGAACTGCCTCTGAATCGACTTGGTTCCTGCGGAAGGTATATCCCTCTCTGCCTTTCATAACGGCTTCCACCAAGTCACTTAGTACGGATGGGAGCTCTGTGATATCACCAACGGGATTCTTCAAAGTCTTCTTCTCCTTGTCATAGCCCTGCACGCTGACCTCCTTCATGTCAGTACCAACGGCAATCAAGAGCCGATCGATGGGCTTCTCAGTGACAGGATGCTCAACCCTCCACGTATTCCTGAAGGAGCCCGTGTCAGGGAGCTCCACCGCCTCGTTGGCGAGAGCCATCATGTTGGTGTAATCCTCCTCTGAGAGAACAAGGACGTTGCCATTGGCATCGATGGCGACTTTATCTTTGAATACCGCGAGGGTGAAGCCGAAATGCTCGACCTGGCTGTTGCGCAGGACGACGAGAGCGAGGTTGGCGCGAACCGGAGAGTACGTGTCGGGGGAAGGGTAAGGCTGGGCACGTGTGCGCCAAGTTGTTAGGTCGGAGGATGAAGAGAGGAGGGCAGACATGGATTGGTGAATCTGGGTTTTGAAGTAGTAAATGGTGCAGGTACCCAGGAGTACGCAGAACAAAAGCGAGCGCAGCATTCTTTATACGCCGCCAAGTGCTGTTAAGCTCTTTTATAGCTTCCCGATAAGTAGCACATGCTGTTCCACATGTAGTCAGTCCTACAGCCAAGTGGTCGTGACGCGGCTATCTCGCAGGCAATCACGGACCACGAGTGCAATCTAAGGAAACCAAAGGAAACTCGAAGAAATTGCCAAGTGAATCAGATTCATGGGACACGACGTAACTACCAGTGTCCGTCGATGTTTGAACATCAGAAGAGAAGTGTCTGGAACTGAATACATTGAACACGACGCGAATATGTTGGTATCGGACGGCTTTCATTGTTAGAACCAGAGCACACTCCATATAATTAAAAGAAGCAACAGGTATGTAGTCCGAAGACTACAAAATGAACGGGAACATCGCTTTCCTTCCTCTCGGATATTCCTTCCCAAATTCCTTCTTGTAGTTTCTGTGCTTAGCCATTGCCCAGATTGCCATTTGGCCAGCACCCGCTACAGTGAAAAAGCATGCCGCCAAGCTCCTCGACATAACGCAAACAACGATCCAACCTAAAACTTCGAACATGTAATTGGGGCACGACACCAATCTAAACCCGTAGCCCTTCGGAATTCCCCGCTTCTTGGTTCCTGCGGGTCGTAAATTGCAAAGAGTCAAGTGCGTTGACAGGTTGGATAGTTCGAAGAACTATCCGTGAAGTGAGATATTGAAGAGAAGAAAGAGAAGCATCACGCACGGTCCACAATCCAGTGCATGCCCATAGGAAACGTTCATCTTCCATGACGCTTCCTTTGATGAATGTAGAGTCTGCTGAGTATTTACCCCGATACACGTCAACGGCGATGAATAGGCCTAGGGAATTCTGAGATCTTGTATAGGTGGTAGAGGACACGGGTACGTACCACCGAGAACATGGTAGTGGAATGAGCTACGCGGAATATGTAAGTACAGAAGCATTCAAAGCGACAACCACACACTTTTTGAATATATTTCTGGCTGGCATAGTGCCGTGGGAGAACCGGTGAACACTAGCCAAACGTGATGAGGCCAGTCCAAGATTCTGATGTCCAACTCACAACAAGGTCTCCAGCTCGCGTTTTGCGTAGTGTAGCATGACAAAGGTGAAGATATATCTGGGCAACGATGAGCGGCAGAGGCGCTACGAGAAAACTGGGCCATACTTTTGCAGTTCACTGTGTACGACCGCTTTCCCGTAGAACAGTTGGGGGAAGTAATAGAAAAGAGGATGAATGAGCATAGGACCAAGCTAACATAAACGATAAGACAGCCACAGCAATAGAAATATAGCACCCACATATTCAATGATAAATACGAGCTTCCAGCTGAGTTGAGGCCCCAAGTCCTTCACCTCCAGGTTGCCTCCGTTCCCCAAGCCAACTTCCGATAGCTTTACCTCATCCACGAGAGCCTTTTTCTCGTTCTTTAGGGTTATCTTCTGCCTCGACGCGTAGAACTGCCATGTTGTCAGGACCACAAGAAGATAACCGTACACGCGTCAAACCTTGGGGATTTTTTGAGCAACCTTGGCCTTAACATCGCCCACAGTGGCGTCGGAAGAGACATCGACGGTCAAGGGAAGTCCTTTGCGAGCGAACGGAGGAGGCCTGTTGGCTACAGCAGATATTGTCACCGAAACCATTGTGCACGGGGCGAAGGAAGCAAATCCTGATTACGTACTGGCAAATCAATCAAGTACGCTTGCTAATAATACAATACATAGTTGCTAATGTTACCAATACATGTACCACTAATTGCAAAGTATTGGTAAGTAATCCTGGGTTCTCTCGGCATTATTTGACAGATGACTTATATTATTCAGTACTATAAAGAGCACCCTTGTTCCTATGAGCCAGCATAATTCTTTCCCAAAAATATGTCATCCTTAGTAGCCTTGATCATCGGTGCTGGGTCCAACGTCGGTCGAGCCATCGCTCTCACCCTCCAAAAGCACCAGTACAAAGTCGTGCTTGGCTCACGCAACCCTGACGTCGAAGCCCTGAAGAAGGACGGGTTCTTCCCCGTCAAAGTCGACGTGACCAAGCCAGACAGTGTCGTGCAGGCGTTCAAGACCGTCTCTGACGAGCTTGGCCCTCCTAATGTCGTGATTTTCAATGGTACGTTTGAGATAATCAAATTCCGTTCATCATCAGATTTCAATCTTACTCACCGAACGCTGCCATTCAGCTGCGGTGTTCAAGCAGCCCAAGGTTGCCTCGGATCCCCTGTCGGTGTCCCTCGAGGACTTTGAAGAGTCCACAGCGGTAGGGAATAGCATCTTTGCCGCCGCTCAGCAGTTCCGTTCTTCGACCCTAGCCTCAAACGTACCGAAAGCCTTTATTGTTACCGGAAACAAGGGTCCATTTGTTCACCATGCCCACGGACCGTACTTCGACCTAATAAAACAAAAGACACAGGCTGTGTATCTCATTGAACAATTCTGGAGCGCCTATACGAAGAATAAAGAGGACCCCAGGTACGTTCGTAGGTCCTAATCCATATCGACGATGATCCTCAGTCCAGAGATAGGTTCCACTTTGCGTTCCTTGTTTCCGACCAAGGCGAATACCCGGAATATCCAGACTTCCTCAAGAGCGGGCCCGCCCATGCTGAAGCGTATTGGCATCTCATAAGCAGCGAGAAGCCCGAAGGATGGGACTATAGGTTTGTCGTCTGCGTCTTTGCTTTTCCATACTGGGTTCTCAATGCTAGGTCTTCCACAGGTTCACCTTAAATGGGAAGCAGTTTGTTAAACAGTAATCGTTGAATAGATATTGTTCGACATAGGAGAAATCAGCTGCATGTATAATGTACTTTTCGTCCCAGATGTCTCCTTGCAAGTGAGGTCCTCGGTGGAGACGCCTGCCAGCACCGTCCAAGTTGAAACGAAGCTTCTTCTATCACATGAACCTAGCATCGATCACGTTGAGCTAGGGCGCTTAGATAGCCCATCGCCCATCTACCAGCCAACCATGGCAGAGCACGAGCACAAACCCTACGGGCAACCCGAATCCCCTCAAAGCCAACAAATCAGGCAGATATGGCAAGGTTATCAAGAAGAACTTGCCAGATACGAAAAGGAATTCATCGCTCGGCGTACAGAGACGGTGAGCATGATGAGGAGTGCTGGGACTGACGCGCCGGACCTCATAAGAGAGGTGGAGATCGTCTTGGAGAAGCAGCACCTGAAGAAAGTTCGGGACATATTCTTCAGCAAACTTAGAGAAGCCAATTTGAGGGTCTCTGACTGGAAGAGAACGAAGCAGGAACAAAATGAAGTCGCGCAGTCCTTTCGATGGAATGGGCATCAGTTGCGGCTGTATGAGTTTAATTTCCGTGCGGAGGAAGACAGCGATGGGGAGATATTGTATCCTGATGCGGTCATTGTGCGTATGGCATGCCTTATTATCTCAGACTAGGAATAACGTCGCTAATAGCAAGATCGATCCGACGCTAATCCCATAGCAGAGAGCGCTTTAAAACAATGCACAGAGACGATCAAAGAATATTATCAAGACGCATATGTCGAGACTCTCAATTTCCAAAAGCATCTAAAAGCAATACCGCGGGAAGAGAGGCAGGATGTAGCAGTCACATCACAGGCGAGGTTTGAAAGTGAGATGAAGAAGCTGGTATCTCGCAAGCGGGAGGAATGTCAGTTGAAAGTGTCGCAGAAGCTGAAGGATGAGGTAGAAGAGGGCCAGAAACGGTGGCAGGAAAAAAAGAAAGAACGCCAGAGACCGACACTACCCCAGAACTAGGAATGAGAGCGAATTGGAGAATATATAGCATTTAGCAATACTCAAAGAACAAATTCCAGGTCGATGGTATGATTCGACCAATGACTAGGGTTATTAGACGTTACAAATAGCGCCCGAAGTCGTCGAGGTATATCCCTTGTACAGCACAATTGACCTGATCTCAGTGATCGAATCGGCAGTCGGGGGTCCATTGGACCAGTACGGGTCACCGCTGCTCCAAGCATTCCAGATCCAGTAACCACTTTCCCAAGGCACCTATGAGAGAGTCATGATAGGCCGACTTATATGAAGTATTGAACTCACGTTGTCCGAAAATTTGTTTATCTGAGTACCATCGATATAGAAGGCTGTCGCTGAAGGAGACCACTATGTGGAAGCGTCAGAATGGTAGCATACGCGATGACAAAAGATAACGCACATCGATACGGTATTCTAAATAACGTATAGCAGTTGAGTACAACGACTTTCTTTCACTATATACCATCTGACTCACCATGAAAGTCCTGGGATGGATCGAATGTGAATTCCACGTTGTCAGTAGTTTTGGTGCCGCCCTCGGTAGTAGCCTGGAAAAAGGCTAAGGTTCATAGTACACATGCTTCCAATAAGGCAACGCTAACCTGATTGGTCGTCCAAATCCCAGCAGGAACATAATTGTTCCCAGTGAGTGTTGTAGACGTTAAGATTTCGGTATCAGTCTCTTGCGTGTCGCTCACTAGTAAGAAATTGGTTAGAGCTATGCAATGTCAGAACGAGAGGGAACTAACAATAGAAGAAATTTCCCTCGCAGACCCCAGCCGTAGGGCTGGATTTGAGTACCGTCCGCACAGAGGCGTACGCAAATGTATCATCTGTCACCACCTCAGCAGATTCGACACTGCCGCTCCCACTGTAAGATGTGACTTTAAGCTGAAGAACACCGTTCCCGAGAAGAACGTTCTCGGGTACAAAATCGTGTGCGATTGGAGTGGAGGCAACGCTGTAGTCACTGATGGAGAGACCATGCTGCCTGATTGGGAGTAAGAATATGCGATTAATAAGTCAATCTGAAGACTCACGAAAGGAAGTTTGCAGCGTTCCCACCAGACTGGACAGAAGTGAAGTCGACGGAGACTTGCTCGGTGAACCCGCCAGAGATTCCCGAGACGACATAGGTATCACAGGAGCTCTGGCGAGAAGAGAGGGCCTGCTTTCCCAAGACGTACGGTAGGAGAAGAAAGACAGCTGAAGCGAGTGTGAGGGCTGTCATTGTTGTTGGGGAAGACTATGACACACCTGGTCCGACGCCCCTTTATAACGCTTTGAACGACTCCGCTGAAACTGGATGATTATCATATGCGCATTGGAAGGGTTTCATGGTTCTAGAGCGATATAGCTTCGGGAGCCTAAGACCATTTGCAAAATCACGAGTTCTTCCTGAATGCACTAACAGCCAGTGGTCCTGCAAACTTCCGCCAATAGAACTGTAGGAGTGTCCATGTAAGGAGCGGGCTGGACGACAATGCTTGAGAATATCTTGAGGGTACGCTCTACATGCAGTGGGCCAAGACCTCGTACCTAGGAAGTGATTGATGGAGTTGCATTGGTTACCGTCACTCGGAGGAAATTCAAAAGAAAACCATTTCACGTTTCGCATTGTGTCGTGGTGTATCCATTACTTCAGGGAAAGAGATAACCTGATACCCAGGGGGGGGGGGTCCATATATTAGAGGAACCCCCCAATCTCATGGTTTTTAGAACTCCGAAAGAATGCCGGTGACAAGCCGGCACGTGCTCCACGTGCCAAATCACCACTGTTCCACTTGAAGTCATTTCATGAAGGCATTATTACTACTCTAGTTATCTGCTGCATGTAGGATAGCAACACAGAAGCACTAATAGATGAATAATCAACAATAACATCCTCTTTGAGCCGTATAGAGAGTTTTCTTCAGTTAAATGACATCTGATACTATGCCATCCCTCCCATAGTAATATTATAGTGTTCAATGTCCTAATAATCACGACGGTGCGAAGTTCTAAGTCCTGAAGGCCTGACGAGCCGGATATCCAAAATCCATTGAGATTAGGGGTTCCTCTATGTATATGGACCCCCGCCCCGGGTACCAGGCTTTGAATACAGCGACTGAGTTCGGCGAGTATATAATAAAGACGGCTGGCCAGGCTAGGAAAGGGACCAGTTTCCCGAGACCTTCCGGGCCGGGCCGGGACCGTACCTTGTCCTGTTCCAATCATGTCTGATTTGCTCCTCTAGATTACTTATCATTCTTATACGGACAAGCCCACATCGCAAAGCCTGTACGTTCTCGGAAGCCTGTTCTTATATAATTGATGGTTATAATAACCAAGTTAGTATAATGATTGATCCTGCGAGTTACGGCATAATTCCTGCAGGAGAGATTTGAATCAAGGCCCAAGGTTATCAAACTTGGCTGCGAAAAAACTCAAAGTATCAATAATAGTCAGCATTCAAAAAATAGTAGTATGAATGAGAGAGTACTACCCCTTGAAATGATTCACTCAGTGGTGGTGGCTTCTCTGCTGCTGAGAGAAAAAGACTCGCTCGGTGGCGGCATTCTGCCGCCACCAGCTCGCATTTTCTCTCAGAGTTCAGTCAGAATCCTTGGCAAGATCGGCCGAACAACGCCGCAGAAAGCGTGATAGTAACAGAGGGTCACATGTAAACAGTGACAAGCGGTGACTGTGCCACCCCGAAATTCTGACTTAAACAGAAATTTTGAAGCGCTGGGCCGTGAGTTTCTTCCACAAATAGAAATTTTTATGACATCGGACTTCGGGTTAAACTCAAAACTCGGCTACCACCATCCCTCTATAAGACCTACTACTAACGTAGCAGGAATTTTGTCTGTTGAGCTATCCAAAGGCTGGAAATACCTTCCTGCCTCTGTTACAGCTGCATATCTAGCCGGACGTTTCAGTTGATAGTATAGCTCTCTATGCAAAACCGAGCAGATTTACGAAATCGCGTCCTCTGAGACTGTCATGTCCTTCCTGGTAAGTATCGTGCCGATACGATTCTATAATGGCTCCTTACGGACAAAATTCTTCAGCCCGCCTTTGCTGTCATCTGAGAGTTTATGAATCTCTTGGACTCATAGCGGACAGGATGAAATACTCCAGAACATCTACGTTCTCCGGTGTGAACGCCAGCCTTGACGCGCCGACCCTTAAACTTACGGAAAGTCTTCAGAAAGACAATGTGAAATGGGCCGCAGCGAACATTTCTCCTCTTCGCAGTGGGTTAGCACTCCTGACGCGGGCCACCGAAATGATACAGTATTGTGCTCCAAGTAGAGGCCGGGCCGTGGAACAAATCGTATACCCAAGATGGCTTCAACTCTTTGTCGGGTACGTGCCTGAAGAAAATCCCACTCAGATGTTACTCAACGCAACATTTGGCAGTGTATAAGTTTTTACTTCGCATAGCAGGGACCGGCATACTTCCAGCTAACGCGTCTCGCTATTGTATGTCGCCCTTCCAAGAAAGATGTATAAGTGCTTCTTAAACCATAGATCCACTGCCGAGCTGTTAAGCTTCGCTAGATTGGTGTTCGTGACCTTAGCACATTCTTAATTTTGTCAACGATCAGAACTCGTAAGCTTCTGGATCCATTAGTTCATTCATGCGCACTCTGTTGACATGGACAGACGTTCATCATCCTCCTTAAACTCAGTCTCCTTGGTGCTGATCAACTGCGAAAGGAAGTCACAAACTTATAACCAGACTATTGAGTTACTAGTGCCGTGCGTTCCTACTCTTACGTCTTCGCCAATGTTTATTCATCGTTATATGTGAAAAGAATCGCGAACCTGGGAGTTTCCAGATAAAAATAGGCGAAGGTGTTTCTCACTCACCTATCACCAAACCGACTTAACGACTGTTGGAATTATTGCAGTGGGAGGCTTGCAGTAGGTATAATACTGAATTGTTAGCTACTAGAGCTCCTAATGAGCTCCTTATATACTACGAAAAGTATCTAGAATATTCTACCAAAAGTACTAAATATATCTAAGTATCGTGACAAATGAATAAGCCGAAGCTTCGGGAATCTTCTAGCATGAGCTTGAAGTTGCAAATCCCAACAACGACGTTCCAGGATGTTCAGCGATGAGAAAGATAACAATGTCAAGCAGGACATCGAATCGACGCGGGGGGATAGCTCTCTGACAAAATGGTCGCAAAGATTGTTATCATGGGGAGTGGAAGGCAGAGGTACGCGCACTGCCACAATCAGAGGAAGAATTTCTCCTCACTGTTTATCAGGTATTATCCCTGTGGCACCGGAAGATCGTACAGACACGCAATATTACAAGATCTTCTTCTTATGGCTTGCGTTCAATGTCAACATCTTATCGTTCTCCGCCGGATCGCTGGGACCCATTGCGTTTGGACTAGGCGTCCGTGACTCATGCTTGGTTATCTTATTCTTCAACTTGCTTTGTGCATTACCGCCAGCGTATCTGTGAGTCATCCATCGACTGTATATAAACACAAAGTTTTAATCTAATGTGATCGTAGCACGACATGGGGACCTCAAGTTAGGTCTACGACAGATGGTACAAGCACGATACAGTTTCGGGTGAACTTTCTCTGCAAGGTTTAATTCATCCGTCGCAGAAATAACTAACTTAGCACTATCAAGGTACTTTGGCGTCATCATACCTTGTATCTTCAACATCGTTTCGTTGGGTGTATTTTGCATTCTCGACTGCATTCTTGGGGGGCAGACCTTGTCAAGTGCCGTCGATGGGAATTTAAGTTGGACGTACGTATATCGACATATGATGCATCATAAGGATTGTGCTGAATAGCTCGTTCCCAGAGTTGGTATTGTTGTTATTGCTATTATATCACTTCTGGTTTGTTCCCTTCTTCTCTCATCAGATGCACTCGACACATGGTAAAACCCATTTACAGGTATCTTTTTGCGGAATCAAAGTCATCGGATGGTATGAGCGCATAGCTTGGATACCCGTCGTCATTGTATTCGTGGTAGCATTAGGTGTAGGTGGGAAACACATCACGGCTGTTCCTGCAGCCGAACCTGCCACTGCTGCCGCCGTCCTGTCATTTGGCTCAACTATCGCTGGCTTCGTGATCACCTTCTCACCTTTGAGCTCTGATTTTACAATCTACTTCCGTCCCGATGTTTCAAGGTACGATCGTGTACGCAAATGTCACTCTCAGGATGCTGATGTTCATATTTCCTAGGATTCGATTATTCTTGTATTCATACATAGGCTTTCTACTGCCGATTGTAAGCCGATTCGTTGACGGAATGTAGGACACATATTCCTCACTTTTTTAGATCACTCTGCAATGTCTCGGGGCAGCAGTCGCTGCGTCCGCGTCCTTAGTTCCAGCCTGGGATGAAGGATATGCAGGAGGGAATGTAGGAGGCCTCTTGGAGGCTATGCTTCAGCCAGTTGGGAATTTTGGCAAATTTCTCACCGTTCTCCTCAGCCTGTCTCTGGCGGGAAACATTGCACCCACACTCTATTCTATGTGCCTCAACATACAGGTGTTCATACCCGTTTTGTACGTGGTTCCCAGATATGTATTCTCGATACTCGCGACAGCCATGTAAGTCGTGTCTGATATTGATGTGGATGGATAGACGATGATACACGCTCCGCAGAGTCCTTCCGCTAGCCATTGTAGGATCCCACCGGTTTTACGAGACGCTCACGAATTTCCTCGGATTGATTGGATACTGGGCCAGCGCGTTCATCGCAGTTGTACTCGTCGAACATTTTGTGTTCCGGCGGAACGATCCTGCGATGTATGACATATCGTGTTGGAATAAGCCTAGAGCCTTGCCTTGGGGATGGGCCGCGATTTGCGCTTCGGTAGGGGGCTTTTGGCCTTGTCGTACCTTGCATGGATCAGCAATGGTTTACCGGTCCGATTGCAAAAACGACAGGAGACATTGGATTTGAAGTTGCATTTGTTGTGACGGTATTGCTGTACTTACCACTTAGAGCGGCTGATATCAGGCTTCGGAAGGCAGTGTGATGTTACCGACGGCTTGGAGGGTACTTGTACTCTAAAAGCCTGCCAGATATCTTTCTTTCTGAATCGCCCATTTCCGCAAAATAAACCGCGTCCATGATCACTGGTAAATTATTGCATCGTAGGTTTTCTCTATACACGACGAAAACAGCACTGATAACACATTTAGACGAGGCGTCCTATACAAGCTCGGAAAGGAGATGTCTGGTTGCCTACTACGTTCTACAGCTCATCGGATTTGGTGGCCTTCTTATCATCCTGCTTACCGGGATCTTTTCTCTCACTGTTGCGAAACGACATGTATGCTGGTTAAACTTTATCATGACGTAGAAAATTGCGATTATATCATATAGGTCTGTGCTCAGTGCAACGTTGATTCATGTTAGATTTACAGAACACCTTACTCGTCAGTCACTCAATGGGAACTTCCTCGTGCCCTTTCCCTTACTCAGTTCGTATTGATACGCACTGGGAGTTTGATACCATAACAGTCTCTATCTTATGTCGTAAGTGAAGAACAGCTTGTATCACCATAGTGCTCGTGATCTACACACTACTTTCTTAGCTTCCTTTTCTCATGGATCCCAATAACGGTCTTAAGATACCCGTCTCGGTTAGTGCCCTTTCATCCCTCCTTCTGGAGTTCATTCCAACTGGGCACCATTTGTGAGTGCTGATCCCTTTCTTTTTTTTAAAAAAAGGTTAGCTAATGGATGAATTCATCTATTTGTAGTACCGTATGGTGCCTCAGGCAGTACGGCAGCTCGCTCCTCGCCACTGGGATGAGTGGTCCGGCTACCCTTGTTTTACGAAAGGAAACCGTTTTAAAGACTGTCCCGCAATGGAAATTATAATGCCTAACCTCTGGTTGCCAAAATTGTGTCGGCGCCTGCAGTGTCGCTGTTTAACCCATCAGGATCAGTGCACTCTGCGTTTTTCTCTTCCTTTGGGCGTAAGATGATGTTCTCCCCCTTTACTGCCTCTGCTCTAACAACCCGACAGGTCCTATTGAAAGTCGCTAGAAAGCTTTCTGCCAATTGAAACTATTAGCTCCCTTTCCACTGATGATATGCATCGTCCCTTTCTCAATGTCTTTGGTCCGTATCGCAACGAGTCTATCTGAGATGTTCATATCTTAGTGCATCGTTCTACCGTCTTTCGTCAGCATGCATTACAATCAATACATGCATCGTAACAATCGCTTTCTGTGTTCTGTCCCGCCATCAACGCGATGTGTCACTACTGTCACCCTTAGTGCGCCTCTTTTCAGTTCCCACCAGACCTCTAATTTTTCCTCAGGTGCAAGTTGCATCTAGACGCCCTTTGACTTCAGTACCGAACGCCTCTGGTTCACCCATTTGCCTCGATCTGTACAAACGCTTAGACTGGTATGACTTAGTTATGGTACCCTTAATCTTTTTGGTCTGTGCTGTTCCTTGAGTTCACGCCAAAGTTACAGAGCTAGCCGTTTCGCTGTTCGTGATACGTGCCATCTAAGTCATGCAAGTATGATATGTCTATTCGCTTCTTTCAACTACCAAACCATGGCCGCAAGTTAGGCCTCTAGGCTGGTATTCATGGCCGAGGCACCCTGTCTTGTAAGGGACCCAGAACTCGTAACGGGTAAGCGTCTGGAACCTTTGGCTCGTGTACACTCCGTTGACTGAGACAGTTTTCTTTCCCCTCGGTTCTGTTGGTGCTATCCAATCGGCAAGGAAACCCACAAGCTAGTACCCAAACTAGTGAGTTACTGTGTTTTGGTTCTGCCCTGAGTACCGGCTATACCTCCAGTAATTGGAAATTAATTTGATTTATATAACTCATCTTTAATCCGTCGATCTGATCAAACGCAGAGTCGCACTTTTTTTCCACCTCCGCTTTGACCCTCTTTGCCCTCCTACTCTTTCTTCTTTCGTCGATGTCTATACATCTTTAGATCTTAAAGAATTCACTAACCTCGGAGTTTTGAGATAACTCTTTTGACCCAGAAATAGACGAAACTTTGTTACTCATCTCTCATCAAACCGACTTAACGGCATTCTATGATGTTCGACGACAAGAAAGATAACGATATCAGACAGGACATCGAATCGACGCTGGGGGGCAGCTCTCGTTCACGATGGTCGCAAAGACTATTGTCCTGGGGAGTGGAAGGCAGAGGTACGCGCCCCGTCCTAGTCAGAGGAAGAATTCCTCATCGTCACTCATCAGGTATCATTCCTGTGGCGCCGGAAGATCGTACAGACACGCAATATTACAAGATCTTCTTCTTATGGCTTGCGTTCAATGTCAACATCTTATCGTTCTCCGCCGGATCGCTGGGACCCATTGCGTTTGGACTAGGTGTCCGTGACTCATGCTTGGTTATCTTATTCTTCAATTTACTTTGTGCGTTACCGCCAGCGTATCTGTGAGTCATCCATCGACCACATATAAAGATAAAGTTCTGATCTAATGCGATCACAGCACGACATGGGGGCCTCAGTTAGGTCTACGACAGATGGTACAAGCACGATACAGTTTCGGGTGAGCTTCTTCCGCAAAGTTTTATGAGGATATCTCGAAAATAGCTAACATGGTGTTATCAAGGTACTTTGGGGTCATTTTACCTTGTGTCCTTAACCTCATTGGAATGTGTGGGTTCTGCATTCTCAATTGCATTCTCGGGGGACAGACCTTGTCAAGTGTTGCTGATGGGAATTTAAGTTGGACGTACGTACATCACGCGCGATCCGTCGTGGATTTTTCTCTGAATCACCCGTTCCTAGAGTTGGGATTGTTGTTATTTCTATCATATCACTTCTTGTTTGTTCCTTTCTTCTCTCATCAGATGCACTCGACACATGGTGAAACCCATTTATAGGTATCTTTTTGCGGAATCAAAGTCATCGGATGGTACGAGCGCATAGCTTGGATACCCGTCGTCATTGTATTCGTGGTAGCATTGGGTGTAGGCGGCAAGCATGTTATGGCTGTTCCTGCAGTCGAACCTGCCACTGCTGCCGCCGTCTTGTCATTTGGCTCAACTATCGCTGGTTTCGTGATCACCTACGCGCCTTTGAGTTCTGATTTTACAAACTATTTCCGTCCCGACGTTTCAAGGTACCGTTCCATATGCAAATGTCACTCTCAGGATGCTGATGTTCATATTTGCTAGGGTTCGACTATTCTTATACTCATACATAGGCTTTCTACTACCGATTGTAAGCCCCCGCGCGCTTGTGGCTTAGAATATATGTTCACCGTTTTAGGTCACTCTGCAATGTCTGGGAGCCGCAGTCGCAGCGTCTGCATCCTTTGTTCCAGCCTGGGATGAAGGATATGCAGGGGGAAACGTTGGAGGCCTCTTAGAGGCTATGCTCCAACCCGTCGGGAAATTTGGAAAATTTCTCACCGTTCTTCTCAGCCTATCTGTCGCAGGAAACATTGCACCCACACTCTATTCTATGTGCCTCAACATACAGGTGTTTATACCCGTTTTGTACGTGGTTCCCAGATATGTATTCTCGATACTCGCGACAGCCATGTAAGTCGTGTCTGATAATGATTGTGGATGTATGGGCGCTGATACACACGCCGCAGAGTCCTCCCGTTAGCCATTGTAGGATCCCATCGATTCTATGACACGCTCACGAATTTTCTCGGATTGATTGGATACTGGGCCAGCGCGTTCATCGCAGTCATACTTGTCGAACATTTTGTGTTCCGGCGGAACGACCCTGCGATGTATGACGTATCGTGTTGGAATAAGCCTAGAGCCTTGCCTTGGGGATGGGCCGCGATTTGCGCTTCGGTGGGGGCTTTTGGCCTTGTTGTACCATGCATGGATCAACAATGGTTTGTTGGTCCGATTGCAAAAACGACAGGAGACATTGGATTTGAAGTTGCATTTGTTGTGACGGTATTGCTGTACTTACCGCTTAGAGCGGCTGATATCAGGCTTCGGAAGGCAGTGTAATGTCGTCGAAAGTTTGAAGCGCACTTTGTACTCCGCTATGAATGCCCCCAAAATCGCTTTTTCATTGTGACCGACGTTCCGTGCCATCTTCACACATGCTAGCATGTGATGGCGTTAAACGTATTCGAACTTCAAGGCAAGGGTATAAAAATGTTCCGGTGGGTGTCCATAGATGCGAATACTTGTTGACGGGATTTGACAAGGTGAGAACCTGCCTTTACAAGATTTTCGGTAAGGAGCTGATTGCATATTGAGCGACAGGCGGAAAGAAATTATAAATGACTCACAAAATGAGTCATTTGTTTCCGGAGGCAGGTCGAGGCACAGTTAAAATGATGTGCCTTGCGATCAGCCGGCTGCCTCTTCGAGAAGTAGCTTCGCTGCGTCAGGCTCGAATTTACAATCTCATAAGATGATGGCGATTCTACGCCGGGGATGAACGCGACCGATGGGGTTCTTTTCGTATTGAGGGCCTTATATAAGTGACATCGCTTGCACTCCCGTTTCGCTCTGCTGATGCACTTGTTGCGCTTCCATCCCCACTCACAGCAGACCAGACGTCTTTCTTTCTGAATCGCCCATTTCCTCAAAACAAACCGCGTCCATGATCACTGGTAAATTATTGCATCGTAGGTTTTCTCTGTACGCGACGAAAACAATACTGATAACACATCTAGGCGAGGAGGCGTCCTATACAAGTTCAGAAAGGAGATGTCTGGTAGCCTTCTATGTCCTACAACTCACCGGATTTGGTGGCCTCCTCATCATCCTGTTTACTGGGATCCTTTCTCCCACTGTCGCGAAACGACATGTATGCTGGTTAAATTTTATCATGACATGGATAATTTCGACTATATCGTATAGGTGTGTGCTCAGCCTTTGCAGTGTTGATTTATGCTGGATTTGACGGAATATCAGTTTGCTTGTTGGTCATTCTATAGAATGGGAACCTCCCCATGCACTTTGCCTAACTCAGGCCATATTGGTATATTCGGTTCCTACATTGTGAGTTTGGTACCATAACAACCCACATCTTATGTCCTAACGTAAGTGAAGAACAGCTTGTACCACCACAGCGCTCGTAATCCACGTTGGTTTCTTATCTTCTTTCTCACATGGATCCTAATAACCGTCTTGAAGGTCTCCGTTGCACTTAATGCCCTTGTATCGCCACCTTCCGGAGTTCATTTCAATTGGACGCCATTTGTGAGTTCTAGTCTCTGTTTATTGAATTGGCTAACGAATGAATCTAGCTATATGTAGTGCCGTACGTTGCCTCAGGCGCTACAGCTGTCCTCTCCCTCGCCATTGGCTTAAAAGATCCCGACACCGTCGGCAGAAGAGAGTCGGCAATGTATTGCAACTTTGAAAATCGAATACCGTTCGTCTCTGTTTTTATCTCCCTCTCATTATAAACGGAAACTCACGTATATACAGGTCTCGTGTCTCTTCTGCACTGGTTGCAGGCATAATGGCTCTGTGTCTGGGGATAGAAATCTTTGTGCTAGTCAAGTTACGCAAGAACTGGATGCATCTGAGGAGAAAAAGAGATCGCCAGACGATATCGCTGACGCTCCGCGTCTTAGCGTTTAGCGCTTTGGGATGCATGGCGATTGTGTAGGTCCTCATTATTTTTCCCCGCGCCGTCTAACATTATCCTGAAGACTAGGATTCGTTTTTGTGTTTATTTCATATCGTGGTCCTGCGTTGAATCTTGCACTAGGCAGTGGTACGTTTTCAAATTCTTTCATTGGACGAAATAGCTCATGAGTTTTCTATAGTGCCACTACTTGCAGTCCTGCTCTTCGGCACCCAACAGGTAGGATGTCGTCACTCACTGTTCAAACGTCGACTTACATCTATAACGTTATCTAGGACATCTTGGATTCCTGGTTTTATTTGTTTCGCGGGAAGCGAAGGCCCCAAACAGAGAACCTCTCCCTCCGTTACAGCAATCCTTCATGGATGGCGCCGGGCACAAGTCGAGACCCATTTATCGCCTCATACAACGGGACCGAGGGGCAGGCATATTAGCTCTACTTAATTCAATTGTATAACAACACCCTACTATACTGTATTTTTAGCAATGACAACCACCCAAGTTAGACATCATCTTCCCAATTCTCAGGAACGTTCAACTCCTCGTCTCTCGACTGGGGCGGCGGTACAGATGTCGAAGCCCGAGGAGCAGTAGTTCGAGAATTCTGCAGATCCGGCACGCGCACGCTAGGGGGAGTCGAAGATCGGCTGACAGGCCCGGTCCATCCTCTCCCAGCACTAACAATAGGCTTCGTTGCTGTCTGCTGCGATGGAAGCTGACTCACTACCTCAGCACTTCGCAAGTTCCCGAGTCTGCCTAGATTCGGTCGTGACGGAGGTCGTGTTGGGGCGACATGCGAGGAGAGAAGTGGCGAAGGTATTCTTGTATCTATACGGCGTATCAGTTCGACGCTGAGAATCGTTTGGTCAAAATGAAAACGAATGAAGTCTAGTAGACGCCACGAACCTTCGATGCGGTTCCTGATCCACCATCTGGGTATCCATTCTGTATATGCTTGCAAGCTGAAACGATGATCAGTCCGTTAACAACTAAAAAAGACAGATCAACTAACTCCATGAACAAATTGCCTTCGGTCTGGAGGCATATGCGGTAATACTTGGGTCTTTTTGCTCGATCCAATGAAACTGCAATGAGAATATTAGTCTAAAAGGTTTCGCAGGAGTAAACTGGGACGAACTCGGCAAAGGCTTTCTCTACCACTGCAAGAAACTTATCATTGAGCCTAGCGAATCCGACAAGTTCATCGCTGTAAACGGCTGCCGACGCAGTCTTGTCTCGGGAACCAGTGTCAATACCCAACGCCTCCGCCAAACGCGCATTTCTCTTGGCTATTGCGCATTCCGAAGTGCATTTCAGCTGCTGCTGACCATTCCTACCCGCAGTATTGCTGATGCTCCGTCCGCAGCGTACAGATTGTCGGATCCTCTCGCAAGGACACAGAAGGGTGATAACTGATTGACAGGGCCCTACTTCGGAACAAGCAGACGGGGCGTGGCAAGGATCGGCGCAAGGATGATGAGACGGCAAACTGTTGGGAGCCTTTCAGTGGCTTGATGAATGTTACGCCAAGATTACTTACCACAGCTTACGCGGCTTTCCACATATTGAAGTACATGCCCCGCATTCATCAACATGACATACTCGTTCACAATGATGGAACCCACAACCCATGAGCCTACAGAAAACATCTGTGAATTAGGCGAACCCAATGCGGAAATATCCAACGTACTTGCCACATACGGTCCCGCAACTAACCTTCTCACGGGGCAACGAACATCTTATGTTATCGACTTCGTTCTTTCCACATGCGCATAGCCGTTTCGTCAAGGAGAAACAAGGAGGACAAGGAATGTCGTCTCCATGGCAAACGTGGGGAGTTTTTGGATGCCCACAAGGAGGGTCAGGCATTGCGCAGGGATATCGGCACTCGATCTTCGTTCCGCATGGAATTGGAGGTTCCAACACTGTACGCCCACAGAAGCAGATCAGCTAAATCAAGTTAGTGATAGGAAATAGAAAGGAATAATCATTCGCGGCATACCTCTTCAAACGAGCTCCTCAGACACGGGCCACACGGTCCCTTGTGGTCTCGCTCTTCGCACTGATGATTTCCGCAAGCGAGCATCTTCCCGCAGATCAGGTCACATTCGTGCAAACCTCCTGGACCTTCCCCAATCCCCTCCACGGATCTGGTCATACGTCCCTTACCCTTGTATTTGACTGCCAGCGACGCAAGCGGACAACAGATACGGTTACACTGGTGCTTCCCGCATGCTCGAAGCGCAGTGCACGGTTTACTGCATAGAATGTCGATTTCCTTGTGGTCCGTATCATAGAGATCGCCACATTTAATGCTTCGACGAATATGCCCACATCGACAGGGACGAATGATTCCTTCAGAACAGGGTGGGCATTCTCCAGTATGACATTTGACATTACAAGGATGGTCGCAAGTTGCGCGAAGTTTGTTGCACGGCGAGTCACAAGTCGGGATCGGCGCCGAACAAGTAGAGCGCAATGGAAAGTCGTATTTTGCAGCATCCATTCCGGGAGGCGTGATCGTGCATTTTCCACAAGGGCATGTTGTGATTATGTTTGGTGAGAAGGGACATTGAGCAGCGGCAGACGAAGAAGGATGACAAGGCTTTTGACACTGGTGTTCGCCACAATCGTACAGCCTAAAATGGTTAATAAATCGTAGTTGGATGTTTATTAGGTGGACTGAATCGCATACCTTTGACACACACTATCACAAGAGAAACCTTTCACGTCGCAAGTCCCTTGTTCGTCTTCACCGCATCCAATCGTACCCGACCATTGATCCCCTTCTCCACAAGCCACCTCTCTTTGCGCTTTACCACACCAACATTTACTCATCTCGCGCAGATCGCAGCTTCCGCAATCTCCGTGATGACACGTTTTTTGGCAAAAGTGTTTCCCGCAATTGAGACGCTTCGAGCAGACAGCATTGCACGAAACCCTTGTGTCTTCCCCGCACCGAACTGGGATGATACGCCGATGAGGGCATCCACATGGGACTTCCAGCATGATTTTACACGGAGGGCAAGGACCTGGATGACATAAGAGCGAACAGGGATGAGGACAGCCAACACGAGGTCGCGAGCAAGGGTTCCCGCACGAGTGAGGTGTTGCGAGACGGGCATTAGGCGATGGCGTCGACCCACAAAAGCATTGATAGCCGCCAATTAACACTCCTCGCTTTCCCTGACACCCAGGACACCTCCATTCGCCTCCTCTGTCCTCCCCGCGGGCACGCCAAGCCTCTTTAACATCGTTGTAACTCTTCTCCGACCACGAGCGAATGCATTTGAGATGGAACGTCGTCCAACAATACTGGGGCACGAAGGGTTCCGCGGAGTCTCCGGGAGGGAGTATGGGAATGGAAGGGGAACAGCTCCATGTAGGATGGGGTGGACGTATGTCGTTGAAGCAAATGGGACAATCAGAGTAAGGGTGAGTGCTGAGACCACGTATGAGGATGGAAGTGAGGTCGTCGGCTTGGTCGCTGGGGAGGTCCTTGGCTTTGCCCTTCTTCCGTCCGGGTGGGCGCTGGGAAGATGAATCGGTTGTAAGTTCAGCGTTGAATTTTGTTTTCCTACGGCTGCCGCCCGGGGGTTTAACTACCGGAATTGTTGGTAGCGATGAAGATGGCTGTTCTGACGGGGCATCACCAGGTGGTCGAGGTTTATGTTGCTGTCCAGGTCGTTGTGAATTGGACGGGCCTTCTGCATGCTCGACATTGCTCCCTCGGCTCTTCGTAGAGTCGTTGGACGTCCCAGCAGGACGAGGCTTTGGTCCTCGTCGTTGCTTATTACGCGAAGAGCCATCTGGAGGAGTCTCTACCTCTCTTTTCGAAGAATTGGTCGACGACTGTTCTTCTGCTGTGCCCTTTGTATTATTGTTCCGGCGCTTCGGGGGCCGATATTTAGGTCGACGTTGAGTTGAATCCGTACTCTGAGAAGGAAGAGCAACTGTTTCCATCCAGCTGTTGGAAGGGAAGAGTAGAGAAAGGAACGAGGTCACAGTCAGTGCTCAGTGCTTAATAAGCTCGGTACCGTGATCCATATCCCAATATAGCCTAGCTCATTACGTCATTTGGACACGCACAAGGGTGGAACCATCCAATTAGCTACGCGTGCACCATGTTCGACGACGACGACGACGAGACAGCAGCACTCGTTTCCCCAGATCCAACCTGGCAAGCAATCTTTCACGCATCCAACCAAGTCGTCCTCTACAATCCCACCAGCCATGCTCTTGTTATCCGACAGTCTCCTCAGCGTACTAGTAGATCCGGTTGTCCATACTGTAAACGACCCCTACCCCCAGAATCTCAGGACGACTTGGACCCGGAGCCTCACTCTCGCGCATCGAATTACTTTCACTTGCTCTCCATGGCAAATGATACCTGGTCGAGACCGTCGACGCCGCCACCTATCGCCGAGGCTGAGTCCAGTGACGAAAGCACAAGTGCTTTCTCTGCAGAGGCCCTAGCAAATGGGTATTTCAAAGCTTTCTTCACCGAAGAGAGCAAGCTAGGAATGGGTGCAAACGGAAGCGTATACCTCTGTCAGGTATTATTTCCAACTCTGACATGATTTTAATGGTTGACCCTTTCGTAGCACGTCCTCGACGGAAATCCACTGGGTCACTTTGCCGTCAAAAAGGTTGCAGTCGGGCAGTCCCACTCGTATCTATTAAACATCCTTCGTGAAGTTAGCTGCTTCTCTTCTCCAAATCTATATAACTCATTCCCACCAGGTCCGTCTACTTGAACGACTTCATCATCCCAATATCATAACTTACCAGTAAGTTCCTCCTTATCTCCTCCTTTTTCTCATCGATTCACTCCGGGTTCTTTCAGTCACTCTTGGCTCGAAAGTGCCCAGTTCTCTTCGTTCGGTCCCCGAGTTCCCACGTTACAGTTGAGCTTCGACCTTCTCTACCTCATGCCTTGACTTACGACAGTTCAGCATTCTCATGCAATGGGCTGAAGGTGGAAGGTGGGCATAGCAACAGCTGCTAATGCATCTGTCTAAATTCACACTAGCCTCGACGACTTTATTGATGACCGTCTTGGACGCGAGACTCGGCACATCCATATTAACCCAAGTGGCGCCTTGAACGGTACCAGCGCAACATCAAACATCCACTCGCGTTCAGCAAGGATACGTGCATACAGGGCATTCCAGCGTGCCTCACCAGAGGAAAAGGAGCAACTCAGAAAACGTATGAACGGACAAACGCAAGGAGTGCAAACATGGACTGCAGTACATCTCCTCAGTCCCGAGGAAGTCAAAAGCATCTTCACTGACGTCGTAGAAGGATTGGCCTTTCTGGTAAGGTAACCATCGCCTAGCCAAGAATCCATCTCAACTTGTTCAGCACGACAAATCCATTTTGCACCTGGATCTAAAACCTGGCAATGTGTTGTTAACATGGGATGAAGGAAAACTAATGTACGATCATATTTCCTCTCTTTAATTCTTGATACCGAACTGTTGCTAGACCACGAGCCATGTTATCTGACTTTGGCACTTCCCGCGACATGGTGAACACGTCCCAGGTTCGCTCGGGAAACACTGGAACGTGAGTCCTCCTCATTACAGAGCTAGTAGTTTCTAAAGGCAAACACAGGTTGGAATACACCTCACCCGAATCCCTACCATCGCCTCAAACGGGCCTCCTTCGCCAAGTAGACTCCAAGTCCGATATGTGGTCACTCGGCATGATCCTACACAAGATACTGTTCTTCAAATTGCCGTACCATTATGCCGCGGCCGGCGACGCTAGCGAGGAGACGCTGAATTCCCTCGCAGAGGGTGACAAAATGGATCGACTAGAGCAAGAAGTGTTGAACTATCCTGGGTTAGTTGCGCTTGCAAAGTGTGATTTTATGATTAGTTGATCCAGCTTGCAGTTTCAAAAGAACACCAGCACTCGTTGCGGCATTCGAAGGCCGCAAACTGCCGCGAGCGTACTTTGTTCTGCTAGAAACATTACTCAATCCCAATCCGTCTGCACGACCGTCATGCGAAAGGGTTCTAACTGCGATCCGAGAAGGCAGAGTGAGTCATTCTAGCGCATCTTGTAATAGGAAGCTCATTCCTTGCAGCTGGATCCGGTAAAAGAACCGCGGCGTACGCGGGCGGTATCTGCTACATCTTTGATACAAGTGGTACGAAGACCGAGTCCCGAACCTACAGCAGAGCAGGCGGCGAATGTTGTTGTTGACGATCCTGAAGTCCCTGAAGAGGAGAAAGCGCCTTTACTGAGTCTTCCCGCGCCGGACGAGGAACCGCCGACAACTGTGGCCCCAATAAAGCGGCTGAAAATGACGCTTGTCGTGAGGACTGCCAAGTCGTGCATCCTGGTTGTCAAGATGCTCAATCTGGCGACACTATGTCCAGAGGGACACTTGCGGACTGTTGTTTTTATCATTGTATTGATTCTTGCAGTAGGTAGATACATGGTTCGAAGGACTATGGGTATCCATCGTATTTGGATTACTCCACGTTTTGGTTGTACAATTAGGATGCTAGTAGTGATATATGTAGCTAATGCAATGCAGCTTCGAATCTGCTAAACTCGTCGTCACTCAACGCCCACCTCTCGGCGGTGCGACTCGTAACCCACTGTCCGAGTTTCTTCTTTTGCTCTGGATCCAATGGGCCCTTACAGGCGACGATATAGGTCCAGAGGAGCCGTATACTCTTCTCCTCGAAATCGACTGTCGGGCTCCAAGACGTCTCCATCCTCGCCATACGGCAGAGGGTCAACAAGTGCCCCAACGACATCCGCCAAGATCCCCTGCTCCTCCATCGGGCCAGCGCACCACAGAGGACGTCTCTGCCCTTCCGGGATCCACAAGGTTCGCAGCATGAGAATTCGGGTGGATAGGCCCTCTTTGAACGGTCGTCTCATTAGGAGTGAGGAGGGTATTCAACAAAAAGACAGGCCTTTCTGCGAACGCTAATCTCGGGGTCGGAAAGCGCCCCACGCGAACCTGAGCCATCCTTCCTGGTCGAGTGCTGCGACTGCAGGGGCGTTGTGCTTCAGGAGACCTGAGAGGGCTGTAGAGAGCTTTACTCCTGATCTGTGGTGAAGAGTTTGCTGGAACGAGGAAGGCGGTCAAGGTCGGGAGAGGGTTGGATGAGAGGTACTGTTCCATGGGGCATTCAATAGATGGATTGGGAGAAGGTTGGATATGTACGCACTGTTTCCTGGGCTGCAGGATTATTTTGGAGAGCAGTACCGATGACCCAGAGCGTCTGCATGACGATCACGTCCGTCGAGTCGGGAGAGGTGAGCAGCGAATGCAGTGGTGCCCACATTTTCAGTTTTTCAAGATCTGGGCTGGGTGAGCCGAGGATATTTGAGGAAATGAAAGGAGAGCTTACTGTTGGCATTGTCGATTTGTTCTATTAGCTATTGCTAGTGAGTACGCGACGGTTATGCAAGGAAAAAAAAGTGCGCACCATCTCTAGGTGATCCAGGGCCTCTACCCGTGCATCCTCTGAGCGGTGTGGATCTATGGCTACTGCCAGGTCCTCCTTCATGAGCTCAGCATCCGACTTGCCGAGGATCACGTCGATGATACCAGGATCGAGGTCTGTTCGTGGCTGGGGAGGGCCAGCAGAAGGGCCAGAGTGTTCAATGGACCATCTAAGAAGGGATTCCATGTTTGAAGAGACTATCGATACAGTGAAGGTTATAAGTGATACAGTGGTCGAAGATGGAGGAAGAAACGAGAAGGATCTGATCTATTTTGGGAAATATTGATTTTGATAGGAATATTATTCATGGATACAGTAGCATTATTACAAGTCATCTACATGGCTCCTTCGCTCTTGGAAATGATGTACCTGCTAGCCGTGAATACGAATCCTGCAGGCATGGCTGGCACTCACCAAGAATGGATAATCCCCGGAATCCAACCTAGCACGCACAGTGCAATATTGATCCAGAAATCAGCAGAGCAGCCTCGTTCTAAGCACGGTTAACGATGTCCGTCGCGATAGCAGGGCTCGACATACTCAGCAGCACGGGCACGGGAGGCATAATACTGCAAACAATTGAACAAAAGACCAAAGTAATCGTAGGATATAAACGTACATTGCGAGAAAGTAGAGGCATACATCAGCGGTAGAGGAAGGCATTGTCGCAGTTAACAAGGATGAGAGACCAGGCTCGTGGTTATACTTATACTGCCATCCAATGACGTCAGGCCCTGCGCTGCACCGCCACTCGCCTCCTGCACTCCTCGTCAAACGCTGCCATCATCACCCACCATCACCACCACCGCCATCACCACCACCGCCATTACCACCGCCATTACTACCACCACCATTACCACCATTACCACCATCACCACCACCAACATCAACCGCATCTTGTCGTCTTCGTCGACTCCTTGGAGCTCCTTCGCTCTTGGAAATGATGTACCTGCTAGCCGTGAATACGAATCCTGCAGGCATGGCTCGCACTCACCAAGCATGGATAATCCCCGGAATCCAACCTAGCACGCACAGTGCAATATTAATCCAGAAATCGGCAGAGCAGCCTCGTTCTAAGCAACGGTTAATGATATCCGTCCGTGATAGTAGATGCGACATACTTAGCAGCACGGTCACGGGGGGCATAATACTACAAACAATTGAACGAAAGACCAAAGCAATCGTAGAATAAACGTACATTGCGAGAAAGCAAAGGCATACAGAGGAAGGCATCGTCGCGGTTAACAAGGATAAGAGACCCTCGTGGTTATACTTGTACTGTCCGATTTCGACCATTAATTCACGTAACGCATAATGGGACCCGGTGAAGTGAAGCTCCCGGTATTTCGTAACGCGTAAGTATGGTCATTTGGTGATATAGCATAACCCGTAACACCCCATGAAGCTACCGTCGAAATCGAACAGTACTGCCATCCAAAATAACGTCAGTCTCTGTGCTGCACCGCCACTCGTCTACTGCACTCCTCGTCAAACGTTTGCCTCAACGACGCCATAGCCCGTTCCTTGAACTCTGCCATCAACCGCCTCTTGTCCTCTTCATCGACTCCTTCGAGCTCCTTCTCCTGGTCGCTCACCATCCTTTTGTACGTCTCGTTCAGGCATCGCTTCACATTTATCTCCCATTCTTCGTCGGTATTCGATGTAGCCGGACGAGCACTCGGGACCACAGCATTCGGCTTGACTGGTGTCTTTGGTCTGGCATCAAACTCAATCGCGCTCATATCCTCTAAAAACTTTCCCTCCGCCTTTTGACGCGCCTTGGTTCGATTCAGACCACAGTACTCTTCCTGGTACGCTATCGCCAGCTCCATCGCCTTCTCAAAGTATCCTCTGATCGTCCTCGGAGAACACGAGAACATGGCAATTGGGTTGGGTATCACCAGAATCGCCGGTGGAAGGGACGGGATCAGGCCCGGTACAAATTTCGGAGGCGGTGGTCGAGGCGGTATAATACACGCACTGGTCCTCGCAGCATAGATCGCAGCAGACGACATCTTGTCCCGTACGGTTTCCATCTTGGTCTTCATCATATTCTGTCTCGTCAGATCAAGCCTCTTCTTGATATCCGCCTCCGTCTTCCAGTCCCAGATGATCTTCTTCTGCCTGCCTACAATCTTTATCCACTCCCTTCTTGCATCGCAGAGATGCTGCTCAACCAACACTTTATCGATACTAGTGTGGTCTCGATTAGCACGATGCATACGAAACTCGAGATGCTTGCGAATAGCTGCCGTAGCATGCTCTTTCTCTTCCAGCCTGGGCTGAAAGTCTCGCCATAGCGTGGAGATGGACATCAAGATTAAAGAGTCATGTGATCTACTACATCGTATCAAGCACCCGGATCCCGTCCACTTCGATGCCCATGTGAGCCCCGTATGCATGCGCAAACTCTGGCCCCGCCGCAACGCCCTGCTCGAAGTTCTTGCCCTTGACATTCGCGATATAATCATAGAAATCAGTGTGGTCGCCCACCGACTCTTCGAACCAACGCAGCTCCGCCATGCCTTCAAGCGTCCGGATCACCCAGTGCGCACTGCTCCATCCCTTTTGGCCCCGGAGCAGTACCGACGAGCCTTGCGCAGCAGGCTGTTGCCGGATAAACGTGTCGACTTCTTTGGGATTTGCCTCCAGAGACGGCATCTCAATCAAGCACAACAACGGTGCAGACAGTCTCGCCCCGCAGTCGTGGTTCGTCTCCCATTTCTTCTTCTTCACCACTTGGTACAGGCTCACAGGCTCGCTGAGCTTGCGCTGCGGGTCCCGAGTCACCAGTGCCCAGCGATATTTTCCTTCCCCGCCGTCTGTGTTATACAGGGCAATGTAGATGTTCAAGCGCATTCTAGGTAAAAACGTCAGCCTCGTCGCGCAACGAAGAGAGCATTTGCTTACTGGGGGTTTGGGTGAAGGCACCTCGCAACCACCAGTACAACGTTCAGTCTATTATGTATGCCCCCTTTTGAGTTGTGACTTCTAGAACTACCAACTCCTGTTGGATTTATATTAAAATTTCCCAGACGTTCCACATGAATTATTCTCCCACCTTGTTCGACAGCTGATACCCTCTTTTCCGCGTAGCTTGCCAGCACGATTGTCTAACAGGAACACGCGCTTTCTGTAGCTTTTACAACGCCTCTTGTTGTGTTGTTCATCAGGAGTAATGAATTGGGATCCACTATAGATGTTATACAGGAGGTCGATCGTGGTTCGGAAATTTGCAGGCGAGCCGCCGTGATCCGCTTATAATTACCAGTACTGATACTTGCTCGCACTATCAAACACCATTTTACCACCACGATACGCGTAATACTCCCCGTCCCTAGAATACGCGTGTTGACGCGGTGTGTCGCCCATTCGGACAATAACCAACCGTCGCGCCTTTTGCAACCTCTTGACACCTTTTTCATAAACACTCTGGTCGTGGAGCGTCAAATCTCGCAACTTGACTCCAAGGGAAGGATTCGCATCGCATGCTGCTGCGACAGCCGTGAGCGCCTTGTCATCTATCCTACCATGACCATGATGGCATCTATTAGTCGTGTCCAATAAACTCAGGAGTATACACACCTTCGATCATGTCCACTAATATGCAAAGCTTCTATCTTTGGACACGACTCCAAAATCGCCAATAACGCGTCCTGGCCCAACGACGTATGCGACTCTAACCTCATCAGCCTCATCTCTGGACACATCCTAATGAACCGCACAAAGGTTCCCTCGGAGACGTACACCCCGCCCCCAGTCTCGTTGTCACCAGCCAAGAACGTCGTCAGCCTCGCGCATAATGCCGGCCGGGCGATCAGGGCTTCCAGGACCGCGCTATGTAAGTAAGTGATGTCAACCACTTGCCTCAGAGATTAAGGAAGGGAGGGAACTCACTCGTTGATGCTAAATCGCGCTCCAAACTTGACTGTATCGACTTTGGGCGCGTCGAGCTGGGTTTGGTCCCATCCCTCAGGCGGCTTTTCGACATCGTTGAACTCGGCTGTGACTTTTTTGAATGTCTTGAGAGGCGGAGGTGGCTTGCTCGAACGCCCGCCCATCATGGCATACGGGTTAACGTTAAATCCTCCAGAGCGTCCTTTTCGTGATGGCGGCATGTCGTTGTAGGTGGTTGAGAGTGGAACTGTCTCAAGTAGCAAGTTTTGTCGCGTTACTTGTCACCATCACGTGTAAAACATTTTGTGGGGAAATTTACAGGATCGTAGTTCTACAGTGAGATTCCCTGGCGTGTGCATTTCACGTATCTTCAGGATGGGCTTCCGGGTCATCGTCACCCTCACCATCAAGTGACCCTCCTAACACTCGGATCATAAACGCAGAACTCGTCTCCCGACGCAGCATAAGCCTCACTGCGCTCTACATCTGTAAAGGGAGACACATCCCTTTGAGGTTCCGAGTCGTCGCCAAACGTCGAATATACAGCCTCGATCCGCTGAAAGTTATTCCTAGCACTAGTTCCGCTTTCCGAGTATCTGGCGATCCATGTTTCCATTTCTTGTAAAATACTACGAGGTTCAGCAAACACCCGAAAGGGAAAAAACAAAGCGTGATACCTGCTATTCGGGGAGGAGCTATTTGTGCGTCGAGGAGCTTTATCCGTCGCGGAAAGAACGCTGGATGAGTAGTAGTACACATTTCCGCTGCAAACACCAGGTCGGGGGACTAGGCCATGGTAGATGCTACTATTCCAAGAGCCGGAAGAGTTGTCGCCCAGGTAGTTACCGCTCGAGTGGCTAGATCTTGTGCTTTGGGTACCGAACAGAGTGTCGTCTATTTGAGACTTGTGTGTCGTCCTCTTGGTCTTCTTGGGCCATTTGTACGGTTTGTTGGACTGAGGGTCCACATTATCGCTGTGCGCAAGTCAGTGTGGCGTTATAGACGAGGTGGAGAGACGTACCTGCGATGATCCTTTGGCCTGGAATGTGGAGGACTGAGAGCATGCAAAAGAGAGGATGATAAGTCATCGACTTACATGTCTCTGTGAAGGTAAAGGAAAGAAAAAAAACACGCTCCGAGAACACAATGAAGTGCCTTATAAGCCACTAGGGTGCCACTTATTGATGCCGGTACTCTGAAGATGCCAGAAAGTAGTCCATCACCGCTCTAGATAGATTGAGTTTCCTGAGACTGGCAGAAAAATGTGAACCAAATGCGAAGACCATCAACCGAGGAAGGTGAACGGAAGAGAATCTTGCGTCCACGTAATGTATTTTCGGTGCCATTGATGCCATCAAGATCTCATCCTCTGCCAGTCCAGTCATTCAGCTCGTAACAACTTGGATGATGACCTCGCCCATAGGTTATTGTGGGTTCTACATCGCACTGTTTCTGAGATTTAAAAAATTAATAATGAGCCTAATAGAAGGAGTTACACACCTTCTGTGATTCGCAGAGCTCCACCGTGCTCAGAAGCGCCGACCGTAATGAACTGCTTGCTAAGTGCTGCGTCAACCTCGTAGGAGGGTTCAAACGTCCTACGTAAGCGCTCCATCCGTAGGTGCATGCTAATTTACGGAGCTTCAAGTTAGCTCTCTCCACTACGGAACTTTGCCAGTGCAGTCTGTAACAACTTTGGTATGTCGTACCGGTCATTGTGCGTTCTACATTGCACTTTTGCTGAGATGAGAAATTAATAATTAGCCTAATAGAAGGAAGGAGTGATGCACCTTCTGAACGCTCCACCGTGCTCAGAAGCGTCGACGGTAATGAACTGCTCTTGACAGGCAAGCAGTTGAGATTTAATGCTTTCCTACATACATCAGCGCTGCATCTGGTCCTGCTAAATTTACGGAGCTTCAAGTTAGCTCTCTCCACTATGGAACGAGGAGGCATCCATACACCACCACGGCACACGAAGCTGTCGGAAAAGAGCCGCGCAAAAGCGGACCTAAAGAATAATTGTCCACGTTTTTCTTACATGCACATACCCCGACGGCTTCCGAATCCCTGTCCCGATCGATAGCCATGACGTTTTTCCTCCTCGAGATGACGACCAAATCCCATAAATACCGCCCCCACCGCCAACCCAACTTTCACTTCAACCACAACCACAATGCCTGAATTACAATGGAAAGGATACGCGTCCGTCTCCCTTCTCTGTTCCATATCGCGTCTTTTGACCTTCTCGACAGCGTTCGCGACACTTCCAAGTGGACCGAATTCAAGGTCATTGACTTTACCCCCAAGACTTTTGACGAGGAAGACGTAGATATCAAAATTGAATGCTGTATGTCTTTTTCACTTATCTATCGCAATACAACTAATGAGAGATGCCCCTCAGGCGGTATTTGCGGTAGCGATGTAAGCGAAACAGTATTCAGCGAACACCTCTCAGCAACTCACTCGCTCTCAGCTTCATACCATCACCGGCGGATGGGGCCAACCCATGCTTCCCGTCATCCCAGGCCACGAAATCGTTGGCCAAGTCGTTCGCGTTGGATCCAAAGTGAAAGAATTCAAACTAGGCGATCGTGTTGGTGTCGGATGCGTTGTATTTATCTTTTCTATCATTACTCCATAAACAACATTGTTCCATAGCGCTCAAGTTTGGTCCTGCAACAAATGCGCCAACTGTAAAAACGACAACGAGAACTATTGCCGTCATTTGGTTGACACGTTCGTACTGGGTGGTTCTTCCTTGTTTTTGAATTTCTGATAGCATATCCAGCTATAATGCTAAGTACCCCAACGGAGACATAGCATACGGCGGCTACTCGACTGCCATCCGCGTTTCCGAGCGTTATGTGTTCGCCATTCCCGAGAAACTCTCCTCGGAACAGGCTGCGCCTATGCTGTGTGCTGGGCTCACGGTATTCAGCCCGTTGGTCCGTAACGGCGCTGGGTATGTCCTCACCGTAAAACATTTTAAACCAGAGCTGAATGTTCCCTCAGTCCCGGTAAGAAAGTTGGCGTTGTGGGAGTTGGCGGGCTCGGTCATTATGCGATTCAGTTCGCCAAAGCCCTGGGGGCTGAGGTCACTGTCTTCAGCAGCAGCACGGGAAAGAAGGTGGCTTTTCCATCCCTTTATATTTATGGCATCGATTACTCACTTGTTCCATCAGGCCGACGCCATCGAGATGGGCGCGGATAAATTCGTCGTAACTCGCGAACCTAACGCCTTGGAGAACATGGAGATGACCTTGGATCTCATCATAGTACGCACGACGCGCCACTTTTCCTACAACTAGACTTACGATCGTATCCTTAGTGCACCGCTGACGTCTCTCATGGAATCCCGTTGACGAAGCTCTTACAGACGCTTACCATCCATGGGAAGCTTGTCATGGTTGCTTTGCCCGATGAAAACCTACCTGATCTCCAAGGAGCTAGTCAGTATCTCCTCGTTCCTATACCACACCCAAGACTGACCGACTCCTAGGTTTTATCTCCAATGGATGCTCCCTGGGTGGTTCGCACATAGGGAGCAAGAAGGAAGCTATTCAGATGCTCAGCCTCGCTGTAGAGAAAGGCGTCAAGAGCTGGGTTGATGTTAGACCTAGTGCGTTTTATAACTGGAATGCTGACCGCTGTCTTACATGATCTCTCTTCCCAGTGTCCGAAGTCGGAGAATGTGTGAAGCGCGTCAAGGAAAATAAAGTCAAGTACCGACACGTCCTCAAGTACGTATCTTAGTGTTTATACCGCGAAAGACAAGACTCTCACCTCATTTCCAGGGCGGATTTGTGAATCAATAGAACATCATGACATAGAATAGAGAAATCGAAAGTTTTGTATTACCATACGAGCCTTTAACCGAAGCTTGAAAACCTTCAGATATTATGCGCCGCTTTCAACAACAGAGTGTGGTGACAAATTGTGTATATTTGTCTGTGCTCGATGCTTACTTCAAGATATCCCTGCCCTCAACAGTTCATTGTCCGCCAAAGTATCGCTAAACTCGAAAACTTTGAAGCTCCAAGCAGAATAACGTTCATGGCTCATACGTCGTAAGGATAACGTCAAACGACTGATCATAACAGATGTAAGTCTGCGCAAGATACGTCGGCTTCAGGCTCGTGATTGAAGTTCGGTTACTTACATCATACTGGCTCTAGGAGTTCGAATATTCATCAACCGTCGCGGAAATTAAATAAAAACACGTACTGGGCGTTCATCAATTTCAAACCGGGCTAATGAGTCGTCGGCAACGTAAATGAATGTTATTAGTTACAGAGCGGCTTACCCGACCACACAGGGCAAAAAGCATCCAGAGGGCATTTCCAGTGAGTATGACGCCAAAATACAGCGTCCCGTCGCGCTGGATTCTCTGGAGCAGGAGGGTAGTAGGAATTATCCTGTGGTTCTGAATAGTGGCTTTCAGGGTGATAATGAACACTATAGCTGTCGAAAAGGATAGACAATGCCAAGTAAAGGGTGTCCCTAATGTTTTTGTCGATGAGACTTTCTCCGGGCCAGATGTTTGTTTTACGTACATTAGTGGGTTGGAGAATAATATGCAGACTAAAATGATCAGGTAATAGGGTCGGGCAGTTTTATATCAGTAGACGCCTGCTTACCATGAATCGAATCAATTTCATGCGACAGTGTGGGTAAGCTTGGCATGGGATAGCGCTATTCGAATTGATTAGACGATACACCATGTGATAGATAAGCTAAGTAGCTGATGTCGTACCGTTATTTTCCCCGGGTTGTGCCATAGCATAAATTACAATGATACATTGAGTAACGGGCAAAAGGCCAAGAATTACGATGTATAGCTTCCTGCTTCCGGTCAGGGCATAAACCCTTGCGAATATTTAGTGAGTAGCCTCGAGCGCTGGGTAGCTTGAAGGCTCGTACCGGATTAATAATACCGCCTCAGCTGGAATGGCAGCTAACAGGGCCTTGCAACCACTCAACGACGGCAAATCGATTGCAACTGATAGGATTATTGGATGAGAAGCGTCGTGTTCTCCCGGAAGAGGGAAGCTTACATCTGCCCATCAATCAATCATTTACGTTCAGTCCTCGAGCACAGACAGTCATCAGGTTCCACACACCTCGGAAGTCCACAGTGGCGAGAAATAGGCTACACTCGTTCGATAACTGTGAACTTTTAGAGGTACCATAGAGCCGCTCACCGAATAAGGTAATGATGCAAAATGACATAGCGCAGTATCGGTTCTTTACATTCAAGGGCACATGGTCAATGAAATGGCACATAGCACGAACACCAACTCACCAATAAAAATAGATAGAATACTTCGAGAGGATGAGCGCAGGAAGAAAGATTATTTGAAGGAAAGCCATACTGAGCCCCTTCTTCCCCTTCCAAGCATACTCAACCTCATCGCTTATGGTGAGAAAGTAATCGAAAAAGATGACCGTGCACGAAGCGACGTAGTACCACTAGAAACGGATTGTCAATACTAGCGCCGCGAAGTTGATCAACGACTAGAAGTCAACCTTGAAAGCTTGCCTGATAAACACGTCATTCAAAGCAACCCAGCACCAATAGACGATCAGACCTACAGATCCTTGGCTAGCAGTATAACATCTTCGTCCATCAACAGGAGCGTACGGCGACGTCGCCAAAATGCGGCTTGAGGATATTATCGGAGTACGAGGTGGAGGGATGGGAAGCAAGGATGAAGACCCTGACTTACCACCAGGTCCATATATGTGGTAAACAGACACACCGACCCCACGCATACTAAGCCACCATCATAGCGGATAAGTAGTTTTATTGATATTCCAAGTCTAGGCCCCATCGAAAGCGGGGTTCATCGAAGATACAGGTCATCGGACCCTATATCATGAAATCTACATTAAATTTAGACACGTTGAGTTTTTAAATAAGCACACCTCGTCGACGCAACCTGCTCGGGAAAGACCCCGGTACGAGATGTGATAGCCGCGAGATACATAGAGACCGCTTCTACCGGATATGTGTGAGATTGAACAGTCGATCAAAGCTTCGGATTGATGTTTGATGAGCTATAAAATACATACAGGGAGGTCTAAACCATATTAATGTGCTGCGGGGCATGGACATGCATCTATACGACATGTCCTAAAGTTTCCTGCCCAGTTTAGGCCGTCCTGTGATATGAGTGAAAGTGTACTAAATGGCCCCAATGCTGCCATGTGAACGGAGATGGAAATGGCAAGATCCACAAGGAAGATGCATGGATGGCTGTTCTTGTCCAAACAGCAACGTCAACAAAACCGCACGTCGCGGGAAGTAGTGGGTAACAACCAAGCAGACCGAGAAGGACTATCAATTCAGCCTGCATGAGCCTGTGATTGTGGCCTCTTGACAGGTGCCGAAGTGGACGGACTAACTCAGGATGGATACGCTAGCCGTTTTCAGACAAAGCACTGAAGAGATGTTGAGAAGCTGGGAAGTCCATAACGTAGCCCTTTGCCCTTCACGTCATGTCTGTCGGGGTTGGCGGCAGTGTGAACAGGAAAACATAAAACCAGAAGAGACTATTGAAGTCCTCGTTGCTCTAGGTATATTCCTGGTGTTTATTAAATGAGCAGTGATCCAGGAATATCTATGAACCCCAGAGATACTCGGTTGAGTCAACAAAGCCATCGCAGAACTGAGAAGAGGTTCATTTGTCCAGCAGTAGATCTCCAGAAGCCGGCGCCGTTGCTAAGATCGCATATACGGGGATCCAGTTACGGTTTCCAGGTGCTATGGCACGACAGGGAAGGTCGCAAACTTCTATGTACAACATAAGTACCAGAGGTTCGCGGGACAGACGAAAGGCGTGATTCCCATGTGATGCTTTCCGGGTGATTCGGGCCGAATGCCGGTCCTATCCGCTTCCCCTTCATCCATGCCATGAACCGAAAGATTCTACGAATATGCGATATTCGGTGCTCTGGTCTCTCTGACTGGTCCGTGGTTTTTGTACTTTCTGGGGCCGAGGATCTCAAGGGGACACCGGCTAGTCCTCAATAGCCAGCGACGCGGCGCCCCAACGTTCGATACTGCCATATCAGCCTCATTATTTAGTGCTCGTCCGTCTGTGCTCCAACTTGCATTGCTTGCTTGCTCCTTTTAACGTCAGAGAACTCACATAATTACATTAGTGCACCACGCGGGTCGTCAACAGCTCCATATAACATCCCTCTTTTCACTCTCGTTCCCCTCTGATACCGTTTCTCGAAGAACTCACGTTTGTCCGATGGGAATTCCTCGTGGAGGATCGTTCATTCTGCCCTCTTTGATTGCCCTGCCCTTGGCTTTCCATAAGCAAGCAGCTCCAAAGATACGTCAATTGGACAGGAGATAGTGCTATGCTTCAAATATCTTGTGTTTCCGAACGTACCTTGGTGGTATATAGTCGCCGTTTCCAGATAGGTCAGGTTCTTCATCCCTAGAAGATTCTCTTTGCTTAACATCAGTGTGCCATGGATAGTAGCGCCGACGATTACACGGTTGAGAATTGAAAATTCGATGGGTCAGCCTAGTTTCGTCAAGTCGTGGTTCTATGAACAAAGCTTCTGTTGTGATCGTCTATACTACCATCGAACTGGATGTTCTCGTTGATCCCTTGGGCCTGAACTACCGCATCGAGGTCCTAAAAACATAGTACCGCCGTCGACGAAAGAAATAAACGCACGTACTATACTTCCCTTTCGTATGCGGAAGGGATGCAGTTCATGCCAGCCTAATCAGGGTGTACATAGTACACACACATTCTCCATTAGCTCAGGTTCTAGAGTCTAGAACGACACATCTTCTGCCATCCCGGATAACGATCGTCTCCTGTTGTGCCGCTGGCTCTTCCAGCATCGGTCGATGTTCTTGTATCCCCATATTTATCATCAGCAATGCGGATCGCAGCTACGGATCACACCAATAGCAGACGACAGGAGCACTTTATCGTAACAGAAAATCGGTCATATTTACCCTCAGCTGTTACAATATCATACATTTCGTTATCGGCGGTCAGCCTTTCACGTCCTTTTCTGACTGGAGACCTTGCCCGTCTTGATTCGGACGTCTAGAGGTACTCATAACGGCAGTGGCAAAGAAGAGAGGACCGATTTGGGAGCACTGTCTCGGGGTCTCCGTCCCCTGCAACTAGGATTTTTTACAACTGCGGGAGGGCAAGTCTCGTCGGAGGTCATCTCTGGGCGCCATACAAGCATGAGGATATTATGCATTTACTCGCAGCTTCCACATGTAGTCCAATGCGCTTTATGATCTTACTCAGGTCATGGATTTACACTTGCTGGGAGGCAGAGACCAAATGGACACCAGTTACAATGGCCTTGATACGAATATCTGGATCTGGCCTCAGCGTGCCTAGTTTCATAACGACATAAAGACCGGTCGTTGGTTTGTATGCCGTTTTCCTGTTGTGGGTCATGTGTCTCCGGGCAGACGCCTCAGAAACGGAGGTATGTCATGGAATTTCTTTCCAACTTTACTTTCTCTCTAACGGCGTGGCTTGGAAATATTTTCACCGAGATACTAAAGTCTTCACGCACAGCGCGCAAGAAATGAAGCACTGACTTTGCGGGAAGGACTCAGGACTTGGAGTCTCTCTCTCGACTTGTAGATGCGACTACCACGAAACTCGCGTGTAACGTCATTGGTGTCTGCCAATGGGAGTAAGCCGGTGAAAAGCTGTCTCTTGCAACGATCTAGTGCTCTGTTGATGATCTTTGGAAGAGTTGAGAAGACACCATCTCCCTACGACTTGTTGGCGGAATAACGGCGGCTCTAGATGGGGCCCCGGCGGATTGCATCCGCGGACGACAACTTCTTGCTTTTCAGTTTCTCCTGCTTGTTGACTATTTACGTGAATGACTTTCGATATCATGTCACAGAGGAGGCAATCAATGAATGAGAACTCAGCAATATACGGAGGTGCGGTGATCTCCCTTCGGCATACAGAACAGATAGTTTTCTCTATCTAATTGAGTGGCGTGGTAATTCGAACTCAAAGGACCATTCATCGACATTCTGGGAGAATCGGCCGCTGGTGTCTTTTCTCTTCACTGACCTCGTGCTTATGGTTCTTGAAGCCTGTGATTCCTTCGACGGATAAGTACGGCCATCCGTCTGTACCTTGATCTATCTCCACCTACACTGCCCACAAAGTGCCATTCCTCTGCTTGACGTGTTGTTAGGGTATTGCACCCACTGTGATGATAGCTCATTTTTCGAGCCTAGCCAAGGGGGGATGCTCTCTTCGCTTCCGACGGCAATACATTGCCTGTGATTCCTCACGCACTTGTGCTGGATTCGACACGTAGATATCAACATACAGACATACAGGAGGGAAGAATGAACATCCTCTGGAGATTCCTTGAGCCGAAGCATTAACAGACCGCCATTACTTATGAAGTTCGAAAGGGACAAGGACTTTGCGTATCTGCGAGTAGCTCGAAATCTCCCATGACAGGACAGTTCTGAGATGCTCCATTTCTTTCTCTTCGGTTAGTCATGCCGACTCTAGTATTTTCGGTATATGTGGGCTTCCTTGATTGGATTGATGATGGAAAAGCTATTGGATAGGAATGCTTTGGGAGCACTCCGGAATGAACGTACGAAAGTCAATAATTTCCATACTCCGCTATCATGCAGGAAAAGGCAGGAAAGGAAGCCGAGTAAAGTTGATGAGGATAATCTCTGTCAGAATATTTCACGGCCTATGTAGTCAGAGCATGAGAAGAAAGATAGGCTATATATTCCTGCATGAAGTTTAACATGAGGCAGAACACGAGGTAAACGCGCGAAATATCAACGAAAACGAATTAAATAAGACGCGAATCATCACGTGATCCAAACACGTCGCGTGTTCGGCCGTTTCCAGGTTCCTTTCCACCCAATCAACGGACGATCCTGTTGCATAAGAACCCCTTGAATGATATCGTTATCTTCGCTTCGATGTCGCTCACATCCATCCTCGGATCTCTCTTTCTCTCCTTCTTCTTGACCGTGGGTAGCCGCTAGACATTTTCAAAGGCACCGAATCGGAGGCGGTATAGGTGTGGTGGACCCCTGGCGTCGCTTAATTGCATCCTTTTGCTTAGGCGAGGAAAGGGACGCAGGCGAGTTTCTCGTTTCTTCAATTATATGTATACATTGACTCTATGATATTGCAATATCGTTTACTGCCTATCGCTATCCATGCTCTTTGCCAAAAGACTAACTTATCCATGCATAGACCCTACCTGCCATTATCTGACTATATGCGCCGAGAATCATCACCATTTCCCTCCGTTCACTCATATCACATGCAGCATGCCAGCAAGACCTTCAGACACACGTTTGCGATACTACGGCACGCTACTTTCTTCTCGACCACTGCCCTCGGCGCAAAATCTTCGAGGCATGTTCCAAAGCCATTGATTGATCAGTACCTGTAAGTATCACTACTTGTCATTAACTGTCTGGTATACAAGTAACACCCTCAATAGTACATATCTAGCAAAATATTGTCTACGAAATCACGAGAAGAATAAAGAAAAATAGAGAAAACAATAATTACATGGAGGAAGTCGGCGCTGTCCACAGCCGCCAGTCTTCGACCCCCTTCTTCGCTGTCTCCCCCCATTTAGCTGGTTGCCGTACATCGCTCGTTCTAGTCTTCGCCCCATGCTCAGCCGGCAGAACCGTCGCATCAGACATTGGGCTACCCCCCGAGACACTCTCCGTCCACCTCACACGTTTTTCCCGGGTATCGACCAGCCTCGGGGCCTCAGGCTCCAGATTCGACAGCATAATCGCCGTCGAATCGGCGGGTAGGACATCCTTGTCACTGTAGATTCCCTCGTCATCCGGTACCTCTTCCAGCATCACGCTCGTCTTGCCTTTACTACTAGACTTCTTCGCTGGCGCTTTTGGTTCAAGCAAGGGCTTAGGCGGTGCAGCAGGAGTTGGCGGACTGGGATCCGACGTCGTACGTGCTCTGACATGTCCCTGATGCGTTTCAGGCATCGAGTGCGACTTTTCAATCACAGTCGATCTCGACATATGGTTCCGACTCTCGTGATGAGTTTTTGGCAGCCAGATGGTCCGATTGTCTGGGAGGGGCGTTGTCGAACTGAGCCTCTGTGATGTCAACGAGGACGTGGGCTTCGAAGGAAGCGGCGGTTCTCTCATGTGGTCAAGAGTGAGCTTGGAAGAACTAGCACCGCTGTTCTCTGTCTCCAACGATCGCGGAGATGACGACTTGGAGTGGTGGTAGAAAGAGGCTTGTGACGGGGGTTTCATTCGGGACATATCGACTACAGGAAGCGACGCCGTACTCTCATGCCTGATAGCACTAGGATCGTGACACCTTCGTTCGACTTTCATCGGCAACAGCACGAGTTGCGAAGGGATCCATTGCTCTGGCTTTCGAGATGTCCGCTGGAGATTTGACTTTCCAGCCACTGGTTGTCGAGGGTCGTTCGATAGGATCAGGATTCGAAAAAGGCTGGCGCTGGTTGGGGCTTCTTGTGTTGGGTTGATCCCTTGTCGGGGTCAATGGTAGGTCGCCAATATAGGTGCTCGTTGGGACGGAGGGTAGTGTCGAAGGCATCCATCCTGGAGCGTGATCTCTGCCTGTCCTGCTCCCGAGTCTTCTCCTGTTCGCGAGCAGGGGCCTCCTCCATCATCTTGGCTCGCTTACCATCCCCATTGTCCTTCACCTTTTCATCCTCCTTCCGTCGGACCCTCGCTTCGCGTTCCTGACGTTCGCGCTCCTGCTTCTCCTGTTCTCGCAAGAATATTTCCATCTCCTTTGACAACTTGGCTTCCCCTCCTCTCTTCTCTCGTACTCTTTCCTGTTCTCGTATGAACGCCTAGCATCTCCTTCGACAATTTTTCTGGCTCTCTCTCCCGTTCCGCTTCCCTCGCCAGCTTCTCCTGCAACCTAAATGCCACCTCTCTATCGCTGAGCTCCTGAGCAGCCCTCAGTTCACGTTCACGCTCGCGATCGAACTTTTTCACGTTTCGCGTGCTCCTCCGCCTTCTTCTTCGAAGCGTGTTCTCGCTTCAAGACCTCCAATTGCTCGCGCTCCAATCGTTGACGCTCTTTCATCTCCTCTTCCTTCCTCCGGATTTCAAGTTCTCTGCGTTGCATTTCCTCCTCCCTCCTTTTCAGGTCTTCCTCCTTCCTCCTTTCCTCCTCTCTCTTAGCCTGCTCCTTCCTCCTAGCCTTCTCTTGCTCTCGCTTGAATGCTTCCATGGCTTTTGCCTGCGGAGCTTCCTCATCCTTCTCATTGATCTCTCGCCGTCGTCTCTGTCTCTCCTCGTCGACCAGTTTCTTGCGCTTGTCCTCCTTATCGCGTTGCAACTGCAACATTCGGACCTCGTGTTGCTCTATCCGTGTTACAGCGTCCTCACCCTGCGAAAGATCCTGCACAAGAGTACATTCGTACTTGATGGCATCCATGTGGAACTCCTGTATCATCTTGAATCGTACGTCCTTTTTGAATGCTTCAAACTCAAATTCCATCTGTTTGAGGGAACGTTCCGGGGTGGAATGTTTCTCTTGGGGGTGGAGTAGGCCATAGTCATGAGGATCGACGATGACTGGACCGATATAACGGATAGCTTGTTTAGGACGTGAGGAGGAAACCGTCGTGGCAGTTGCCACGGACGAGGTTGATGCAGAGCTCGAAATGGGAGGCGAGACCGAAAGATGAGCGGTGGGAGGGGACGCACGAGACGGTTCTGGTTGTGGTATCTGGCGGACCTGGCGTGCTTGGTCATGTTTCGGCAGGGGTTGAGGCTTCGTCGCTTCCCTCGAGTCGATCCTCAGGGTGTCAAGCCATTCAGAGGAGACAAAATCCGAATCTCCTCGCTGCGGTTGAACCTTAGATGGTTCTTCTTCAGACTTGAGCCACTCTGAGATCTGCGACACGTCGTCATCTGAGGAAATGGGCGACGCAAATGGATTACGACTAGAGTGAGCAATGGACTCTGGCGCTGGCGGTTTCCAGAGTTCGACAGGCACTGGACGCGGAGGTGAAACGGACATGGTGCGCGGAAGGCGGTCTTCCGGAGTCGGGTAATCAACAACGACGGGTTTAGAGGAAGGAGATGTACTTGGCGACGTCTGCAGGGAGTCGGCACCAGTCCACCAGGTTGTAGATTGACTGGATGTAGGAGAAACGGCATCAGTATCAAAAGCCTGTGACGGTTGAAATCAATGCAAGGCTGTGGCGATGGAATACAGCGGTGTTTACCTCGAGAAAGTCGAAGCCTGCTTCTTCATCAGCGTCTTCATCCTCATCCTCATCATATGCTCCACCAAACGATGCGGGATTGACTATGGCATAGGCTGAAGTGGATAGGTTAGTTGACCGTACTTCTGTGGTCAGTGGTGGAGAGGAATTGATTTTAGTGGCGGTGGCGGTGATGGGAAGTTTTTGTGAGGAGGATGCCACAGGCGTGCTCGGGCTGGGAGACGGTTCAATGATGGGAGCGGGTTCGGGTTCGGGTGGAGGTGGAGGTGGAGGTTGAATTTCTGGTTGGACATGCTTGACGACTTCTTCCTCGCTTACCTCAACGCCGAACAGGACCTTGAACGTTACCACCATTTCGGGCGGCGTGATGTCAACCCAGTCAGCCTCGCAAAGGCCTTTTTCTTCCAACCTTCGCTCCCACTCAGTTTTGGCCCTTTCGCAAAGCGATTCATCGAGACGCAGACGCTCGTCCTGTCTTTCCGAGTCAGTAGTGAAGAGGATGTTAGAGTCGATGGCGTCAAGGTCTTTGCCATGAGAGACCACTTCAGGTGTGTACCAAGAAGCATAGAAATCCTTCCAGACTGCACGAACTTGTTCAGTCTTGGAGAGCATCGTCGGAGGTGGGGGAAGCGGGAGAGGCGGGGTAGCCGGCCGCGGAGGAGAAGGTGGGGGTTGCGGCGCGGCAGCTTTTTTGGTAGGTTGGTTTTTAACCTTGGCGCCTTTCTTTGCTTTGGCCATGATATGACTCGAGCACTACTAGATTGAATGCAAGGATGTTGGATGTTGGATATAGAACGGAAGAAAACGATTGGGTGCCTCGTGTGGGAGTTCTCAATCGTCGCGTGTTTGGACGGCTAAATCCGTTGTTGGTGGGTAGATATGCCGTTCTGGGCGTTACAGACGAGTTTTCAGGCTGCTGGAAGGGAGCGAACGGGGTGGGAAGGGAGCCTTGGGTGGACGTTTGAGTCAGAATCAAAATCCTGGACAGACAAGTATTAGCGACGTCATGTGACCAGCTTCAATCGGGCCAGGGCAGAGGGTTGGCTTTTTGTCAACATTTTTGTCGAGTCCATTTGGATCTTACTCGGTCTTGACTCGGGCCTTTGTTTTTTCTTCATTACCGGTATTTCATTTCACGTCCCTCCGCCCCCTGCGCAGTGATCTATGTTTTATGCCCTTGACCCTTTACCATTGCTCTTCCTCCCTCCTCTGCAACACGCGAACAGTTAATAGGCGTTATCAGGCGTACGAACGCATGGTTACACACCAACACCGTTCATTTCAGATCCATTCATCTGCGTCCGCACAACGAAGCATGTGTTTCTGCCTTCTCGAGCCTCCATCATCTGGCCTCGATGATCTCACGTCGTCGACTGATCTGCGTCGACCACCGCCACTTGGAGACCCTCGTTTCCCAATTATTACTTGTGCACCAGCAATCGCCAGCTTTTTTACCTGGTTTCAAACCCCCCCTTCCCTCTGGACCTTTTACGCTTTTCCTCGTAATCGATTACTCACTACTACCCGAGCGATGATGACACGAGCGATAAGACCCTGGCATGCACTAGCTTGATCGACACGCAATCTCTACATGAATCATACCATTCAAATCGCTATATTCCCGTGTTCCGGAAGATTCTTCAAGGTCGTTCCCTGTCGTTTCGTTCCTCGTTCCGTCAGTTCATCGGGTCTCCCTTTCCGCTGACGCACTCTTTAGATCCTCAAGTATACGAGGACCGGTCTGATACTAGCTTCGTCTTCAACCTGTCTTCTATCTCTCCGGCTTCGCGTTGTTGCCTGAGCCCCTTCCTATACTCCGGAGTCTAATAATGGCCCACAACTTTCCCACAACCCGAACTTTACCATTGTATTCCCCCGTCTTTGAGCAATCACTTCGTGGAGATTGTTCCCTATTTCCTCCATCCAAAACACTCTGCGTTTCGAATTTCTACTGCGGTTGATTGATCTAGGTATGCAACAGAGCCGAAAAACCTGGCCTTGATCCATTATCGTTACACTATGCTCGAAATCAAGTTTCGCCCTTCACAGCAGAACATTTTGGGACATCTAAAACGATTTAGAGAGCATTAGCCACATCACCAACATATTTATGACGGTTCCGAGTGCGGCAAATGATCTTTCGTCTGCTCGCGAGGGCCGATAAGATGCGCTTCACCGGTTCTTATATCATCGATACACAAGCCGAGGCATGCTTCTTGATTTCCCTTCGTGGCGACTGTTAGCCACAAATATCTACATCCTCAGATATGGCACTTTTCTTCCTTTAGATCGTAGAAGAATTGAATCGATAATGCCTATGAACTCTTCCTTTTCCCCTACTGTTACAAGGCCGCTGAGTTTGTGTATCCCGCTTGTTTGATGCCTGAGTGAAAATGGATTATGATCCGACGATGCAGGGTTCTGAGTAACAGCGCACAACACGAGCACCACGACTGCATACTTACCACCACCACATGTGTTGACCGACCAAAGGCCGAATTCCGTGATTTCGTCTCTCCAATTACCTGCATATCTGACGGTCAGCACCATAATCCAGCCTATATCGCGTCTTCGCAGTTTCTGATTGGATGAGCAGGTGCATACACAGGGTCCTCAACACTTGTGCCTTGTATCTCCACTTCGCTATACAGACAATATCCTGGATATTCGGCCATCAGGACATTCTACGGTACAAATCTGCTTAGCTGGTATCGTGTAAATAGTTCTGATTGTTCACGATTGCCTCGCAACAGTCGCGTTGGATCTCGACGATAATAGGTGCGGCTTCAATAAATGTGCAATGATGGTGACACTGAGTACCCATTCTAGATTTCCTGTCACTGGAAAGGCTAGTAAGGCACTGTGCTCGGTCTTATAGGTGACCTCTCTTCCATTGCCGTCGTAAGTGTTTACACGTGCTGCAAATGAAATGCGATCTAACTGAATGACCGGTTCTTCAAGATACACAGGCGTCACATTGTACCAAATATTACAGATTTCGAGTTTCGTGGAAGCAGTGAGCCATCTACACGTGTAGTCATGCCCTAATTTCTGATTCCTTACAGTCGTATGCAGCCACTTCCTTCGCTCTTCTAACCTTCATTCTCCTACCAATCCCTCATGTCTACGGGTACCGTGACCTCGGAATTCTCAGCACACCCAGACTTGTACGAACCAGACGACCAATGGAAAGCCGACCTCAAGGAAACGCTCTCTATCGCCTTCAAAGACATGCTACTCCAAGCCAAGCAGAAGCTCGAGGCTGACCTTCAGAGCCTTGGAGATGACATCGACCCTGTGCAGAAGAAGAAGTTGATCGACGAGTATCAGGCCAGCGAACGCCAGATCAAGAGCTTCGCAACCCAGAGCTTCAAAGTTGAGGTTGAGAAGGAAAGAGAGCAGAGACGGTGGGCCGCAGGGCTTGAAATACGGACTGCATGGAAAGAAGACCTAGAGAGCGAACAGCAGGCGATTATGAGCGGCATTCGTAGACAAAGAACAGGCAGTGCCGGAGCAGAATCAAATGTGTATCCGAAAGGAAGAGACAGAGAGTCGACAGTACCGGATCGTTTACCTGATTCGCACCAGCATACTACCATTACTATGCCTACGCCTACGCCTACCTCTACAGCTACTCGCCCTTCGCCCATACCCATACCCACCCCACAGAGACGGTCATCGACATCAGGAACACCCGGAAACTCGGTGTCCAAGAATCCAGAGGTGTGGATACCACCGAAATCCGCTGCTGAGGACAAACCGATGCCTCTTGGGCGCCGCACAAGCCAGACCAGTATAGGTAGGTCGCCGTCACAGACATTCAAGCCGTCTGCCCCCATTCCGGAGGCTCAGAAACCACCCAGCAACACGGACAGCAGGCCATCGTCGTCGTACGTATCGAAGACGTCTCCCCTTCCTGAGATTCCGAAACATGCAACTACCGAGTACGATCATTCTGAAAGCCGGACGTCGCCACCTCAGACCTCTCGGTCGTCTGTTTCTACTCTGGAGAACCGGAAACATCCAGACAGAGATAGCCGGCTGCCGCCTTCGTACACGCGGCCATCAGGGTCCATTCCAGAGAACAACAGGCGTCCCATTCCCGAGCACGTTGATTCAAAGGATCAATCGGCAGCCACTCGACATTCTGTCCCTATACACGTTCATGAGAATGCGGAGCGGGAGAGAGCTCGTATTGATGAGGCGGATCAATCGTGGGCATCCCATAACAGAGCGAAGGGGAAGGAAGAGGTCGAGAACGACCAGCCACCATCACCTGCGCCACGATCCGTTTCCGTGAATCAGGATGTGGGACGGCCTCCTACCCCGCCCATGGCTACGAAACCTGCCTATCCTCCAAGCCTATTGACAACGTCGCGTCCGAGTAGTATAACGTCATCTCGCCCTCCAGCCACTCTGTGAGTCGCCTTCCTTCTAGGTAGCGACCCTTTTAATCTAGTATAGTCGTCAGGCGTCATCCTCGTCTGACGGATATTCTTTGTAGTGAGTTTAAAGGTCGGGTCCATTCATTTACCAAGGCTCATTAATTCTAGTCGCCAGCCTTCTCTCGACGCGTCTTCGTCGTAGTAAGCATATCCGTTCTTACTTTCTACGTAACCTTTAGTCATTTTATACCTGTCCAGTCGCCAACCTTCGGTCAACACATCTTCCTCTTCCTTGAGGTGAGTATACCTTGTGGCTTCACGTTGATCGTGCTTATGTCCATCTTAGCCGTCAACCTTCCATGACGTTCTCCCATAACAATCCTAATCACCATCCCCATCCTCGGATACCAGAGTTTCCGCCAGCGCCAGTACCTGTTGATGGATTAGATGCATATCGTTCTCGACATACATTACAGTCCCCTTCTCACTCTCAAACAGTGCCGTATTCATACTATTCGCCGCAGACCTCCTCGTATCTTCAACACCAGCCTTTTCCACCATCTCAAGTGCCGAAATCCGTATTCGTCTGGAGGTGACCCACCGGCCTGGAAACTCTGGGAAAATGAGAAACTCCCGGCGGAGCCCAATGACGACGATTCAGAGAGCTTATCGGAGGATGATGAGGCAATACGGAGATCGCGTGATAGAGTGGCAATTGCGAGGGAAGGAATGGCCCAGGACGATGTGCACCAACAGGAAGCAGCACCAAATCAAGCAATACGCACAACAAAACGCTCACTGAGGCGAGAGGCACCCAGGGAGGAAACCACTCAGAGAGAGGAGATGTCATGGTGGGAGGAAGAACATAGGAAGGAAGAGGTGAAGAGGAAAGAAGAGGAAAACAAGCGTAATGAGTTGGAAACCAGGCGCAAGGCGGAGGAGGCGCAGCGTAAGGCAGAGGAAGCAAAGAGGATGGAGGAAGAGGCAGAAAAGAAAGCAGAGGAGGCGAGAAGGATTGAGGCTGAAACGGAGAAGAGAGCCGCTATGTTGAGGGAGCGTGAAGAAGCTTTGAGGCAGCGCGAACAAGAGCTGGAGAAGAGAGAAAGGGAAGCTCAAGAAGCCGAATTGAAGAGAAAGGAGGAAGACCTGAAGAGGAGAGAAGAGGAGATTATGAAGAAGGAAGCGGAAGATCTGAAGCGGAGGCGGGAAGAATTGGAAAGAAAAGAAGCTGAAGCGAGACAGAAAGCAGAGCAGGAAAGGCTTGAAGCGGAGGCTGCGAAGGCAAGAGAAAGGGAACAGATACGGAAAGACAAAGAACTGGCGGAACGTATGCAACGAGAGCAGAACGAGGAGTCGTGGAAGGAGAAGGAACGGGCTAACAAGATTAGACTGGAGGCAGAGAGAAGAAAGGCGGAGGAGAATAGAAAGGCGGAGGAGAGGAGAAAGGCGGAGGACAAAAGAAAACTGGAGGAGTTTCAGGCGGAACAGGCACGCGCTCGGCGAAAGGAAGAGGAAGCCAAGCAGCAGCAAGCAAATTTCCAGCGCCGTGAAGAAGAAATTCGAAGGAAACGACAAGATAGCTGGACTTCCGAGGACACTAAAGCCCGCTCTGCCAGTGGATGGGGTTCGAGTACATCTGCCTCATCGTCATCTTCGGCTTGGAGTTCTTCTTCGACTGCCTCTAATCCAACCTCTGGATGGAAGCAGACTACGCCTAGTTCCAACAGGACGTCGACCTCTTCCTCGACACCAGGATATAAACCGAGATCAGGCTCTTCGTCGTATTCGCAGCATCAGCCTCCTTCGACACCTTCTGGTACACCTCAGACTCCAGTTTCTGATGCTGAGTGGCGGCGGAGACAGGAGGAGCAGGCACGAGCACAACAAGAGAAATTCCGTGCGGAGCAGGAACGGCTTGAGCGGGAGCGACAGGCGAAAGAGGCAGGCAGGATCATGTCAAAGGAGGAGGTGGTTCGGCTGTTCCAGTCACATGAAAGTCAGTGGCAGAAGCTGACTAAAGGAGAGATCGAGAATGTTATTTGGGATGCGTTCCCTTGGCCGATGATTAAGAAGCCAAAGGACGTTGCGGATATAAATGCTGGTGCGATACATGCGTATGTGCTTAATCCGCATTTTCCAAATGATAATGGCAAAGGGGATAAGGACAAGATTAAGGAGCAGATTCGAAGGTGGCATCCGGATCGCTTTGAAAGGCTGATGCCTCGGGTCGCAGAGGACGATAGGGACAGGATCAGAGAAGGGGCCGGTGAGGTGGTCAGGGGATTGAATGATTTACTGACCAAGTTCAATGGTCCCGCAGGGATGTTTGGGTGAGATTTACTTGTAAGTTTTGGGGCGCATCAGTGAACGAACGACACAATCTATGTAGCATTTTTGGTTTCTTTTTATTTTGTCATCTACTCACAATGTATATGGACCACTCAGCAGTCCTAGTCATATTTCGTCTTGTATGAATATATCACCACTCTTGTAATATATATTTCGTTAAGAACTGGCTTGGCAAAGAATCCCGCTAATCCAGGCTAGATACACACTTAGAATCCGCGTACCAAGTATCCGGAAAGGATTCTCGAGTAGAGGTTCCACGGAACTCGGGATTTCCAAGTTCCCGGACCGACTCCTCGCGTCCTCTGGGTTATCGCGATCCCAGTTTCAGAACCAAGACGATTCCTGAAATCTCATAGCTTTCGCGTCTTCATCACGTCACCTTCATAAGATCGACTCCGGTCCCAATACCGCCGCTCAATAAATTTTAACTAGAGCTGTCATAATCACAGACCGCTACTTGCAACCATTTCTAGTGTAGAAATCCAGCTATTGGCAACAAAAGAAAGAGAGGGACATCGGAAACAGGTTGAAAAGCGATTGCCGAGGACGAGCCACTGTATCCTTTTTGTCTTCCTCCGGACATGGCCACTGCGACAATAGATACTAAGCCGGTTGGGATGGCGCTTTATTTACCTTGACGTCAACTTTCTTGTATCTAGGGGCGTGCTTTGACTTGCCTTGACCTTCCTTGACCAGCGCTTTGGCTTCCGAGTCTGCCGCAAGTGATGCTGGCAAAGACAAGACCGCTGTATCTGGAAGTATAAAATGCTGAGATACCGTCGGAGAACTCCTCACTCGTTCAGCACCCTGGCTCTCCCAACATCCCTCTCGCCTTGATCATGTCTTTCCAGCTCGCGATCAACCTCCCTTGTCGAAGAAAGCGTTCACTTCCCAGAGACCCCAGAGACGCCGGTTCCCAACGTGAAGCTAGCTTCCAAGAAGTACACCAAGAGGCGACGAGAGCGATTTTCCCACCGACAGGGCCTCAATGGTTCTTCCTGGTCTAAGAAGGACTTTAGGCTCCTGTGCAAGCGGAGCGACATCAAGCCTACCCAGGCCATCCCCCCTGATCCCATCTCATCATCATCATCCGCCGTTGCCTTCCCCTCGACACCAATCATGCCTCGGGAAAGGTTGAGCCCACCCCCCGCACCCCGAGCTTTGAAGAAAAGAGTCATGGATCTTGGAACCCCTACGCCGCCACCCCGTAGACCTAGATTTACTGGTACTACGGACGAGCTTATTGCCAGTTTGGTGTCCCGCGTCAAACGCTCTTCAACGGTCAATTTCAACTCAGTAGAAGACACGACTGATGATGAATCAGATGTGTGGTACGAAAACATACAGGATGCATTCGAGGCTGCTGTCGGTACTGGTGTCAGGGAGCTAAACCCTTCTAGGCGCTGTTCAAGTACACCTATGCATTCATAGTAGTCCATACTTTACACGAGTACATTTTTACGCTCCTTATTGTACAAAGTATACACGATTATGAGATCCTCCCTGCAGTTAAAGAATCTCTGAGCTCTTTTCTGATATGATATGCCATGTACTTCCCAAAATCCAGAATCAGCAACGTACCAAACAACCAGTCCGACGGCTTATAACGAGCTAATACACATTCTCCCAGAGCCTTCATCCCATGACAAGCTCTGCGCGCCGTTCTCCAGCTCTTCCTTTAAATAATTCTGGGTCAACGAATATAATGCTTCCCATTCCCTCGGTGGGTAATGGGTAGCCTGAGGGGCTTTGAAAAGACCTTCAGCGTAATCCATGTTTGCTCTATTGTATCCCCGCCACCAGGACGAAATCTTAGGCGCTTCTGTGCGGTCGAACCAGTCCGTGTAGTACACAACAGGGCGATACGCCCCAGGAAGAACATTGGGACGACCAGCAGGTGGAATCCGTACCGTCCTGAGCGTGGTGCCCTCGTACAAATTGTACTCCATCGACTCCGTTTTGATATTTTGGTGCAGCTGCAGATTAAATGTGCCGATAACACCATCGAAATGCGTCAAGTAGATGGAGATTGGGGGAGTTATACATGGAGGAGAATTTGTCCAAGGAGTACCGTTGGCGTTCTTGGGCATGTACATGTCGGAGATGTATGCGGCGTCGATTCCGCTAGTCGAGAGGCGAGTAATGCGCTGCTGCAAAGGGAATGTGGTATGCTGTACAGAGACTTGAGGTATAGGATAGAGCTCGATAGAACCCCCGTGAGCATCAGCCCGCACAACTAGAATATGGGCCTGATCAGGGAGCATTCTGAGTGCGAGCATCCTCTACGAGTAAAAGGTTAGGGGGACTGGAATAATAGTACCATAGATATTACTGACTGGGTTAGGCCCGATATCCGGGCATATGATGTGCGTCGTGCGTTGGGTGTTAAAGTTGATGACGACGACCCGGTTTCTGTGGCACACAGCAGCGCAGGGTGCACCGAGGTACTGACATAGGTAAGAACGCTCCGGCCGTATTTCGCCAAAGCAGACGGTGCTGTTCCACTGGAAAGGACTAGGGAGCGATTTGGCGTGCTCTCGAAAACTGGTTGAAGTGTTGTCTTTATCAGGATCCGAAAGGTACGCCAAGGAGCCTAGCGCCACAGAAGTACAAACGCAATCGTACGACAGAGGGTGCTCAAGGTCATTGACATCATAGCTCAGCGTCGACGGATCTTGGCTAAAGGAATAGAATTAATATTTATAATCATGCAAAGACGACTCTAAACAGACCTGTACAACGCCCCCGACGGGAAGCCTCGTCGAACATAGAATACTATGATGCGTTGCTCCCCTTGGTAGTGCATAAACCTAGCCCGTAGTTGATAAGCTCTGCTAGGCAAAATGATCTTTGCTAACAGATTATTTCTAGTCTCAGGCGTTTCGTCGGCATCAAAAACGGCCAGATAGTACTGATAATTCTTCACGTCGGCCATAGATGCGACGAGGTACTTGCCCCCAGGAAGAAGAGCTACCTCGAGAACTTTGTCGCCGGGTGTCTCCAGAATGTAGGCTTTTAAGATGCACGGTTCTATTCTCCAGTTCTTCTCCAGTGAACACGCGCGTATAAAAGCTCTTTCGACATGGTGATCTCTGGCAGGAGTATACTGAAAGGGAGGGTGAATAAGGGGGAGAGGGAGGTGGCTTCTTTTGAACATGCGCCTCCAGACGACAAAATCATGAGTGATGTAGAAGAATCTTTTGTCTACCTATAGTAAATAAAATGAGGACATTGATCGATGAATATTAACAAGAACGTACCGATCGTAGAGCAAGAAGATTATGAAGAGGCAAAAGAGGGAAAATGTGCTCGAGAAGAATTTCAGGAGGGAGAGCATGAATGAGACGTGAACGTTTTGAACCTTTCAGGCGCGAGACCAAAGGCTGGACGATATCGGACAGGAGCATTATGGAGATTGGTGAACTTGGATCAAGCAAGATCATAATGAGCATTAAATTAAAGAAAAATACAAGGCGAGAGGGAGAAGAGCAACAAATCAGGGACTGATAGGCAGTAAGTACAAGAGATCGTCGGATACAGAGCAAAGTACAAACACAAGACTATACCAGGATGAAGGAAACAAGTACAAGTACAAGGCAAGTCGTAGTCAACGTAAATCAATAGTTGGAAATTACGGTCTCTTATCGACCATAATGTCGAACACATGCTATCTCGACATCAACATTGGCGACGCTCAGCGATACAACGACGACAACGCCCAGTACCAAGCTACTTCTGCTCTGCTCTCCAAGCACGCCTCTACCTTTGACTTTCCGCCGACACCAGAGGAACTATCGGAAGAACAACAAGATATCCTTCGAGACCTACATGTACATCCTGCCACGACGGCTTTGAATCTATGGTGATGAGTTGTTAGAAATCGCCCGAACCCTTGCGCTTTACACCACCAGTGCCCCTCCTCGCAGGCCGGACTGAGGTTCGAGCTGGATCCATCACCAGGCCTAGCCAAAACACGGCAGAACTTCATTTCGCTGTGCACTGGGGACAAAGGCTTCTGCAAGAATGCGCCCAACAAGAAGCTTCACTATGCTGGATGCCCAATTCATCGCGTCGTGCAAGGATTCGTCGCCCAGGGAGGAGATGTAACCCGAGGCGACGGCAGCGGCGGAGAGGTGCGTCTACCTATTATCACCCCTTCTGCCTTTCTGACTCTTTCAATACCTACCTAGTCGATCTATGGCCCCAAATTTGCCTGCGAAAAAGCCGGTCTTCAAACAACTCCATCGCGCGGTAGTCTTGCAATGGCGAACTCGGGAGGCAAAAACCCTGTCAACTCTTCTCAGTTCTTCATCGTCCTATCTACAGATGAGAAGGCCTTGGCTAAGCTTAAAGGTGCGATCTTTCCTCGCTCTCCACTACGGCTAGACCCAACATCTCTGCAGGGAAGTACGTCATATTTGGGCGAGTAAAAGACGGAGATGAAGATGGCATCAGGGTATTAGAGAGGTTGGACGCGGTGGGTAGTCGACCCGGAAGTAAAGATGAGAGACCGTTGAATCTGTATGGATTGGCGATTGTGGTCTAGAGTGATGTTTGATTGCGGGAACTTGTTCACACGTCACTTTCTTTTCGTACTCCATGTTTACTAGCTCAGTAGGGAGTTTTGATATTCTATGACGGCAGGATATGTTCGAGTATGTCAATCAAATGGCTGAAAGCCGCCTAGTATCTAATTTATCTGTCCAACTGTCAAAGGATTACAGTAATGGTGGTAAGGCTTTGGATACAACATCCGTAACAACAATGTCCGTGCAGTATTCAAGTAAAGTGGAGTTAAAAAGGTACATACAAGTCCATTAAACTGAAGTTTTACAGGGCAGTTAAGAGGAGCCTACACTACTAATTTTGCCACGAAATATAAAGTTATAACGAACGCCGCCGGAACATAAAGTTAACGAAATAATAACAGAACGGCAAAGAGGCACCTAAACAGCGTCCTTCTTACCAATAAATATCACATTCTTCTTCTTCAGCGCAGCTTCGATGACCCTCATCCCTGCAAATACCTTCTCTTCTTCGAACCGGCGACCTACCACCTGGACGCTCAGGGGCAGACCGTCCATCTTCTCCGCATCGTACGTTGACCACGCTTGGCGGGCGGGAGCAGACAGTGATTGATACATTGAAGTCGATTTAAAATCCACAGGGAGGGAATCAAGGTCCTTCCGCACGTTCGTAACCGGAAGGACGCCCGCCGAATAGTCCAGCTTGCGAAAAAAAAAATCGGTTAGCTTGAGCGGAAACGGGAGGAAATTGATGTACCAAATTGAACAGGAACGTGTAGCTGGCGCTCATCAGAGAGGCTTTCTCGCCATCACCATTTTCCAGCGCGGGAAAAGGGAAAGTAACCGTAAGGACAAAGTCTAGACCCTCGTTCTTCCACTTGTCGTGCCACTGCTGCCGCAACTCGTCGCGTTGAACGATAAGTTGGCGTTCCTCGACAATGTTCTTCTCTTTCAAGATATCCGGGTACCCGACTTCCGAGTTTCCAGTGATAAACGACCACAATCTTCGGATGGTTCTCCCGAAACGTGAGCGACTAACATGTTTGAGGACAGAAACCAAAGCCGCATTGAGGGTTTCGCCGGGAAGAAGAACGTTGCGGATTTGACGACCTTTGCACATGTGTCAATCAAAAACGGAATCTTTAAGGTTTAGCAGGGTATAGTTTACCTCCGTCTGCGAATACTATTTGATAACCAACGCCCAATACTTCCACAATTGGCGGTGAGCTAACCAAAGTGTCAGTGGACGGATGGTGTTAAAAGAGTCAAAGAACCTACAAATCCACGACTTCGTGACCATCTGCTTTCAGAGCTCCGACAACGGTGGCTAATGCACGTTTACAGGCAGGTGTTGGGGGTATTGTATCTAAAAATCAACAATGTCACGAGGGATGGGAGTACGAGTGTAATTCACGTACTGTCGGACCAAATGACACCCCATTTCAGCTTTCGTCCTTCTTCCAATAAGTTTAATGGACGCCACTTGAGTGGAACGCACTAGGATAATCTCGTAAGCGATACCGCCGAAACTAGGACGGAAAAAGTAAAGCAACCGTATGGTCATACGTCCAGGGCTCCATGTCAATGACCCGCTTGTAGAACTCCTCTAGGTTGTCCAAGCTGTTTGCTAGTGGCCCTGTTAAAATAGGTACGGCTTCGAGCCCTGTCATCGGCGACATGTTGCCTAAAACTGGGAAGCGGCCGACGCTGCCTTTCATGCTCCATATTCCGCAGGTATGAGCGGGGATCCGAACGCTACCTGCGACGTCACTTCCGACTTCAACCATGCTCCCGCCCCAGGCTACGAGGGCGCCACCGCCACCGGTAGAGGCACCAACGCCATGAGTAGCCTTGTACGGGTTGGTTGTTCGACCGAAGAGATCTGACTCTGTTTCCATCGAAAACAAAGCAGTAGGCACGGTAGTCTTGACGTGAATGAGCGCGCCGGCATCTCGAAGGAGTCGGACAATGGGAGCTGAAGTCTGGGCGGGTCTGTTTGAAAACCGAGCGAGACCGATGGTCGTATCGTGACCCTCGATGTCGAAAGAGTCTGTACAGACGGGGTCAAAAGACTTGGCCGGAAAAAAGAAAGAGGACGCGTTTTACCTTTGACGCTAACAGGAACACCAAGGAGGGGCCGTGAATCTGAGGTACGAGTATCGGAATCACAGTGGGCGAGAGACGGTGATTCGAGGGCATGATTGACCATGATATCAGTGATGCAGTTGGATTCTTTCTGTGCGACGAGCATCTTCTTTGCGTACACCTGCATGACGTCCGCAGGGTTCAAGAGACCGGATCGACATTGAGTAACGAGCGTTGCCAATGGAAGAGCAGTGGATTTTCTCTTCTGCAGGGCTCAGTGGGTCATTGTACGTGACTGGGAGGGCGTCGATCTTGCGTTGGCGGTCGTCTCGTTTCCATACACTGAAGAAGATAATGAGATATGTTAAGAATAAAAAAACAAAAGAGTATACCTGACCAAGCACGGTGAAGGTCACCCATGGGGAGTATGCAAATGGCTGTAAGGGAATACGGTTCTTATAACATTGCAGCCGAGGAGTTAGGGTGCGAGGATAAGAGAATGATAGAGGCGATTATAGCGGAGATCCCGGGTGGTTGTCGTGTCATTGGGTTCGTGGGTATCGTTAATACAGTAAATGGGAAAGCTAGAATTCCCATCAACTTGAAGGCGATTAGAAAATATAGAAGACACTTTGATCGGCATCCCCCGCTATCCCCCATTTGCCTCTCTCCCCCTGAACAACAGCACTTGAACTATACTTGATTACCGGCAAATACTCACCTTGAAAAGAATAATTAATTCTCTCCACAGATCTTCAGGGATTCATTCAATTGCCAACTTACAAAAATCATTTTCTTCCCAGGATACAAATGCAGTCGGCCCCGACGTGTCAGAACCCCGTGAATGGCAGGCAGGCATGGCATAATCTAAGATAGTAAGTACAGTACGCCCAATTGCAAGATCCACCCCTGGCCCTTGACATCTATACAGTTCAAATCCTTCAGCGCGTATCCCCAATCACCCTAGGTTGGCGGATGAAAGATGGTCGGCCTCTCAATTCAGACAGTCAGAATGCACTCGAGGGAACAGCGGACGCGATGAGTACCCGCGATTCTGCCCCCCTTCACTCTTTCTAGACCACGTTACTCACGGAACAACCTGGTAAATCGGCATGACAGCTGGTAGGCTTGCATAAGAATCCGACTCGACGCAGTAGATAGACAGTCAGTTTTTTACGCAGGAACGGCAGGCAGATGAGGAGACATACTTCTGCATAGTATCCGAAAACTTTCTCCACGGAGACTTCCTTCAAAACCAATTCAAATTCCTAGGTTCAGAGTACCATCCATAGAACAAGTACGTTAGACTGGGTAAACGTCCTCCACCTACCAACCGCACTCAATCAGGGCCAACTTGTCGTAATAGATTATTCCTTTCGTGTTCATTCGTACCGGTTTTACATTGGACTTGAACGTTAACACTCGCATTTGACACACACACACAAGTCGTGCCACTCGAGCTAGAATCCAGAAACTCGACAAACTTGGGGGTATCCATTCCAAACGGTATACGCGCCAAGTCTTTGTTCGACGCGCCAACTCCAAATCCGAGGAATACGAGCAAAAACCAATTGGGAAACCTGGGTCTTGCAGGCCCCCTGGATCCAAGCCGTATTCCTGATCCCAAGTGCTGCGAAGAGGAGATTAAAGGCCTTTCCGAGTCCTTTCCCTCGCATCCATACTGGACAAGTAGCCACCATTCCCGGTCAATAATCCGCGCCGGATCAATATAATGCAAACGACGGTTGAAGGTTGTTTCTACGTCCGACGAAGAACGATGCTGCAGAAAAGCGGCGCGTGCCTGCCTATGAGAAGAAAGAAGGATTAGGGTGGCTATTCCTGGATCAATTTATTTTGGAGACGTTACATGTACTCTTTCGTAGAAATAGAAATGTCGGGACCAGAAAACAAACACAAGGGAAAAAGGAAGACAGAACCCTGAGAGAAAAGCGGGTTAGTGTCATCGGGAACTTTTCCTCGCCGTCCGCGTTTCTGTCAAAGGTTCAGGTCTTTCTACAAGTAGCATGCATCCTTCTCATTCAGGACTTTTGAATAAAGTTGGGGATCATCGTGAAGAAGCATGTCGTCGGAGGTTCTCCAGTAGAAGAATTCATGTGGATACAAACGATCCGTTGGTCCTGGGATCATCAGCCAACTACAATTCCATTTCTGCGAACGTGAATCGAAGAAAATGCCTGTATTAATGCAAATTAATGCCGCACGAGGCTATGAAGTTCGATGGAAGCACGAAACGGCGGGCGAATCGACGGATTTTCATTAGAGTCTTCTTCATGTTAATAGATGACAGACAAAGCAGTTCTTCTGAAATCATAAAATAAGTAATGCACACACACACAAGTCCGCTACTTGCTCGTACTCCCGTAAACGACTCCCGTGTTAGGAGCACTTCCATACATACGAAGTGTCAGTGGTATCTCTTCATCAGAATTCAGCTCATTCGACTCGGCATCAGAGTATACATCATCACTAAATCCCGCTTGTTGTGCCCATTCCAACAGCCGCGAAGAGGATGGTCTAAACTTGGTATGACGCACGCGTCGACGACTCATTGGGTAAATAACGCGGATGATGATAAAAGACCTATCAGAGTTAGCGTCTGGGCACCAAGGGAACCGGCATTAGACTCACGAAATAGCGATGAATACGAGGAATAGCGGAAGAAGTCTTGTTTCATGAACGGGGTCCTCGTCGATGAGGTCAGGATCCTTTGGGGGGTCGGCAGGAGGATCGAGGTCGGGTTCGGATGGACTAGTTGGAGATCCTGAGACTATGGTCGAGCAGGCGTGTTTAGATTTCCATGTAAACGCGTGTGTGCCATTGAAGGACCACGTGAATTCGGGTTCAGTTGGCTGGTTTGGTTGAGTATGCTAGCAGAACTATACCGCTATTTGACTTACCTCTTCTGCATCGTGGTCACACACAAACTGAAACGTAGCCTTCTGCTTCACATTCCTACTTGTGTACGAGCCGCCGTGAAGTGTCACTTGTAATGGCGCTAAAAACACTTTTAGATATAAACCGCGCTTCATTTTGCCATGGAAACCTACCGTGATAGTCATCTAACTTCGCCTTTGCTCCAAACTTGACTGTGGGATTGAGATTCGGATCGACTGCTATAGGTATTACATTTGTGACGCGGATGGGCTCCGAAGGTCGGTTTGGCCGTGCATTGGTCACTACATCATGGTGAGTTCCATTATCTACGGTTGAACAAAGAACCGACCGGTCAGACATATCCAAGTTCCGTCAGGACACTCATAGATAATCAGGACGCGAGTTTCCCCGGTAAAGTAAGCAAGTGATACCTGAAGTTCCGCTGGTAAAGTTCCGTCTCGTTTCAAAGGGCCGTTAAGGCTGATACTGTAAGTGTTCCTTGTGCGCGTCGGAGGCGTCTCTTCGTCCAAAGAAATCGTCAGCGGTCCAGGATGCGACGCGACGAGGGGACATAGATCAAACAAGTGGTTGTCGATTTGAAGACTACACTGAAGCGCAGCAGGATTCATCCCGAGACAGCAAGGCAGTGGGATGCACGAGTAAGACGGACATTATCCAGCGATTCTGATGATACAAAGGGAATAGAGAACCAAGTCCGGACCGACGGCAGCGTCACGAGTTGGTGTTGGTAGTAATACTGCCAAGACGTGGGATGGCCTGAATAAGACCGTGTGGTACTACTTATCGCGTGCTCTCTGTGCTGGTGGGGCCTTTCAGTGTCGCACAACCGCCGCTCGGCGCCCATGGTGGCCGATAGACCAGAGAACACTACATGCAGGGCAAGACGAACCCTGTGAATGGCAGCCGATGCCGGGATAGCGGCGGAGTACAATCTGAATGCGCGAAAGACGAGTCGGCATACCGGCTCCATTGACCCTTCTTACCTTTAAACGCGACGATGTCATTCAGCGATCTACGCGCCTCCAGAAAGACAAAATCCAAATCCTATGTAACCGCAGCACCTACAAAGAAAGACACCAAAGAGGCACCTTTGGAGCAATTGCCAGCTAGCAACGAGCTGTACCGAGACTTGCCACTTTGTACAGAGATTCGGACCTGTGATATCTCAGGGACGGGGCCTATGGAGCAAAGCGAATCTCAAAGCAGGTATGTCTATCTATACTCAAGATTAGGTGCAGGTGCTAACCTTCTCTAAGGCCAGGTTCTGTTCGCTGTTAAACCTCACGTCGCAGCACTTTCGACAGAAAAGCTGGATGGCTATTGCTTCAGCGTGCTTTGGACTTCCACCTCCTTCCGGTCTGAAACGATGTACCCAGTGTCGTTCAGTGTGGTACTGTGATTCGGTAAGTGATACTTCTGTTAACATTAGTCCAGTCCCTTATCTTCTTATTATGTAGACCTGCCAGACTAGTGATTGGTCTGCCCACAAACATGAATGTACATCTCTTCAGCGTTGGTCTAAAGCAGCACCATCTGACGACCTTTCGATACCTAGCGACGCCATACGATCCATGGGTCGCATCTTGTGGAAGAAACAGAGGAAAGGACTAGATAGCGTCTGGGTGGGTGACGACTTCGCTATACGTCTCTATCCTCCGTGATTAATTTTCTCCTTCAGACTAGAGAGTTAGACTCCATGCAATCCCGTGAGTAATCACTAACATTGATACTACCCCTCATCTCATCTCCTTCCAGACAGGAAAAATCTACCGCTTTCTGCCTCAGAATTGCATGCCTATCTTGCCCATTCACTAGTTCAATATTTGAGTCTTTCTTCCCCCGATGAGTTACAGCAGTTTGGAGTCAATTCCTCCGGTGACCTTGTGGATATGATATCACGGGTAAGTTTCCCTGCGTACTCACCTCACGTGTTTTAATGTCTCTCCTCTAGTTCACCACCAATACTTTTACCATCACAGACGCCGCACTTTGCCCCCTCGGCGCATCTGTTTCACCTACAATTGCACTCATAAACCATTCCTGCGATCCGAACGCCGTCATTGTGTTTCCCCGAGCATCGGCGAATCCGCAGAGAGAGGAACCACTCATGCACGTTGTCGCGCTACGCAATATTGCACCCGGCGAAGAGGTATGCCATCCCTGCACCTCCGTCCTTCATCCCTGAGTATATTTGGCAGATCCTGACGGCTTACATCGATACAACTTTGCCCCGCTCCCTTCGGCAAGAGAGTCTCAAAGATACGTACCATTTTGACTGCAGGTGCCAGCTATGCGGGTCCCCTCCGGATGTGGATCCTCGAGAATCTATGTGGTGCCCCAAAGCATGCGGAGGAATGTGTCCACTACCAACGGAAGGTTTGACTTGGCTCTGACCGTTACACGCTTCCCCGTATTGACCTAGTCGACAGAGAACCCGCTCACCAAATGCAATAAATGCAAATCGGCTGTTCAGTCGACTGATGCGGTGTTAGACGCCATTCGCGTAGGCCAAGAAGCACTTGACAAAGCTACAGCTGTACAATTCAAAGGTAGAACCTTTCCCCTCCCTTCGCGTTTCGTCGATTGATCCTGTTATACAGATCCAGCAAAGGCAAAACAACTGACGACCAAGCTCATTCCTATACTCACTTCTGCGGGTCTCACGCCTTCCTGTCATCCCCTCCTCGGATTGACTATTTTACATAAATCCTTCCTCATATCATCCTTTCCATCACCGTGCACCCAAGAATACCTTGATGATACCATCCGGGTGGCGACGAAAGCGCTTACAGGATTGACCAGTATCCACAGAGAGGGCCATCCGGTGCTTGGAATTGCACTCGCCGAGTTGGCTAAGGTACTTGCTGTGGATGAACCTTCTCCGCGTGAGACCAACGAACCGGGGGTCTACCCTCCGTCTGGTCCACCTCGACTGAAGCTTGCTTATGATACGTTCATGCGTGCGAGGAATTCACTTATGATCGGGTTTGGTAGGGCGAATGAAGGTGGAGAGATTGGTCGCCATGTTCGGGAGGCCATTGTATCGTTGGAGAAAGAAATTGGGGTTTGGAAGCAGGGTGTACGGAACGTTTTGGAGGATACGCCGAAATTGAAGTGATGTTATTACCATGCGTTTCTAGATCTGCTGCCCAAAATGACAAGTCAATGCGCATACATGGTTGTCCGAGTGCACTCGTACATGCAATATTGGGCGACACCCGAACGGAACGGACTTGAAACAATTTTGGGAAAAATTTCCTTGTTCTAAACGTCCTTCTTGCCATTCATCCAGGCAGACATGTTCGTTCTATCTCCATCGGCGCCGAACGCGAGCGAACGGTTAGGTACGGAAAAGTACCCCTGCGTCAGGGAAAATGTACGAGGATAACGGACCACGCTTTTCGTGAGTCATTGACTATGTCGACACAAGTAAGGTTTTGGAGTGGTGCACATCTGATGGAGATCAAGTTGCACTGGTCCTGGTTTGACCGGATGCAGACACTGGTACCGATCCGCCGGGAGGAGTTGTACCGCAATTCTATCTTCTCCTATGCCCGCTTTTGGGAGATAGGTTGCTTGCTTGGGGTCCTCAATCTATTGGAGGATGTTTATCCGAGCATATCCTCTGCTTCCGCTATGGTGGTCACACCAGGGTAGTATAAAGGGTCGTTGAATACGACATCTCTTCTCTTCGTCCGACTCGCACTCGTCCTTGCCGTTAGTTGCTTCAGCATTCCCGCGATATTTATGCGCTTCTCGCTACTGAGCTCCGTGACTGGTGCAGTGTGGATGATCGATGGTAGACACGAAGCAAAATGTCTCCGACGTCCTAGCGAACGGGTTTGGTATTCTCTTTGGGATCGTAGGGAATGATTACAGCATTCTTCGTGTGCCTGTCGTTCTTGGCGCCTCGTACAGCTTCACTCATGACGTTATTATTTTTCCAAAGCCTTCGGAGATTCGGGTAACTGGGCAGAAGAATCAGAAGAAGCACAAGCACTGGCGGTCCCGAATATTGACGGTTTTGGATTAATATGTGTGCATTCTGTGTTAGGACGATGCTTATGTACTCGTTCCTGGAGATTTTTTATTCGAATTCCTCTCCTGCTCGCCATCGAATTGGGTTACCTCGCATTATTTGACCTTGCCACATATTTCGGGGCATTCTCTTGCTGGAATATGTTCTTCCCTGGAATTTAATCTGTATATTCGAAAATTTAACTTTGAAGAGACGCTATTCCAACGTTCTGAAGTAGCTCGATCATAATGTTGCTCCAACTAAACAGACTATAGCGCTTCATTCAATTAATACCTATCATCATATTTCATGGACCTCACAGAGGGCACAGAGACATAGAATATAGATACATAACACCCTACTTTCGCCGAACATTGCCAGGTCTGTAAAGTTTGGCCCCTATGGTCACAATCAGGACAAAGATCATGTGACCGCGACACCTCCTCAAACGCCACCCGTGACAGACGTGACAGCTGCTCTGCTTTTCCGGACCTGCTTTGCCGGAGCGGGCTTCCTTTTCCAGACATAAACCATTGATTTCTCACGTCTCCTTGCCTGGAGCTTGCTTCTCTCAGTATGATCGAAGCACAGCTTAAGGTGAAGCCTTTGGTCGGTCTCGAGAACGTCTGCGTTTCCGCGGCATGACTGACACGCAGTATCTCCATCCTAATCATGATGCTACTAAAGTCTTCGGGTCCATTATCAAAGTTTGTACTCCAGGCACCAGCGGCAGGCCTCGCGAATATATGACAGCATTCTTGCTGAAAAGAACGACTTCCTTCTGATTCTTCGGGCGGGCGGTAAAGACGGCGTAGAATTTCTTGAACAGAAGAGAGGCAAGGATGAATGGCGATAGCGGTGATTGCTCTGTAGATACAACGGTGACAGTGGGGTGAAGTTCAAGGTGAGTAAGCCATCATCATCAACAACCAAACTTTAGTGACGATGTTTTGTAGAAATCTCGCTGACTGCGCCAATGCTTAGTCCTCTGCACGGGTAATGCGATAGCTAATAGACCCCGAAATGGAGGGGTGGGAGGCTCCCAGCATGGACTGGTGGAAAGCACAGCTGGCACCTCTCTTTTCTGGCAACGGCTGGCTGAATACATTGGAAATCTGCTCCCAGGCTATTCAATGTTCGAAGAGTATGAGACTGGAGAGCTCAAACAAATTCGACAAGGAATTCCTACCGTGATCAGAGAGCTGACCAAAGGCGGACCGCTTTGGCTCACTGGGGACGACCCTGAATAGGAAACAATTCTAATCATTGAATTTTGATTCAAATATAGCAATGGCAGGATGATGAGAGATGTGTACGATATCGTACTGAAGGTAGCGCTTTCCCGCTTTCCTCTCACCGTACTAGTAGGTTTTCCTTCCTCAACATGAAACCCACTTAGCATTAACCGACCACGCGGATCGAACTTCTATAACTTCGGATCAACCTTCGTCAGATCACGAAGAACTTGCAGCATATCACGAGTGGCCTCCCCAAATAGCCGTGAACGCGCCAGCACGAACAACGGGTCTTGTGATATGTCGATAATTGCCAATGCGGCCCGCGACGTACAATAAATGGCATCAAACAGAACCCATATTGACTTCGTCCGCTCTTCATGTCCAAACCACGAGCAACCGATGGTGTAGCATTGAAATGGGTTGACGGTGACGCGCCTCCCGTCCTTCCCACAGGAACATCCTTTGGGGTGCCTTGGGCGCAAGGAGAGATTGACCGCACGACTCCAATCTCTCTCACGTCCTCAGGCGTCTCTATACCGATCCAAACATGGCCTTTAGCCTAGTGAGTATTGTCAAAGTATTCTTTTCAATTATCGCTAAGCCCTCTCTAGTTGGCCGGATGGCAGCCTGAAATGGACAGGACACGCACTGGCGGCTGACAATACTTTGGGAGATACATTAGAGATGTCGACCGACACTCCTACAGAGCCCTCTTCGCCAGTTTCTGTATCCCAGTCTTCTTCACAAATCACTGTCACTACCGGTTCATTCACTGGTGAGTTTTTCTCTCTAGGATTAGGACATTTCACTAAATAACATGCGCACTAGCCGTCTTCAACACAGCCGGAGACGTGTTGATCCAATCACTTGGACTCGATGGACAAATCAAGGCGCAGAACGGCTCCCTTGTCGTTCATCTTCAAAACAGTCCAGACGAACCAGAGCTTGTAGGAGACAAACCGAGTGTTTACGCCCTTAGTGGAACCATAGACTCTATCACTGTTGAGCAAAGCGGTCCTGTTCGTGCAGTCATAAAGGTGTGACGCTTTGAGCTTCTTCATACCCAACGTTTTCAGTAATACAGTCTGTCTATAGATTACCGGGAAATATTCAGGACAAGGGCATGCCACTTTTCTACCTTTCATTGTCAGGTTTTATGTTTCCGCCGGCGCGACCTCAATTCGATTGGTTCATTTCTTCATATATGATGGTGATCAGACGCAGGATTTCATCAAGGGACTGGTAAGCGACAATCATTGATTCTGTGATTCACCCCTTTACGTTTTGATCAGGGCCTGACGTTTGCAACTCCCCTCAGCGATCTGCTCCAAGATCGACATATCCGTTTTGCTACCACAGATGGTGGTATATGGGGTGAAGCGGTTCGGCTACTGTCCGGCTTGCGTCGAGACGCTACAGCCGCTGTCCTCGTTCCCCAATTTGAAGGACAGGCTACCCCAGATATCTCGACATGGCCAGCGACAGTTTCTGCTGGTATCGATGATCTACCCGTGTGGGCGGATTTCACGCTGGACCAGTTATCGCCAGCACATTTCACTATCAAGAAGAGGTCTACCGGTGGTAGAAATGCATCATTCATCGACCATGCAGGCTTCGGAACAAAGGCGGCGGGAGTTGGTTACATTGGAGGTGCAAACGGAGGTGGAACTCTATTTGGATTCAGAGGTTGGTGGAACCCTGTAGCTCCTTAATTCGCCTAACCGTTTGCTAGATTTCTGGCAAGGAGCCCCCAGGGGCCTTGATGTTCGGGGTGCGGGAGGCGATACAGCCACCGTCACTCTGTGGGCATACAGTCCGAGGGTGAGTATCATTTGAAGTTCAACCATGATCTCTAACAACAGATTGAAAGGCTCCTGCTATTGACATGCGGCATTATGACACTGTCGCACACGGTGTGAGTTTATCTTCCTTTCTCCTTGTCAAATGCATCTCTCCTAACCCGTGCTTATAGTTGGACCTAACCTACGAGGACGTAGGCGATCCAGACCCTAATCCAGTTGGCATTGGACGGTCGTACGATATCTCGTTGCAGGTGGTCAGCTCGACACCCTCCCGAGACTCCATCGCCCAGTGGGCTGGTGCTATCGTAAGTAAAATTTCCTATGCATTGCACAAACTATCTTAATTGGAGAAAAGACCAAAGTCCCCCAAATTGTGGCCAGCCCTGAATTCTATGTAGCCCACAGGTTGTTTGGAGGTCGATGGCAAGTGCAGCCTTTCTGTTTCGATTTTGTTGACTAAATACTACTAGGTCTGTTCCGAATCCAACGACTAGTGGAGCAACAGATATCGAGAATAGAAAGAGCGCCCTGCTTGACTTCTATGTTGCTGTATGTGATTTCACGAGTATGCCTAGAAAGTCATCATTCAACGGCCATCATGCTAGGAAATTGATCAGAGACAGTTCTATGGTTTCTGGAATTATGGGGATGTAATGCACACATACGATGAAACTCGCCACACTTGGAGGTACGACGTTGGAGGATATGCTTGGGACAATGGAGAACTTGGTAACTCCTCGACTTCGATGTGTGAGATGAAAACACTCATAAATCTATCTCAGCATCGGACTTATGGCTTTGGATGTCGTTCCTTCGCACAGGCCGCGCCGACGTCTTCCGCATCGCCTATGCCATGACCCGCCATCTATCTGAAGTGGATTTCCATCATATTGGCCCATTTGCGGGCTTGGGAAGTCGACACAATGTTTCTCACTGGGGTGATGGAGCGAAAGAGGCTCGCGTCGCAGGAAGCACGCTGAAGCGACCATTCTACTACCTCACAGGTACGTTCATGGCCGGCATTAGTCTATTTAGCTGACACTGGAGGATCAGCGGATGAACTCATCGGAGATATTATGGATTACTCTTTACAGGCCGATGAAACGATTGTTACATGGGAGCCTCTGAGAAAAGTTTTGCCTCCTCCTGATCCCGCTGCGGGTCCTGGACGGGTGAGAATTGGACCGGATTGGACTACTTTGGCCGGAAATTGGTTCACTAAATGGGAGCGTACTGTAAGTGCTTCACCATTATTCGGATAGACGTTCTCATAGGTGACGTTGGATATTCCTAGAACGATTCGCAGTGGCTTGACAGAATTAAGACTGGGATGGTTAGTGCTAACGCTTCTATAGATGCTAGGATAATATTAACCAAGGGTCTTGCAGCATGACATAGGCACCTTCAAGTACGGACTTTTCACTGGATTTACAGGCGCCGTAGGATGGGACCCAAGCACAGCTCATCTGGTCGATTATGGAACCGGCCCAGAAGACTCGTGAGACGTCAAGCTGTTCCTACAAATTTAGGATCCTCTAATTCTTCTGGTTAGATTCAATCTCACAATGATATTTGGGGGCGGAGAATTCCTCATGGAAGCCGTGGAAATAATCACGGACGAACCTGATTTTGACGCAGCTTGGGTGGACTTTTGCAGGCTGATGAATGCGTCCAACGCAGAGTAAGCAGTGTCAACCCTTCTAGTGCTCCCTTTGACTGTCGCGTAGGAGGATGGCGAGATATGGAATCTCATTTAGTACCGGTGGATTTGTATATGTGAGTTATTGAAATACCTACGCTTGCCGCTTATGCCAAATTTTCTTCTAGTATTATGCCAAATTGCAGGCTTATGCTGGTACCGTGGTGTTCCATTTGATTGTCGACTTACTAAAGTTTTACAGGTGAACGACTTAACGATGACACGATAAAGCAAGCCGCTTGGACGTCGTTGACATCCTCGGACGTTGGCATCTGGGATCCTGTTGCACAGATCGGTGGAACGGATGTCGTTAACCCCATTAATGAAGTCAGTGCTAGTTTTCGGTCCAAACGAAACGAGACTAAAATTCATTAGATCCCGAATCTTGCTACCAACGACGCGTCCCAGCGGTCGTTGACAGAGTATGCGGTCCTTGCTATTGCTCCAGAATTCGCGCCAAACACTGCTCGGTTTACCATTAAGAAAAAACAGGAAGAGGACTGGGATCGCTCGACACTTGCTTCGGAAAAAGAGCAAGCAGTTGGCAAGGTATCCTCAGCTAGCTCACCGGATAAGAAGCGAGGTTGGAGAAGGTTGTTATGTACGATATAAAATATATCCGTGTGGAACCTGATGTAGCCATACCCAATCGAGTCTATTGTTTATTTCATTGCGAAAAGTAATGTCGAATTCCATCTGCTTGTCTCTCTCGGCTTGTTCGCAATCTCCAGTGGTTACTACAGGCTTACATCCCGCGGTAGCTCGGGCACCTATGTTCCCGTTCAGTAACCTAAATCTTACAGGAGCTATCAGAACCGGCACGCGTCCTGGGATATATTCACATCGTGTTCTCTGTTGTCTTCCACGTTACAGAACAGAAAAATTATGGGTCCAGGGAACGAGCAGTGATCACGACTGTTTACAGATGGGAAAAGTTCGACAGAGGGCCGATGGCGTTGAATGAAATTTACGATACGCATAGAGAATGTAATCGGTTTCTGCAAAGGCTTCAAACGCACCGTCCGGGTTCTCAGAGTTAAAGAATTCTTATCGCTCGTGCTACCCCAGTCCTACTGCATATGTAGCTGTCACAACCATAAATTTCGGACACTCCCACGTCATAAAGCCATAACTGAGTTGTATTCCCATAGTGAAAAAAGTTCTCAGATCATGTACTCAGCAGGTTTGAATGTTTATTTAATTAGTAGCACCGGCAATTGTCAACTTGCGAACCGAAATTCAACCTTAACCAACGAACATGTGATAAAACGTGGACCAAAGACCAGAGCTGGCCCAATATCAGCAAGTAGACCCTAAAACGAGGCTGCGCTGGGCAGAAGGCGACATAGTGAGGCAAAAACGTAACGACATAAGCACCAACATAGTAGTTCTATTACATATTCATAAAAAGACTCAAGAAAACCACCCTTTCTTCCTCGACCAGTCCTTCTTCCCCTCATCCTCATACTGCAAGAAGACTTTGCCATTATACATCGTCAACTCAATTTTATCCCCATCTCTCGACCAATCACCCATCTCGCCAACAAAATAGCTCCTGGTCTGTCCCGTTTCGGATAAGATCGTAGAATTTTCATACATTCCGATCGATAGCGCAATGTGATTGTTCAAGTCACCGGCACTACAGTTGATGGCGATTATGCCGTGGTATGAACGAGGAAGGTGGAAAAGCACATAGCCATCGAGCGCCTTGGCAGTCAGGTGGAATGAGGGACGGCTGGGACTAGGCGTATGCTGTTGCACGGGTGGAGTAAATACATAAGAATCGAATTCTTTTCGAAGAGAAGCGAAGGGGCTTACGATTCTAGCAACGATAGGGAATGTTCCCGAATTTTCTTTAGCACCAAATAACCCGAGGTGTATGGTCGTCCGAGGGATGGGAGCATACGTATTTGGAGGTTCGCCCACGATGTATAAGTCAACATCAATGCCACCATTTTCCACCTCTAGCCTGAGATTTTTGCGATCAACCTCTGTCTCATTCCGCCGCAAAGGCGGTAGGATCTCCGCAGGAATCTTCAAAAATGGGTTGACGGTAAACGTGCCTTTTATAGAAGAATCGGAGCGCGAAAACATGCGTCGATGGGAAGGGATTTTTGCGGTATATACAAGCATAATTGGTTGCATTCAATTTGCTTGGATAGGTAGAAACTGGGCGTTTACTGGGAACAAGAGTAGCAGTATCGTGACCACTGGTGGAAGGGGGAGGTGGTGGTTGTGTCAGTGTTTGTGCGTTGTTCGGTGAGTAGGGCAGAATGTAAGTTTGAGAGGATACAGCAAGAGTTCGGGCCGACGGATATAATTGCATCTCGGAGGCGGAAGGGGACTGAACACGGGGTGTCGATTGCATTGACTCCCTGCGTGGTCTCGGTGAAGGGGTAGAAGGTTGACTGGTAGCTGACACCAGACTCTCGGCGCTGGGACTGCCATGGGAGCTCTCGGATATTGGCGACAGAGGCAACAGAGAAAAGTCTGGCTGAGGCTGGTCAGAGGTGTAGATTGGAGGAGGAACGCGTTCGACTGACAGACGTGTCATGTTGGTCGGAGAGAGAGCCATCCAACCGAAAGGAATCAACCAACACGGTAGAAAGCCCGAATAGAAGGGTCACTCTGATCCGGATTTTTCACACACTTTGCTGCGGTCATGGGCTCGGCGGCCAGCAACGACACATCCCTGGTCAAGGTACTGCTCGTCATCAGGGTTACCATGGTAACTAAAGTACGACCCAGAAGTTTTCAGCTCGGACCAGTGTGAACCAGAGGTGCTGGGAGCCAGAAAAGAGGTCTCGTTGAAATCTTCTGCAAAACGCCTTACGTCAGGATCCAGAGAAGATGGTCTAAAATGGCAAACTTCATAAGTCAAATGATTTCTCCGAACATGTGTACGTACCTCAATGTAACGCACGCTTTGAAGCTGAGCCTCGAGCACGACTCAATTTGAATTCTGAAAAATGGAGCAAGGAACAGACACACCTTTCACCAACGTCAAAGTCCTAATGTCCAAGTCAAAGGTACGCAGTCCGGCGTTTCAGACTTGCGAGTTCAAACAACGGCGCCAAGCCTTCAAGCCATGACAGCTAAGGCGTTATGGCTCTTATAAGAGTGCGCCACCCTACAGCATCGCACCGGGACCTGTAAAGAGTGAGATAGATAGAGAGCGTCAAGTGGTAGTGGATGATGATGGTACGAGTTAGAGGAGCACCATTGGCGGGCCGGACTCCGCTTGATTTCCAAAAGGTACCGGACAGCAGAAATTGTGTCCTCAGTTATACAAGTGGGCTTTATATAAGACGATGCGCCAGATGTCCGTAGAGCGCTCTTGAAACTTTGACAAGTACCTATAAATACAGCATGAGTGACAGTGAAATGGATGCACATGCCAGAAGACTCCTGCCGCCGACGTCCTCGCATGTAGCGCCTCACAACATGAGCGCATTTGTACTATCTCCGTCTTTCGCCTCGCTGTCTAACCAATAGGTGGTCTGTCTTTGAGTGAAGCATCTGATCTTTCCACGCTCCTCTTCCAATAAAATTGATGCACAATACAACATAGGTTCCCATACAGTTCGTAGCATAAAAATAAGATGCTTTTCATCGGAATACACAGCCAGATTCCTAGTTATATATGAAGACAGACGTCTGGTTCGATAGCTGTTCAATCAAGATGTCGCAGAAGGACCCCCAGAAATGACGATGTTTCGAAGTGCTTGAACATGGAATAGCTGCCAAAGGATGGTGATTCTGTAAATGAGACTATTTTCGTCTCATAAAGCTGCCGATTTACCTGAGAATTTGGTTCTGGAGGTCTCGTGAGGTGTACACTTAGTCGCAATGGATCTCACTGAATAGCAAAGATGGGCGGAGATATCACTGGTATCTCAGTTCCATCTGCTAGGAGCAATCAGAAATTGTATGCATCAGCATCAGATAGCAGGGCAGTTTGAGAGGCGCCTATCTAGTACACACGCATGTCAGTCTCTAACTCTGGAAACACAGCAATCAAGCAGTGTGATCATCTGAAGGGATTCAGATATTATTCCATCAAATTTCCTTGATCACATAGGACCAGAGCAGAAATATTTCCGTATGACGCGAGAAAACACGTAGAGACGCGTCGAGAAAGAGAAATAGTTCTTGCTTAACTTAAGTTGGCGTCGAGCAGCCGCCGGTCCGAGTCTGCCGAACCAACAAGGCAGCCGTGAGAAAATACTTCAGATTGACCTCTGCCCTCAACTCTGCCACTTGCAACTGTAAGAAATTCCCTTAAAACTTCGTTTGCTATCGCATCTCACGGCTTTCAAGGTAAAGCAATGTTTTCACCATCTCCACCTTCTTCTTTTGCAACCCAAACGTATATGCCAACCACCGGGGCTCTCTTTTCAACCCCCCCGAAGGCTAAACTTGGACGGCAACGTCCCGCTGCATCTCCATCCTCACAGCAGCATGGACTCGGATATTTTGCCTTTCCGGAAGGAACGACAACCCACGCCGCCAACTTGCTCGCACCGCCGCCTGCGCGCGCGGTCGTAGAAGAGGAAACGTCTTATGATGAACAGAAATCTAACGAGTATCTGGAAGGGCTGAAACGGCAGGCCGAACTGCAGAGAGCGGCAGAGAAGGCTGAGGCACTTCGCGGGGAGGAGAACTGGGTGCGGAACGGTGGTTTACTCCGGGATGCTGATGGAAACAGGGATTACGCCAGAACGAACGCGATACAGGAGGAGCTGAAACTTCGGGATCTTGAGGAAAGCCTGGTCAACCGCTGGAACGTGTACGAGAAGGGATGGCAGGATCTGATGTCCTCCAACGGTCCTCTTCGGTTTTCAGACATACCGTGGCCGGTTGATGCTGTTTCTTCTCCCCAGTTGTCAAAGGATCTAGGTCCTACACCATTGAAACTGGGCGACATCACGATGGCAAAGGTTGAGGACTTCTTGCTGGGTGGTTTGAGAGTGAGAGGCTGCACTGTGACCAGGAAGGAACGGATCAGAAATTCTTTATTGCGGTGGCATCCCGATAAAATGACGGCGATCCTGTCAAGGGTCGTACAAGAGGATATCTGCGATGTCGAGAACGGCATCGGCATTGTTGTTCGGTGCTTGCATCACCTCAATTCAAAAGACGTGTCATGATTGGGGTAAGTGCTATGTCCGTCTATTGCTGGCAAGGCTGACTGCAGTTCACAATCAGATGCTCGGCTTTTCGTTTTCACTAGCAGCCAGCGCTAATATCGTCCGGCAGTTGCTGTGTTTGCTATCTTGAAGGTTTGTTATAGCCGCTTGCTACGAATATATCTCATAGATCATTGATGAAACCGAATACCATTGGATGTAGTATTCCACGGAGTCAGGGGAGTAGGAAACGACGTGAGATCCAATCTCCTCAGAAACCAACTGCCGATATGGCCGGGGTGCCTTTACATCATCTGTGATCAGTGCACCGACACGACAGCATCCTCAGAATTTCCTGTTCCCCTAGGGTTCTCAGCCTGTCTTATGTCTTGCCTCGATATTCACACGGAGCTCTGTCAAATCGGCCTAAATGATGCACTCTTCCCTTTTGACCGATATTCCTTTGAGTATTGTGGCGCAATGAGGTTTCTTGATACATAAGCGCCCGCGAATCATAAGGCCACTCTTTGCCCTGTAGCTGCGTCGGGAGCGCAGCTCAATAAGTTTAACTCTCGATCATGCATTCTTGATGAACTCTCCCAGCCCATACTCAGCCGCAAAATAACACTACGCGCATCAGGTTGCTTGATGAACCAGATCTTCTTGATGTTTTTTCACGTTATCATCGGGAGTTCCATTCCTTCTTTCCTTCAATCTGAGCTCAAACTCTCTCAAAACTCCTCTCTATTTATTACGAGTTTGACCTCGGATATTCCTTCATGGCGGAGAGCTCAAGCGTCGAATATCGTAAGTGACATTAACATACGTGGATAAACTTGCTCACCTCTCACAGCAGGCGTCGGTGACACCGTAGTCGAGGTTCAGGACTCCGTTATCCATGCGTTCGACGCCCTCGAAATCTTGGGGGCTGCGGGGTTTTTCCTCATCGCGTCGACAGCCTTGCTATCTCACCGTGTTCAGCGCCATCCCACGTGGTTCAGTTTTTGCGTGTCCTGGATAATTTCCTGCATTTCCTACATTCTCCTAGCTATTGCAGGACAGGCAATGGAGGTACAACCAGCATTTGGACTTTGTGTCACTCAAGCGGCTCTGATTTATGCGGCTCCACCTCTGTGAGTATATGATCTCTTGGTATGCATGCACTAAAGCTGTTTGCAGGACGGCTTGCACAACATTCTCATTAGCCTTCTATGTGAACAGCGTGTCCTTGGCAATAGAGCGAGCTAGGCTGATTTTCCGCAGATGCTCACTCATATCAAGTCATGTTTTGACAACTTACCCGCACGAGATGATACCCTCACTGTGAGATTGGTGGTATGTTGTCCTTTGTCAGGTTGCTCTAAGCTATACCCATGATCCAAAGCTCCTACTAGGTCCTTATTTGATCTGGTCTGGCATTTTTGCTGGAATTTTGGTTGTGCGTTCCCAGACTTTCTGCATCGTGATTGTTCTTCTCACTTTCACATAGTCTGGTATCAAACAGCCTATACTGGTTCGCAAGGCATTGAATGGAACCTATTGCGATATCAAATCACATCTACCGTATGATCATCATGTCCGGATCTCTCGGTCTATGTCCTCAAGTTTGGTATAGGTCCAAAGTGTCGTCACTAGTCGTCGTTGTATCCACCATAGGTGTTATTACCATTTCAGGTATGTTATCGGACCTTTTGCAGAGATGATTGTCAAAACTGAATGACGATCGAATAGTGTTCGTGGTTGTTCAGTTGTATCGTAATCGTAGAAGACTGGGATCTAGCACGGAATACGTGGCGGCCGCCGTTCGGGTGGTTACATTCGGCCTAGTTGGGTTGCTGGCTCTGATGTAAGAAAAGTCTCTTCTCGATGAACAGACGACTGAGCGCGAGAAATCATTCCAGCGTCAGTGCAATTTATGTCTTTACCAATAGACAAGGCGCGGAATTTGACATTATTCTGGCGTTGGGTGAGTTAGCTGGTTGATGTATGAACTATTCAGGGCATTGACGCTCGCACTAGTACCCAACTTTGGTGTAGTCATTTTCGGCAGCCAAGCGGTCAGTCTGTTGTGTCACGATGCTTTACGAACTAAACGACTGGCAGGATATCGTGCGCGTCTGGATGACGCCGCTCAAGATCGGAAGTTCCCACTTTGAATTCAATAGCAGCGAGACGTCGACCCAAGATCTGGTACCACACACAGAGCGTCCGAGGCCGAGAAATTTGGTATAGTATTCACGGCTGATGATATGTCGGCCCTGGACAGGCCAGTCCAGAAGAACCGCTAGCCGGTAAATGTAGTGGATGTTGTAGACGTCAGTTAACTGTTTGTACTTGTATCATTCTGACAATGAATTGGTCGCAATCGAAAAGGAAATCTTGTTCGTCTGGTCACTAACGATACTACGAGTCTGGCATGGACGAGTCTGGTGATTTCTACGGCTATAAATTCCCCTCAGAATCCCTCGAATCCAACTTGGAACCACAATATCCAGTTCAGCGACGATGCACAGGTCAGAGGATGCGGACAGATGCTCGATGCAACTTCCCCAAACAAGATGTGTGAGTCATGTAGGGGCAAGGTATGTCCTGCAAGCCGCCGACGGATGGGAAGGTCGCCTAAAGTTTTGACAATAGCACAGAATATATGCGTCGACAAAGCGCGCAAGGAGGAAGCTCGAGAAGGCAGCGATATCTGGGCAGACCATCATACCCATTGAAGCAAATTCCGGGATCGACTGCATGGATGCCAGGGAATGGAAACTGTAAATGAGGAAGACCGTACTGACAGTCAGGTATGTCAGTGTTTTGTACACTGAATGAGATCCTTATTCTCTGTAGCCCAACGGTCAGAGCATTGAACCCATGGATCCACCGCCACAGACGTTCACTACATCGTTTGCTACTGAAGCGCTTTCACAGCCTGGGACATCTGCAACCGAGAGCTCAGTGGGATGCCAGTACCATCGACCCTCGCTTGTTCAGGTCTCAGTCAAACAGTTCGAGCTCTGAACTGGCTGGCGCCTCTGACACTTCCTGCACCTACGAAGCCCAATACTCACTACAAGCCGCCGACCAATGAATACAGTGAAGGCGAACCCATACAACAGAGAACTTCATATTATCGCGATCCACCGCCGGAGCCGCCCCCCAAGAAGCGCAAGCGGCGTGCACCTTCCATAGTACTACCGGAAGTTCCAGCGACCAATGAGGACGGGACTCCTGCTCTCCCACCTAGATTTTGTTCAGTGAAGGGATGCAAAACAATTATCGCCGGTATGCACATTCGAAAGCATACCATTCTGGTCGTTTAACAGTCAGCTTAGGATCTTACGCGTATAAGATGTGTGAACCATGTCGTAACCGTTATCGTTCCTACGGTATCACCAAGCGCGCCAAGTGGAAGGCTGAACGTGCAGCCTTTGAACAAGAGCTGGAAACGCTGAGAGAGGTGGAAGATGAAAGACGCAAGGGTGCAGGATTAGCTGTAAGCTTGCTTTATTTACCACTCCATCGCAATACTCATGCTTCCGTAGCCTTTGAGTGAATCTCCGGAAGACCTTCAAGCATGGGAGATGTCAATCATCGACGAAAAAGTGACTGTGCCTCAGGACATCTCAGGACTCTTGACGGCGTACTCGTCTCTTTCTCCCGCAACCTTGATAAGGGCCACAGGAAGTCAACAACCCATCGGCTCCACCTTAGTCCCAACCACATCTACTGCTACTGACCAGCCCACTGCGGCTGCAGTGAACCATTTCTTCTCTCCCATGCCCGTCCTTCCTCCCCGAATGTGTACTGTCTCTCATTGTCACAAGATTCTTCCCGGACATTATATGTTCAAACGCTGCGAGCAACACCGGCTTCAGAACAGGCATCACAGCAAACTCAAGAGAGTCAGGGAAAAGGTGGTCAAGTCTGCCGGTCCTCCAGAGGGTTCCATCGGTGAGACGTTTGAGCAAGGTAGGGAAGATAGCATGGACCCGGAGGACGAAAAGGTTGAAGATGTTGGCGCGGAATCAGAACAGGACGTCGGAAGTATTCCATTTATACCTGACAAAGAGGTTTGTGAATTTGTTATATTGATTCGTTACACGTCTAACATGTCTGCTTCATTCAATCTAGGGGAGGAGATCGTATAGCTGCACCGCCAAAGACTGTCACAATCTTATCGGCCCCGGTGTTCGGTGGCGTATGTGTGATCCATGTAGGGTGCAAAGGAAGGTCTTGCAAGCGCGGCGTCGAGCCGAAGTTGAACAAGAATTGAGAAATGCGGAGAAGGCTTGGCAGCTACAAGCGCAGACCGATGCAGCCACTTCCAGTTCGCCCTCCGTGCATAGCCCAGTCGCTGCTAGGACGAGCGGGGTTGATACGGGCATGGCTAACTTATCTAGCACCGGAAATGCATCAATCAATGGCGGAGAGAATGCAAATCAGCCTACTGCAAACACCGACGAAAGTCCTATGGGCTGTTTGACACCAAACGAAGAAAATCGCAGTATGTTCCTCGATGGTGTTGAACCAAATCCTGAGCTTTCTGCCCCCGGTGCAGTCGAAGCCGCTATAAACGAGGCAGAGTCAATTGCAGTAGAACCTACTACGCCAGCTACTGATCACAATATGGAAACGCAAGGTTCCAAGGGATCATTGCAAAAGGTAAGCTCATCTCATCCTTTTGTAATGGCTTCACTTACTAAGGGACCATAACCTAGACGGACGACAAGGAAGCACCTCTTTTTACACCTATTGTTGGTGATCCCATACCTTCTTCTACCAATGACGATGCCTTACCTGCACGGAAGAAGAGGAAAAAGAAAGCAGATGAGGCTTCTACCCCGCCTGTAGCCTCATCCACACCCGCTCCCGCGCCGAAAGCATCAACGTCTGTGACGCCCCAACATCATCCTGAGACTCCCCATCCTATGCCTTACCCGTACCCTCCTCCAATACATGCCCAGTATCCCTACCCGTATTATATACCACCATATCCATACGGTCTGCCACCGCCTGCACCTGCGGGATCTGGAGAGTATCCCGTTTATGCAAATGCTCAGCCATATATGCATCCTTACCCATATCCATACCCACCACCTTACCCGATACCTCCTTCTCAGTACCCATATCCGTCTCGTTATTATCCTCCCTATGGCTCAGGTCACTATCCCTCGTATTCCCGTCCGGTTGCGGGATCTTCTCCAGCCGTAGCCCCGGTACCCCCAGGACCGTTTATTCCAACTCCTGCACAAACGGTTCAACAATCGTCGTCGCAGCCATCAAGCTTGACGAAGACGACTAGCGTTAAGCAATCGTCGCCTCAAACGAAGTCTGCTACTCCTTCAAATCCCCCGGCCTCCTCCAGCTCTACACAGTCAACGCTGCCTATCGCTCAGTCGGGAGGTGTGACGACTGCAACCATACCGCCTCCCCCACCCCATCCGCACCATAATGTGTTCCGGCCATCACCTTACACGTCAATGTCGATCGAGCCACCCCTAATCACTGACCCAGCCGCTCAGGCATCGACTTCTCAGAATAGGTCATTCAACTATTACAATCCAGATGTAAATCTTCTTGCCTCTCTGATGATCTGTACAGTAACAATTTTTACAAACAGGCCAAAGTTAGGAAAAGAAAGCCTGCGGATGGCGAGCTACATATACTTATGCAGGTTCCTCGGGGTGCCCCAGCTCCGTCATCTACGACACTCACTAACCGGTTCATGAAAGAACCGGCTACGAAGGAAACCTCTATGGATTCTTTGGGACTGCAAGCGGCACAAGCGGCACCAACGGCACCTGTCATCGAGAATCTCCCATCGAACCCTGGGCCGGCACCTGCTGACCGTGAACCAAAGACGCTTCTTCCTGTGAGTACATCACTCTTTTTTGATATGCCTACCATGACCATTGACAACATGAACAGCGTTCATGTGCGAACAAATCATGTCACCGGACAATTCCAGGAAATGTTCAAGGTACTATGTGCGAGAAGTGTAAGGCGAAAATCAAGAAGCACCAAGCCAAAGCGAAACAGAAGTATAAGCTGGAGCCTCGGAAGGCTATCGTCGCTACGTCTATCGGTGGTGCAGCGAAGAACTAGATTCGGACTAATGGGCACGAGGGATGATTTAGGATACCACACGAAACACTATCTAGGATGTTTTCATATTTTCATTGATACCTCATATAACTTATGTTCATGAGTGTACATTACGCACAAAGCATTGCGAGCATCCACGTATTAACGGTAACCCACGCATGATACAGTAAATTTTATCAGCAAAGTGACAATGTTCTCGCAATAGATGATTTTACAATGTTTGACCCAGCTCGTAATACATCATAAATCCGTACATCTCGAAGTCATCGACAGCAGGCTCAGTCGGATCGTCAACCGGTGATTACATGATATGGAGGCTCCGCTACCAGCATAGCCAGTCTAATATAATGACGGGGCAGTATGAATCAAAGAGATTTGGTTGATTTAAATATTGCTTAGCTAGCTTCGTGAAAACTGTAGTTACAACGAGGAACAGACTTGGAACAAATCATCGAGACGCAAATAAGAATATAAAATAGAAAACGAGAAGTCCAAAGGAAATGAAGATGTAGGTTCGAAAACGGGGGTGCTATAAGTCGCTTGTCACTATAAGTATTGCCGCATAAAGGTCATGTAAAGCGTCGCAGGAGCAAGTCGTAGAGACGGAAGATGAATTGATCGGAAGGCAAAGAGAATCTTGGTGGATGACAGAAGAGCCTACGATCAACGTTTTTTTACTAATCGACAACAGTTCGCCAAAGTTCAGTGTCCAGCACAGCTGCGCGAAGGAGACGCTGTTCGTTGAGAGTCACATGAAATATTGATAACTGCATGTCGTGAATGGTTTCGAATCTATCAAGCTACATGGATGCTGATGCTGAGTGATACAGAGATTACTTGAGGGGCTGTGGCAGGAAAGGACTTCTAGTCACTTCGGACGGAATTGTCTGGCGTGAGGGAGGGCGTCGAGTCTTTGCGGTAGGGCTTCTTGGGAGATTTCAAAAGCCGGCGGGTCCATATGCTCCAGGTACGGAAGATATCCTATACGACGTCAACCTCCCTTGTCATTTAATAACAGACTGACGAACCTTTTGCATACCGAAGATAAGTACCCCAAATACAGGTACTACCATGTAAATCAGATCATAAAGATTAAGAGAAAATGGAGACATACACCATGCCATGATGATGTCGACGAAAGGTCCTGTAGATAAGTCGAATATGTATATAACGCCTTCGCTGAGTAGAGTTAGGTGTGGTTTGTGGAGATGCGGCAGGGAACATACGCAAAGGCTACAAGGGTGAGGAAGCTGAATACCATGACACGAATGACCACTTGTAGGGTAGGTATTGAAATGGTACTTGTCGAATCGTTGTCGTAGAGGTTACGGCAGAGAGAGAGACCAAGGGATACTAGGGAAACAATCAATGAACACAACTTGAGATACCCTTATACACGTCTTAAGCAAACCTTGCACAGGAAGCATTGAGGAGGTAACGATAACCACAAAAAGCGAGGAAATCTTAGGCCTGCACATTGATTTGAAAATACCATCATGTCCGACGGATGATTACTCACGGAATTGCACTACTAATTATACAATATGACGAGTTACTGAGTCGATTGACGAGTGATGAATGCGCCAGACCAAACTGAAGAGATGATGTGAAGAGGTCCAACGGATTCAAAATAGCCGTACGTACCAAAAGGAAGCCAAAAAACATGAAGAACCAGATGACATATGGCGCTACAAGTAGCTACGCAGATGTTCACGAGACATATATCCAACAAGTTTTCAAGAGGCTTACGACGATGATAGTCTTATAATTGGCTTCTAAAGGGGGCCTCGAAATCCCAAAATGAACGTTATACCAGCTCTACAGAGGGATGTCCAAGTCAAGGGCAAAGTCAAAAAATCCGAAGAACACACATGGACCAAGAGTGAAAGCGTAGTAAGTGCAGTCCTGAGGTCAAACGAAAGTTTAGAACTACAGGACAGTGTGCAAGAGATGACCCACAGCGTCGGTATCGAGTATATCAGTGCCGCTTGAGTAATACAGAGGCCATGACTTGGGACAGGATTCCGATCGCTTCCTCCAATGAAAAACAGCAAAGAGTACGAGAAGCAGGAAAGTATCCACGAAACGCAGAAGGTGTACCAAGTTGAGCATCTTTTGACAAGAGGAGAGAAGACGACCGTTAGAAAGATAAGCGTCATCCCGATAGCACCTGATAGTTGAAGGCCTATGAACGTATAGAAGAGTGTTGGCATGTTTCGTTAGAGGGATTTCGGAACGACACGTCTGTTTGCCCGGGAAACGCGAAAGAGAACCGAAGAGCACCCTGCTAGTCAACGGTTAGACAGATACTAACCATGAAAACAGCTTGAGTAGTAGCATACATAAGTTTCGATTTCAGAAAACACTACAGAAATATGAGATCCGAAACTTTGGAGAAGTAGAAAGGAGAGAGAAAGAGACTTTGAAGTGGCGGACCTCGGACCCGGCGCTCGGTGACAATCAAACGCAACTATTAACACTGCCACTCGGAAAAAGCCGAGCATCATTCAAGCTTAAAAATTGCTCGAAAAGCTTGTGAAGAGCTCAAAGAAAAAAAGGCTCAAGACCTTTAAAATTATATAAAGTGATACCTATCCCTTGGCGAGAATTAATGAAATATATTAAGTGCTTAGGCTGCAACCCTCAGTTTACTCACCAACTTGTCACCAACCCTTTGGCTGACAAAAAAATACCAGTCCGAGCAAGTGAGACTGTTCGACTGTAAGTACTACATCGCTTTTTGAATTGAAGCAAACTTCTTCTAGTTTACAATTCTTCGATTCTGAGGATATATATAATATTTAAAGCAACGATTTGAAGGCGATCAATGCCGAAATAAGCCGAGGCGGCGCTTCTGGGGGCTGCCGAGGGGAAGATTCTCCCACGCACCATATTCTTCGAACCCTAACTCTTCTAGCCACCACGAGGATTATTATAGAGAAGAAGATACAACTGTCATGACCACCCTTATCCAGAGACCTCTACGGGGCTCCCGAATCTCTTCTTTCTACCCTGTGAAAACTCTCCCGACACTTGCTTCACTCGACAGCGCTTTCCAACTGCAGGAATATATTTCGCTTCTAATTCGTCTGGATGTACACGACGTGGATTCCATTGTTGCTGTTCCGGGAAAGGCCGGTAGCAAGGAACATAGCGAGGAAGAAGCCAAACCTGAAGACAAGGATGGGGACAAGGAACGGAAAAGTGAAGTTGTAGTGGACCAAGCATGTTGGATTTACGAACAGTTACGGTATGGGCTCCATTGTTTGATGTCTCTACATTGTCCTCAGTGTACGCAGGCGACTGGCGCAAGATTTGACCCACCCTCTAATAACAACGCTGCAGCAAGAATGCACGCGTTTGACATGTCCTGAGATGAAAGCTGGAGAATGGCTGTACCTCTGTGTGGCTCATGGTACGGACGGTGCCATGGAGGTCTGTCTTTCTGTCTTTCCTTTAATTTCTTCTCTCACTGTTACTAGCAATGCTGCGCGATTGATTACATTCTTCACACCTTGGACAGTGCAACTGCACTTCTCAATTCTCCACGGGCGTTCCCTTCACGGTAAGCCACCATAATCACCCTTTATCTCCTTCTTCAATCGTCATGCAGACTGCACATCGACAAAACTTCTCATCGGCACTTCACTTCCCTTGCACGCCGGCTAGGTCGCATTTTCTCACACGCGTACTTTCATCATCGCGAGGCATTCGAACAAGCAGAAGCTGAATCCTCCTTGTACGCCCGCTTCCTTGCCCTCACGACAAAGTTCGAGCTCGTGCCCGCCGAATTCCAGGTGATACCACCTCGAGTATCAGACGCCGATGCTGAGGTTCACCCCCCACGTCTCATGGCGGCGGGTGTAGATCGTAGTTTGGAGGAGGAGGCAATACACCGTGATGACGCCGAAGAAGATTGGACTACTTCAGAAGGCAGGCCAAAGAGCAAGAGTCCACCAGGTCTGAGGAACGAAAGTCCTCGGAAGTTTGGGCGAAATAGGACAGACACAATGATCTACAGTGAGGCGGCTAGCGTGGCAGAAGAACTGGCGAAGGAAGAAGAAGCGACGGCACCTGCAGCTGAAAGACTTCAGAGTCTATCTCCGGAAACCGTCCCCGTTGAAGAACAACTTCCACCTACTGAAGCGTCCAAAGAAGAGTCAATGTCCTCAGCGAAGCATCTTCCGACCGAAGCTAAGCCCGAACCGCCATCAGTAGAAGCTGTTCCTTTACCAGCTCCCGACGCTGCAGAAGCGGACGCACTTTCGGAACGCGAACATACACCAGCACCCCCTGAGCTGATGACGCTGTCGACTGTCCCGCAGCCGATTTCAGAGCAGCTAGAACTCTCTCAGCCAGAGCCACCGGCTACCTCTGAAACATCCACGGAGGCAGGAAAATCACCCACAGACGAAGCAGTCCTACCGCCCACCACTCAAGCGCAGTTGTCTGCTGAAATTTCAAAAGCAGCGCCTACTGAGGAACCACCGCAGCCTGATCCAAGGGAGACTGTAGATGATTCCGATAATGTCGAAGAGTCTGTCGAGACAAAATCCGAACCACCAGTCGTTGGAACATTGTCAGACCCTCTTAACATCCCTTCTGAGGTTCCCGCCGAACCTCTCGTGGAATCAGCTGCCTCCGTAGTCGACGAAGTTCCCGTCGACACTGCATCCGAAATCCCAACCGGTAAGTTTGCTTAAGATGATGATCGCCGATTTATCTAATCGTCCTTTAGATGGCTCGAAACCGTCAGAGCCAAGTCCTAGTTCTGGTGTTGAGCAGACTAACCCAGAACCTACAGAGGTAGAGAATACAGCTTCAAGTGGAGGCGTAGGATCATGATTGTCTGTTTCGTCTTTTTTTCTAATTATATTTTGCTGATCGCTGGCTTCGCGATGTACAACAAGACTGAGCTAGGAAGCTTTCGACCTCTGAATAGTGTTGCATCTACGACACCGATGCCTTCCATTCAATATCGCTCATCGGCAAAGGTCTGGTTCCGCAACAGAAATGTTGTCAAGTTTCAAGAGGATCATTTGCCTGTGACGCGTGCGAAGGCACCAATCAGTCCGCAGTCTCTGTGGATGTGTTGAACAAGGCACCTATAGCCGTCGGCTTTGAGATTCTACCCTATCGTCCATTCTACGGAAGGCGTCTGACAATCACCGGTCCCTGACTTTTATGAAGCAAGATGAGTGCACACTCAGCACACGGTAAATGTCTTCAATTTCCAGGCAGAGAGTCTGTTGCGTGCGTGTATCGCTGCTCCAGCCCACGGTGAAGACGGAGGTAGACATGTTACGCGCATCAGAAAAAACGAATTCGCTTCGTGTGAGTGTTCCCCTTTCGGCATGCTCTGGTTTTGCGGCCCGTTTTTTGCCCTGCAACGAAAGCAAACACGAGAGGTGAAGTATTCCGAAGGTGAAAGTCAAGATGTGCATATGTTCAGTGGGCGATCATGGTGCTCTTCTCATTCTTCCTGTTCTCCATTTCACTGTCTATCCCCACAGGACAGATTGAAACGTGACGAATACAAATTATACGAAAAATGTGATATGTACGTCGTGTTCGGAACATGAGGATCACTGAATGAAAAGATCATTTCCGACATTTCATTAGCTCTCTTGGAAGTCTCTATACTCGCAGCTCGGGATGCAGGCTTGGCAGATCCCAAGTAGCTGATAGTGGAAGAAAAGCAATTCGGCTAGACATAACATCCGGCTCCAGGCCGGCGGGCCTCAATCTTTTGACTGATGTTTCTCGTGCCCGAAGCTTTTGAGCTTCTTCGGTGCTTATCGCTAGTTAACCTATGCGGGCACGCTGATTCGTCCAAGGACCGCAACACATCTAACAAAAACTGAGATCAGTGAATCGTTTAACTACTCGGCCATAGTAAGGTGTGTCCGATGTTTATTGAATATCGACAACTGTTGATTGTCCATGCTATTAGTATCATGGTACCCCGATTCCAGAACTGGCAGTAGCCATACCTCTAAGCTCTTCCTTCTGTCCTGCTCTATTATGGCTTCTTCGCTGTGCGTGAATCTACTATCTATATAAGCCACAGACTCAATGAGATCGTCACTTGGCACGAACGAAAATGATGGAACAGTAAACCCTTACTTATCGGATACTAACTCGCCTAGACTTGGCCACCATGTCGGACTCGTTCACGGGTTCTGGAATTTTTTGCGTACTCACGAACAGTCGCACCCGAAGGTCAACTTAGAACCGTGCAAGCTGAGAAGGGCTGATTGGAATGAGTGTCTTGTACGACTTCTTTTGATTCGCCACACCCACTAGCTACGACTCGGTCCACGCGATGCACTCCTTTCTGGCCAAATATCTGGGCTCTCGCTCATGATCTGACGCGAGCGAACGTTTCCCGCTCGGAACCGTCGGAGTTCTTGTTAATGTTTGCTTCGGGCCATTCGTTTCTTGCGAGAGATCGCAACGCGCCAAGGAGAGGATTGAGAGAGTCAGTATCTCCACATGAGGTAGTCTAAACGCCTCTTGTGTTTTCCCATTGCTAATTGGGGTTGGTGTTGATGGTTTTCAGTGTACGTAGAACTGCCCAAGTGTCTAATTGACATAACGCGAATGACTACGAGGACCGTTGACGAAAGAAGTATTGCCTCGGACCGCCTCCGTACACGACAATAAGTAGTTCAAACTCTATACGCTTATCTCTAGTTAATGACTCAGCTTCGGCGGCATATCCCTAGGAACGCGGATATTGTTTTCGCCCTTCTCAACGACATACTTAGACGCCCATAATTATTTCCCTCGAAGCCGCGCCATCCATTTCGAGAGCATTCATCATTCAAACAAGACAATCCTTGCTTCTTAAGTATTCCCAGTCCGCTGTACTCGGGCGGCTTTGGGTTGAGGCAATTTTCAGTCCTGATTGCCGCTCAGCCCTCTATCACTAGGTCTTCTTTTAAGACCACCCGAGTCGTTCGCGTCGCGTCTGCACCCAGGTTCCTGGAAGGCTTACCGGCAGCTTTCTCTGCTAATTTGATTTGACACCCCATGCGGGGAGAAATATTACTGGAAGAGTCTATCTCGAATCTGAATATCCCTTCCAAGTATAAAGCTTTAAAGTTGAAGCTCAACGAGCGCGTGAAGGTAACGAGCGTCGGGGTGTACATTTTCCCATGCTTGTCGATCAGACCCAGGATAAATGATTTTCTGATCCAATGGTCGATATTATCTATGTTGCGGAGCTGATTCTCCTTTCCTTCCGTTCCCAATGCGAGAATGACATTGGCAAAGTCGAAATTTTAGGTGAGACATCAATGCATCAACCGCTGCGGCACTAGCCTCAAGCCTGTCTCGGTTGTTTCCGTTCAATAGGAATAGGATTCGGACTGTTCCGAACTGCGTCAGTACCGTGACTTGTTCCTCGACGAAGGACATCCTCGAATGAAGGACATTACTTCGTCTTTCCACCAACAGATTCTGAAAACAACGGTATACCCTGGCACTTGGACTGGAATTGATGTGCCTGTGACAGTCATTCCGCAAGTCAAAGTACTCTGCAAGTTATGTTTAGTCTCACTCATCTCAATTTAAAAGTGATTTTTCTCATAGCTCTATACTTGGTACCAGGATATGTTGACAGTTTAAGCGCTTACCACCCCATATGTTCTATGATGATCGATCAACCCCGCTATCCCTTCACGATACCACATGAACAACGTTAACCACTTGTCGTCCACGCTCTCTCGAAATATCCTCTGAAATGTTACCATGCGGTGATGAATTTAAGGACTAATTACAGTAGACCGCAAGGCAAAGTATCCCTGGCTAAAATGAGGGGGACACTCCGGAAGCTCCCGTCGACGTCAATATGCAGGATTCAAGTTGTAACTCCTCGTCAAGCACCTTTAAGGGTGCTAACGGGTGAGACTGCTAGACGTGAATATTTCTATCAATCTCGTGTGCACCTTCAATCAATAGAGGATGTCTACGGAATTTCAAACGCAAATCCCACAGTGTTGTCCTGCCTACCGCAATATCATATCCCATCAAGAACCCTCCAACGATATAAGTACTTTCAAAAAAACCACTAAATACCACATGAGTGCAGGAACCTTACAAGCTTCAAAGGACCTCCCACAGGCTGCAACCCTTCATACAACCCCTGTGCATAATAACCTTAACATTGATGGCCCACATTCCCTCATATTCCGGTTCAAATGTTCATATGGCACCCGCTTAATTGGAGTATATTTCCATCAGCTACCATCCCTGGATCCTGTCTCGTAGATTCGAATCTTTGGAAACAGGACAAATTGGCATAACCCTAGATTTCGTGCAGGCCATGCAGTCTGGCCCTCAACGTTGAACCGGTACCGCTCGAATTTCTCTTCTGCTTCTCCGGCTGGGCTCACTGACGAGGGGGATATACGCGCTCACGTGAAGAAGCACTCCCAGCGTGGTTGTATCCGGGTCTTCAGCGTCTTGGGCAGGATGTAGTCTTTGACTGTTTAGTTGTCCTCCGTTGCTCTCCGTTCTATACGACTTGCCTATCTTTCCCTGCGCTTGTTCTACTCTTTTATTCCAGGTTCAAGATCATAACATGAAGAGGTCACAAATTTTTTGCACACTGTCTTCGTAGGTTCGATTCACGTCCGGATCTAGACCAGCTGAAGATAACCCTCACGCAGCGCAGATCTTGTTGTGGGTCTTCTCTAGTGGTCCGGGATTTTGATTAGTATACCGCCGTTGACGCGTCTTCGACTGCTTTTCGACTTTTATCACAAAACACCGGTAGGTGTCGTTGATAGGGCCTAGACGTAGAATCGTTCCTTGCGAGCTCAACATGCGTAGCTACGCCGTGACAACCCAGCATCTTCAACTCCATCTAGCCGGTGCCGGTACGTCTTGAGGAGCGGGCCGCGGCTCTCACTCTCGAAGGTCAGCTACTGAGGTTCCAGTGCCGTCGATCTGCGCCTTCCACGAGGCGGTCCACTGAGGTCTTTCCATGCCAATAAACGAGGCTATTCGAATTGTTGATAACAGCGGAGGAGAAGTGTCCTATTTGCTCGTCTTGCCCTCCGCGGCCTACCAAGAGAATCAAGCGCTAGCGCTAGTCACAGTGTTCCTGAGTCCTGACAGGTTCCAAGTGTCAGCGGGAATTCTTCATGACCTTTTGGACAGTTAGTGTCCGCTGGATGGTTCTTTAATTTTGATTACCACGTTTATGTATAGAATATATGTAGTTCGTAGGACAGATGAAACATAACGACCTTCTACCAATGAGGGTAACCAGAGACGTGACCGCAGGCGTCTACTCCGAAAGAAGCATTGTTTGAAATTCGAAGCCTCCCGCCTGTTCTTTCTAAGCACTCCCCTAATCCCAGATGTTGTTCTCAGAACAGTGTAGTCGTCAGGTCGACATGGTTGTATATTTTCCCGCTGTTCGATATCGTGGGATTGCTGATAGAAAATATTGCTACCTTTCAGAAGTGTCCGCAACAACGGTTTTGCAAGACACCATGTTGTCCTATGGATATAGTGTACTATGCAACAAATCTTTCTATCGGTTGATTGGTCTAGTGGTTATGATTTCTGTCTTACACGTTTATCCTCGGTAGCGGGGATCGAACTTATACACAGAAGGCCGCAAGTTCGACCCTTGCATCAGCCATCGTTTTTGTTCGCAAAACGCAAGTTTATCCACACTTTTGCGGGGAAATGAGCCGAAAGGAACTCCAGAACACAAGAATAATGTACAACATATAGGGGAACATCAGTTACTGAAGTAATGGAAGTAACGATGTTAGGCGCTCAAGGCCTCGGAAGTAGGATTGTACGTATCCCGGTGGTCGCAGATCCAGTCGTGGCGGAGAGCAAGGGACCGGCTGTCGGTGGGTGCCTGCGCTTCGTCGCGCACAGGCGCCGCGGATTGAGTGTGTGACCAGGAGCATGAGACCAAAATATCTACGAACTTGGCGCCGGTGGTACGGTATCCAAAACGGTAACAGATACCCAGAGAGATGAATTTGTCAAGAAGTATTTGTCCGTGTTGCGTATCCAATTTAAATTATCCGCATCTGGATGTAGCTAAATCGGTGCAAATCTGATGTGAAGGGCCAAATGGATCTGAGGGAAAAAACACTCATAAGGAGAGGGCCGACGATTCGAAAATCCACCCTAGACTTGACTTTTGGCCCTCAAACACAACACGCCACCAGCATCCACTCTCCTTACCACAACCAAGTCTAAATACTTACCATGGACATTGCCCGTGCCGACTCTCCCATTCAGGGTTTCCCGACGGCGCCTTCTCCATCACCCAACCCCCTTGTTTTCCCGTCACCCGACTGGGTACGCGCCCTGGATAACCAGACTCCCGATGAATCAGTTCCCGACGCGCCTGACGATGTCCTGGGCATTCGAGGCAGAGGCTGATCTCGTCTCTCTTGTTCACCATCTTTCCTTCCCATCCCATTGGGACGATGCTACCGCATATTCTCCCACACTCTCAAGTCGTATATCGACAGACTCTCTGCTTACCATTAGCCCACTCCCCTTCCTCTGCCGGCAGCAGCTCACATACACTCGTCAAGACACGCTCTTTCGCGTCGCTGAGCCTGTCTCCCAGTGGAAAGCGGGAAGCCGTGTATATCGTTGAGGATGATGAATGAAGATGACGATGGTATGGATACGGTGGAAGACTTTACTGGAGGATGGGCATACAGCTGTGAGGAGGAGATGCCACCGTCACGGTTTTCAATGGACGAAGACGACTATTTCCCTTCGCCACAGTCAGCCTCACCCATCTCAACGCGATTTAGCGTTAGGCCAATATGGCCCGTGCGATCGCGCTGCAGTCTCATTTTCCACACATCCACCACCGCCACCACCAATGCCGCCGTCACTGCCGCCATCACCGTCGGCAAAGAAAAGTAAACGGAAAACAACGCTCAGCGTCCTCAGCAATATTCATCTCGGCATGTTTTCTTTCTAGATTATATATTTTATTGCATCCGGATTCATCGTTTTCTTGTTTACTCACTGGACCAAGCACGCTCCTTCTCTTCGCTTTGTTGAACATGCACACTCATTTGTATGACCACGCTCTTTGCTTCATCTCTCTCATCTTACGCATACATTGACTTGTTATTGTACCGCATTTGTTCCGTATGTATTGATATGTATTTTAGTCCTCATATTAGACTTGCAAAAACATTTCACAAGCATCAGATATCGATTTCGTGAAGACGCATGTCCGTTTCTTCTCCCTTTCCTTCCTGTTTCCCTATGATCGGTATCTTTTACGGTATTGATACATCATGCCTGATGGTGCCTTCTCTTCAATACGGGGAGTAGCACGGCCAATGTCGTGTTTATGCTTGACGCCCAAACGTACACCTGGCAACCCTCATCTGGTGGAACTGACGTCAGGCCGTTCAATTGCACTCTGCCAGCATCCACTTTCATACCTTCAATGTAATGGTTCTGTCTACCTCGCCCAAATCCGGTTTAGACAGAAAATATGTACGTAGCAAATGCTAGGGTCATCTCTGATCTCTCACACATGTGTCGTCAACTGTACACAATCGCTCGATCTTTCTGCCTGGACCGTAAGATTCCGCCGCACTTCGGCATTGGCAGTTCTTCAAAATTTTGTCTCTTCTTCAGTATGGACTTCAACTTTCCTCTTTAGTGGTGAAAGTTAAGAAGTGTAAGACCCAGGAGATCGTGCCTAACCAAGAGCATCTGGGTACTACTCACATTGCGCTGGCATTTCATAGGCTTATGTTCTGGACTGCGCCGGCTTCCAGCTTCCTTGTGGCGCAATCGATATGAGGTATCCAACGCCTGAATTTCACCGGGCCATTTCAAAAACTTACTCAATTCCGCTTTCCGTTCTTATCCCGCCGCCGTTGCTCTCAGTCCGACGCTAGCTCTGAGGTTCATCACCCAAGTTCGATATCCAAACTCTGTTACTTGGACTGCGAACTAAGATATCTCCCCCGACTTCAGAACACCGACTTCTGATGCAGCATTATTGCGTAACAACCACGGTCACTCGACCGAGCTCTCACTCTACCGGTCGTCGCAGAGGATTCGCAGGCACACCACTGTGGCCTGTGAATCATTGATGATGACCTTCGGTGACACTTGTAGATGTCGGTTTTTCGATGTCAAGGCCCGATGATGTGTGATAACCGATGGCAAAAGCCGCATTCCCTCTGCCTCCACGTCTCCACCGAGGAAATGCTGGCCCAAGTATACCGTGAAATGATAACTCTAATGTCCGACGTTTGCTGTGCTTGCTGTGTATACATTCTCCAGGCGGACCTTCCCCGTGGATCGTATGTCTTCGCGTGTCCTCATCTAGACCTGTGGCGGAAAGCCTCCGACCTTCCTGGCCAGTGACATTTCGGCGGAACGGGATGCTCGGGATACAATAGCACGGCGTTTCTTGTCGTGACTGCGTCACTTGTTCGGGCTCCTCGAGCCGGAGGCAATATGTATGCGATGGGATTTTATTGCTACAATTGTTCTTACGGTCTTTAGAGTTGAACATTGCCTTTATTGTTCTTATGCATTCCCACACAAATTCAAGTCGTCTGTCCTTTCTCTTCGCGGCCCAGTTCCTACCGCTGATTCGGGAACATCAGTCTCTCCTTCGAGTCGCAGGTGCTACGTACTCGCTCTGAGCAAACTGCGGCCGTGCAAGATACAGCATCACCAGATACTAACATGTGAGCCCGTCCGTTTTCTTGCAGTCGCCGACGGCTTGTTCAAGGAAAACTTTCACAAATCTCACCGAAAGTTTAAACCAGGCTTCGGGTTTCACGCTCCTGCTCGCTTTGTCTGTGGCGTTATCACGGGGAAACATCTCCCACCTTCTCTTTCGTACCGTTATGCTTCTATCAACGGACCTCGGCTGAAGGAAAATCGAGCCGGTACGGAGTGATGATCCGATGGTTTTTCTGCATCATATTATCTTCTCTTATGGTCCTTCGTCTTCATCTTGCGGGGTTCATGACATACAGGACTAAAGATATCTTTTTTATCGAGCCTGATATGCGGTCGGAAGCGCGTCCCGACTAGCCGGGTATTTTTTGTCCTCGTATGTTCTACTCGCAGATTCAGCTGAAACATAAGTAGTAGAGAATAAAAATGAACGCTTCGCGTCCGAAGATCACGATGCTCATCGAAGCCCCGCCGAGTCTGCATACGACTCTTCTTGTTTAAGGTTTCTCCTTCTCTCTTCTACCATCTTGCTGACGAGAACCGCCAAGTCAGGGAACTTGATTTTCCCCGCTACTGATACTTATTGACGGGAAGTGCTTCAAGTCTATGTTCAGAATTGATATATCCGATTCTTCCTTGGCCTCTCCTATCGTGGGTATCTCTGATGTTGACCGGCAGTACTCCATATCCACGCTCAGAATTGGGACATTTCCAAATTTTCCTCTAAGGCTCTTGCTAGTAACATTATGAATATCTCTCTCAAATCCAATTCTTTTCTTGCGCCCGATCATGGTTTTTATCGTCGGGATTAGGTGAAGCACATGTACAACCCCTCCCCCGGACCGGTACCGAGCATGTAAACTGTTCTCCCGACTTGTCGCAAAGGTTATCTCCCTCTCGCTGGGAAAGTCATCGGGACCAACAGAACGAACCAGCCGCAACCAAGTAGAGGAACATCATAGCCAAGTTCTAAGTTCTTTAACCACTGCCAGTGACTCCCTGGGAGGATTGCATCGCGTGTGCTATTTAAAAAGTACAGGTATCAAATCACATTCGATCCTCTGTGATCGTAGGTGACATCCTCCATTAATTCGAAGGACCCAGTGATCTCATGACGTCGTTTGGAGGTGAGGCGAAGAAGCTTTTCGTCTTCCGGTACCGTGCTTGTCGTTCGGAACGACTTGCGGGTTGTCCATGTCTTCGACGCGGCTCAACGTATTTTGTTAACCGATGTGCGATCAAATCTTTCTGCTAGTTTAAAACTCAATGTAACTTTCTCTATATTTACCTAGAAAGATGAACTTACGTATAGATGGAAACATGAAAGACGAGTTGTTGAGTTGCCGTCTTGTAGAATACCAGCAAATTTAAACATGATCGAAAAGCTCGGACGCGAAGGATGGCCAACCTTGCAGGCACTTATTCGTGGCGCGACCATACCCCAACGGTCTTGACAGAACATCCGTATGATCGAAGGCACTGTGGGTTGGGGATGCATCGACGATGACTTTTTCATGGCGGCGTACTTTCTCCAGTAAGATTGTATCGTCACTTACGGTGCCTTTGAACCACTGTAGATATCCGGTATTGAACAGGTGAGCTTTGAAACTCATACCTAAGACGTATCACGATAAGCACGAGGGAAAATAGACATTCACACCGGCAGTAGGAAGTTCAAACCTTAACCAAGATTTGGTAAACGTGAATTGAATCATCCCGAATGCACCAGCACTACCGTAAGTGGTCCAACGTTGCGCCATCAACGGACCTGAGAGGTAAATTAAGAATGCGGAGCAAAAAATGGGGACTGGGGGTTACATACTCACTGATGGCAATTTACCACCTTGCACTGGCGGGAACAGTCAATTTTGAAAGTCGGATGCGGCCGCTTTGCAAAATTAGAGGTTTATTATGATTATTAAAAATCATGATGGAAGGTACGAACCTTTGCTCCGCCATCGATCAAAACGGTACGGAATCCCGCTCTTACAGAGGGGCGGGTAGATGGTTGATGCAGGGAGAAGGTCAGTCTTCAGCTGATGACGGTCTATTAGAGAGGCCTTAAGGAAATTGTCGAGAAAATAAGCCAAGGCTGAGTGACCCACATGCTGGCCCAGACTCGCCGGACATTACTTTGATGTATCGCAAAGACGTTAGTTCCTTTCAATTTGTTTGCGTATACCAGGGAAACCCTGACCGAAGCTCTTGTTGAATAAAATTACTGTCAAGACGTCTAGGTATGCGATGATTGTGGATGCTGACACCCGGTGCATGTCGCGTTCTAAGAGCACATCCCCAGTTAAGGCGCAGGGGACCTATTTGGTGCTTAACTGGCCGTATCTACCCCAGAGCGGCTATACGGTTGAGTACAGGATTCCCCGTTATAGCGACCCCACTCCACGAGAACAAGGGAGTATCTAATTTACCATGCAGTCGGCAATCGTCCTAACGTTATAGAACATCGTTGTATGACCGGAGTCGGATAGACTGCTTCAGAGTCAGTCGTCATTTCGATATAGCAAGTGGCTTCAGTAGTAAACAAATTTCGTACATTGCATAATAAAGAGGAGGATTATGAACGTCATGCAATATCAAGTAGATAAAGTTGTCTTTTGATTATGCCGGCACCTGGGAGCAGAACGGACTGTTGATCATTTTTTAAGTTGTATGATGTATCTGACGCTGGGAAAAAGGTCACTGAAAATAAGACGCACCTTTGTAGCAAAGTCACCGGGCTGGGTGCACCATATCACGAATAGCGAGAGTTAAATTGTCCAGTGTCTGACGCCTTTGGTTGGAGGTCGGCCCGATCTCCGGAACGCTTTCTCTGCGGCCCTTTCGGCCTCTGTAACACCCTTCCTGCTGTGATACAGTGCTACATTGTAACTTTGTTTGAGAAGTTTACTCTCGCACGACCCCTCAAAATTATTTGGTACCTTTCAGCAAACAGAGTATCGAAATTTTTAATTGTAAATCACTCACAAAAGTTTGAAGATCAGGTTCCTCTTTCAACCCACAAATTGAATTTCTGTGCCAAAGGAACATCGTTGAAACACTGATATCAAAAGTACTCTAGGAGAAGATAGCGCAGGATAGCACATGGATGGTATACACATGGCAGGACTACATCGGGAATTTCGATGACAGCTGGCAGTCCGCATATCGTGTGTCTTGATTCCGAGACACTCATCAGAAAAGAAACGTTGATGGATAAGTACCTGACAATCAGGAACTAAAAGCAATTGGATGTCAGTAAGATACCTGGCAGTCATACCAGCAAGCTCGAAAAAGGGACACCATGAATTTTGACAAGAGAGTACCTGTGAAGTTGCTCAAGTTGCTTTACTAGTGCGTATGTAACAAATGCAATGTCAACTGGTATGTAGAACGACCGAAGGCCGACGCGTTGCAGACGGTGCCTCATGACCGTTAGTGACATCGCCGGCGGTGCTGTGGACTTCTGCCATCTGGTGGCAGAGGAATTTGTACCATTGATGGCATCGTAGTGTCATGTTCCTCGTACTGATGACGCATCGAGCCCCAGTTACCTTCGTTTAATACCCGCACCAGAGGGTCCAATTCGTATTTGACTAGCTCTTGTAACGTTCACGCCATCATGATACGTCCTGATATGTCCGCAGCGCCAGCGAGAGGCGCTACTTATGGTTGCGAGACAACATAATCAACATGGGAGTTGATGTCTTAATCAGGACTACTTTTTCTGTCGGAGGCAATGACAAAAAATTGTATCCCACGACTGTGGGTTCAGTAGTGCATCAGGCTCGCGCGTATGATGGTGGGGAGAGGGGATCCTGACGTCCATATCGTAAAAAGAGGTGCTATTCATCCGCTTTCGCAGCGCTCTTCCAGCGGCCTCAATCGTCCGCATATGAGATACAGTGCCATGCTATTGTGCGATGTAACGAATCTGCTCTGAATCTTAAAGGGCCGGAACTCCGTGTCAACATGCTATCTAGATCACTGTTCAGTGAGGTAAGAATGCTTTGTTCATATCGTCTTGGTTTGAAGCATATCCCATGTCCCGTATCGTCATCTCGGAACTTATAACAGACAAAAGTCATCTGAGGGTCTGCCGCAACTCTTGTCGTCCTCCAACTCTAGGAGCCAGAGGAGAGATCGTTTTTTTCCGTTCGCTTCCGAACCGGGATTTCTTCTACTCCTGGCCGCAGGTGGATCAACGTCAGAACGCGAGGAATAGACATATGGAGAGCATACCTCTTGGGCATATGCCCGCGACGTCGCGCGACCTGAATACCTCCATTGGCGGGAAGGGCCCATGAAACAGTCTCGAAGCGCTCCCCGACAAAAAAGTGCTTAAATCTGAGCTAGCAATGTTCAGAATCTAGACATCTCGATAGTTCACGACCAGAATATGGAAACAGAAGCACTTATTGACCGCGAGAAAAGTGAAGACCAGAAACCGATCAGAGGATACCCAGCCAGAGTAGTGATCTCGCCACTCCTGGGGAAGTCAATAGTTACATTGTTATGAACCATGGTCTGTATGCCTGGGGATCAGTTCTTCTCGCCGCGACACCGGGTCCCAGGACGCCGGGAACAGTGATACCGTATGCCCGTTCCCCGAAGAATCAGATTCGGTCGTACTAGTCATAAGATGAGCTCGAGAATCCATAAAGATGGTAAGTTTTGGGTTATCAAGAACGAGAGAAGCAAGCGCATTGACAAAGTCAGGATAGGGCGAAGTCTGCAAGAAGATGGCGGTTGCGTGAGACTATTCAGATATATCTAGCAGAACCACGGAAACGAGCGACGAAACTGAAGGAATGTATTGTCAGTCCTGATAGGTAACCGTTTTTCACGGGTCAAAATACAAGGAAAATGATTGCCCACAGAAAAACCCGTCGGGGATCTCGGCTATGCTAGACTGATTTGCCGTGCTCAAGCAGAATTGTATCTGTTATCCGACAGTTTCTACCCGACCCAAAATAGCTGCTAACCAAGAGCGAGCGTGAATCCCATCCAGAAGCTGTCGAGGTGAGAACATCAACCCCGGTAAGGAAATCACGCCGACGATTGGTTAAGCCCATGTATATGTCGCCATCAAGGGCACACACGGTGAGCGTTCAGAACTGAGAAGCTATATGCAGTGGATTCCTTGCAGTGACATCTGGCGACCATCAAAGAAAGAGGGAAGTTGAGTAGAATGTTTCGACTGGTCTTCTTCAAGCAGCGGTGATTGGTCCCGAAACCGGAGTACGAACGTAAGTTCGTTGCAGGAGCCCCAGACAGAAAGATCTCAGGTCAGAGACGGCAGCACAAGTTACCATAAATGTGACGCCTTATCAAGTGGGTCGGCAGTAATTCCTCTCGCATCAACGTCGTCGATGACAGAAGATGAAACCTGCGGAACCTGATCCATAATACAACGATAATTCATGAAGAGCGCGGAGGTCACATACCGTCATGTGAACATCGACGAACATGGCATTTCAACTGTTGGTGAAGGTTCAACTAATCGTTACCATTGTCTTTACTAGGTGACACTTATACTGAGTAAGACTGTTAGTTGAAAGTGGGAGTAAGTCTGCAAAAAACCGAACGTTACCGTAATTATCATCAAGTACAATCCTTGCCCTAGTTTCACCTCCCTCAAGCCTGATCCAAGTATCCACGCCGTCTTTAGGATCCGTTGACGTGAATAGCAGATTGCGGACGCCAAAGCCCCACCAATATTTCCCGTACCCGCCGTATCTGCAGCTTCGTCAGTTTCTCAGGGCGACTTTAGTCAGATCCACAGTACCCGGAGTGCTTGTCAAAGCAAAATATAACGTTCTTGGCCGTCTCCCGAGAGCACCATTCATTGCCATGATCTACGATGTATCAGTGGGTCGATGGCGTCAATAACAATTTACTATCGCTCACCATGACCAGAAATCACAGCATGAAGATTTTTGACATATTTGTTCAGAGCATTCCAGAACGGCTCATCTTTGCCAGCATCTGAATCCTTGACGCTAGCTTGTGTGCTACCCTGCCCAAGGGTATCCTCTGAATGGAAAGCATTAAGACCAGACATAATGGCAAAGATAAAAGAGCATGCCGTTGAGCCCTGGATTTGAGGTATGGTTCAACGTTGCCTGAAGTGGTTGCACAGCGCGTCTAAATTTGAAAGCGTAAGCATAAATAAATGAAGTTCGAGAAGACTCACGGCGGAATATGGACAAATGCCAATGCTCCCCGACTTTCTGCAGGCCCCCACTCATTTTCCATGGAGACTGTTTCGCTCTCAATCCACTGCGCAACAGATGAATCGACCCAGTCAGGAACTGGTGTTGAGTTTCTACCAGGCGAAAATCCACCTAATGGCCTTAGCAGGGATTCCCAAGTAATACATCGTTATCTACCTCGAGAGTCAAAGAACCACAGAATCAAAACGGGATGATAATCTGTCAACCGCAGAACATGACACTTCAATACTCACATAGACAGGAGAAATCTTACCTTCTTCATTCGCATATACCTTAGATTGAAGTAAGGCGAGTCTTCTTCAAGTCAAGTATCCTTCGACTTACCGGGACCCAATAGTTTCCTGGACCGCCCTCTCCTCCCACTCCGGATGGCGCGGAACGAGTGTAACTAAAAGAACTAGCTTGCCGCTCACGAATGATCTCCTCCAGATGGGTAATGTTGACTTGATTATCATGATTCTTTTAGGTTTCAGGATCAGTATACCTGCAAGTCCAAAGATGTATAAAGACTGACTCCATGAGAAGAGGCAAAGGGCACGCGAAATTCGTTGAAGGGAGCAACGATTCGGTCTACAAGTGTCGTAGAGTTTTCTCTGAATGTATCTGAGGTTTCATGAGATCGCCATGTCAAAGAGCTTGAACAGAAAACTGACTTTCGCCCGTAATTAAATCGCCATTGATCACACTATTCAACAAGTTTCTGTAAACTGCTGGTTAGGCGAGTGATACTATGACTCACGCAAAATCAGGCTTCTCCTCTGGTAGGACTCTCCTCATGAGCCGTGTACTATTGGCATCTTGCTCAGGGCCCCATGTTGTTTCAGGACCCTCTCCAAAGTGCAAATCGGAGAATACGGTGATCTTGAAAGTCCCATCTGGGCTGAAAGTAATGCGTGGCTTGTCGGGGTATGGATCCAGGTTCCCATTTGTCCGGAAATTCCCTAGCGAGGCTTGATTGTGCTTTGCCACATCTGGAATCAGGGGTCAGAGGCGGTACTGGCAAATAACTTGTATGAGGGGGCTTTCAACCTGTAGGAGTAGCATGTACAAGCTGGTCCAAGGAGAGGATTGTGATGATCACCGCCAAGTAAATTCTGCAGGCAGTCGAATAGCTGAGCATCACAGGCTTGAAGTCAAGAATATATGCGTATATGCGGAGCCTCGTAGCAGAAGTGTGCACCAGTTGTAGCGACGTCGAAGTCCTCACTAGACAAAAGAAGTTATCGGCATGATCACCAAGAATTTGGAGAACCGCACAACAGGCTGTTGTATTTTGTACTTGGTGCAAGAAAGCGAGAAGAGCAATATGTGTTTGGAAACGAACACGATATAGTAGGACAAGTAGTGGTAGCCGTAACAAGGCTTGTTCAGGCTGTTCCGACTTGCCTTGCCTGCCGCCGCGGATATGCGGACCGGTGGCAGTGCTTTTTTGTTTTCTGTTTTCTACCATCATGAGTCGTCTAACGAGCTAAACGGTCTGGAAGAGAGGCTCGATTTATCCTTATCTTTGTCATCCCCCGAATGAGCGTGTTCGTAGTCTTCATTCTCACTCTCACGGGTCCTGACAAGCCACAGTACTAGCAGCTTCTCTGCTCCTTGGCAATCTATTAACGAACGTAAGTAGCTCTGGGTTTCTCTTCATATTAGATGACCTTAGTTTGATCTATCCTTTAGCATCTCTCTCGAATAGTAGCATCCGCTTCCTTCGATCACAGTCCCCCGCTCGACAGCTTCATTGTAGGCCTACTCTCCCTTGCTACCACTAACCGACCTCATTCTGTCGATTATGAAATTACGAAAAAATAATCCTCGCAGAAATACCGCACCGTTGCCATCCCAGATATCCCAACCGTCGACTCCTCAGAAGGCACCGGGGAGTGTGATATTACCCTCACCCGAGGCTTCCCCTATACCGTCGCGGCGGTCGAGTATTGTGTCCACTGGCGATCTTCCGTCCAAAGCAGAGCTCATGAGAGGGATGATGCGCAATCCCTACGTAAACAGACACTCCATGACGGCGCGAACTCTACCGCAGGCTAACGAAGCCACAAAGTTGCCGCTTTCTAACGTTTCAGGGAAGCCGCCTTATACGAGATCCTTATCCCTGGATGCAACCATTACTACACACTCCAATCCCTTAAGCACACCACGCTTGAGGGAGTCTCTTAAACGTGCTGTGGTCAGTGTCACATCCGAGGCAAAATTGCCACGATCCAAGGCGCCAGAAAAAACACGGAGGTCCTCCTTGTTAATCCCTCCCAAGGAGGTTCGTATCCCTCAAAAACATCCTCATGGTCTCGGAGCAAATGGCTCGAAATTTGTAGAGTCAATTTGTGACTAGGTCTGTGGCTGAATGCACTATGGTAGGCGCGACATCATTCTTGTCTGGATATCTTAGGCTGACCCAGGCGAAGATGCTAATACAACTCTCCACGAGATCAGTCTATCAGAGCAGCGGGGAATGTAAGTCATTACATACTTAGTGACATGCATCGTTCGAGAAAACCAAGCAGTTTGGTATTCGGTTTCTGTTTTTATTTATCCCATGGGCGACGAATTGGCTTTTTCGCCCCCCCCCCCCCCCTTGCTGTCGTCGTCGCATCCTCGTCCACAATCCAATCAATGCCCACCTCTCGCCAAGCCACGGGGACTACTATATTATCGTCACGTATACCGTTAGTATCTACCCAAAGAGAAACTACACGGGCTTGCGTTCGATTTATCGCCACAACCATTGTCCAGTTGAGTACTCAAGGAACTTGGCACCGGGTTCTCGTCAACTATTGTTTGGTGTCATGCTGATGTGACTTCTGCAGTTCGACAGAGCGACGTTGCTGGAGACGCAAGAACGAGATAGATTTAATATCAGGCGTTGTCGAGGGTGTCATATGATATCTATCGGCCTCAATATCGCCTTCCCACAGGTCGTACTCTAATTCTCTACACCAAAAGTCGGCCACTAAAATAAGGTCGAATCTAAGTGTCTGGTTACCAGACCAGGTAGAAGGCGAATCGAATCATCGAATCATCGGTCTATTGTTACCTCTCAGCGGTCTTACGATGCGACATGTAACCCGTTTCCAATTTTTATGTACAGAACTTGTCAATATTAATTAATGCCCAGTCGTTTATTGTATCTACGCGAGCGCTCCTGCGGGAATTCTTCGGCTGACCGGGCCGAATGGTTGTTCGAATTCTGGATGTCAGTTTACTTCTATTTACCTGAGCTGTATCAGCGGAGATAGCCAATCAATCCAGTTTTCCAGTTGTCGGGTTACATATGAGGTTATCCTTGTCTCTCTACGAATGCCTGCCTTTTGGTTCGCTACTTACTATCATCGCGGTTATCACGAGAACATCCGGTCCGATATCGCCAATACAAGCGGTTATCGATTTATCAGGCATGTGAACCGATAGCGTCTAAGAGAATCTTCTATCTCTCTTGCTTCTAAACGTGAATGGCGTCGTTTCTTAGTCACTGGAAAGCTTGGTGGGCAGATTTTCTTCATCCACGTCTAAACTAATTTTTTTACAGCCGTGTAAAACAAGAGGCAGCGCAAGAAGCGCATCGAAGATTTGGACTCTGTTTATCACGAACCTGTGAACAAAAATGATGCCGAGATACTCTCCCGACCGATAGCGGATTTGGTTGCAAGTGTACAGAGCGGAGCATACAACCCAGTACGTTCACATTCCTTGTTAGCCGCATACTGAAAGATATGACCCGTGCTTAGTCCGATGTTTTGGTGGCGTACGGCAAGCAAGCACTGAGAGCTCATGCCAAGACCAATTGCCTCTCTGAGGTTATGATCGCTTCGGCGGAAACTTGGGCAAAGGAATGTAACAAGAACGGTCCATTAGCCGGAGTTCCGGTCAGTCTAAAAGACGTGAGTGTCTCCTAGTATTTTGCTATCAAAGACTGAACGACTGCTTCTCAAGTCGATAGGCGTTAAAGGATGGGACTCAACTATCGGGTATTCTGCATGGGTTGGGCAGCCCATGAAAGAAGATGGCCAACTCGTTCGGCTTCTTCGAGACGCAGGTGCTGTTCCATTTGTCAAGACCACGATACCCATCACCCTGCTTTCATTCGAATCGTCGTCGGACTTGTTTGGTCGCACGACCAATCCACACAACCCTGCTTATTCTCCTGGTGGATCATCTGGTGGCGAGGCAGCTCTGCTTGCATTTGGCGGGTCACGGATAGGTAAGAACGATTCCATCGTGTTCCCAGGCGACGGCTGATTTGTTTCTCAGGACTCGGAACGGACGTTGCAGGTTCCGTACGCACACCTTCCCATTATTCTGGTGTCTATACTATCCGATCGTCGACTACTCGATTCCCGAAGTTGGGAGGAACCACAAGCATACCTGGCCAAGAAGGCGTAGCGGCAGTATGCTCTCCCATGGCACGCACACTTGCAGACCTCGAAACATTTTGGAAAGCTGTCGTGATGCAGAAGCCTTGGGATTATGACCATACTGTAAGCGGTGGCTCCGATGACCTAAACTTGTGATGAAGGATTTTACTAGTGTATAAACCTCCCGTGGAGAGAGGTTGATCTTAGCAAGAAGAAGTTGAAATGGGGCGTGATGTGGGATGATGGTCAGCCGCACATTTACTTAGTTTTACTCTTATTATGATTCTAACGTTATGAAGGCGTCGTCCTGCCTTCTCCCGCGTGTAAGCGGGCACTATCGTCTGTTGTGGAGACACTCCAGAATCATGGACATGAAGTTTTCACGATGTGAGTATAACCGCCTTTTTCTTCTTCTGTAGCTTATACAATGGTTTCAAGACCTGCTCCAAGCCCCTACGAAGGACTGAAAATCGCCTTTCAGCTTCTCCTTGCTGATGGAGGTTCGTTCTGGTGTTCATATACCTGAATGAATTCTCACATCAATCTTAGGCAAGACGGTAATGCAGCCATTCCAGCTAGGTGAAACCAATGATCCTGGCGTTAGCCAAGCTAGAATCATGTTTTCTCTCCCTCACTGGATGCGGCGGCTGTACGTTTGGTATCTCCGCTACGTACGAGGTGATGAGATGTATGCGGGCCTAGTGGAGGGATGCTACGAGAAGAGTATTACGGAATACTGGCCTTTGGTCGCTCAGCGCGAGGCTTATCGCCGGCGATGGTTCGATATGTGGAACGAGTATGATTTGGACTTCCTGTTGACTGTTCCGAACGCGCTCCCGGCGGTCCCACACGGGGGAATGAAAGAAGGATACAAGTCCTGCGGCTATACATTTCTATTCAATCTGGTGAGTGATGATCGGTCTCCTCTGGATTAATCACGTCTAAGTTAATTAACACAGCTGGATTATACGGCAGGTGTCCTTCCGGTGACCCATGTCAGTGAGAAATTGGATGCGCTAGAAGGATTCAAGCCGCGGAACGCGGTCGAAGCGGGCGCTTATAAGGACTATGACTCTGCCAAGATGAATGGGCTGCCCGTCGGTGTTCAAGTAGTGGGGAGGAAGTTGAGGAAGAGAAAGTCATGGAAGGGATGAAGCTGATCGAGAAACTCTTGAGGGAAGATGGTAAAGCATACGAGTTGCTCAACATGTAAAGTATTCCGTTTGGTGAGTGCACGGGAATTTCCTTCCTTCCCTCCTTCCGTATTGACGGGGTTCATATTAACATATCTGCGTTTCAGGTTGATTGTTCTGGAAATGATAGGAGAGAGCTACAATTTGTAGAGACTCTTTTTTTACCTGGTCGGACTGGTCCGCTCACTTCCGTTAACCGTCCCGTTTTCCCATATTCCCACTGTATCATCATTCGTCATCCGCTCGGACCTTTACTAATACCTGCCCAGACTGCGATAGTCTCTCATTAATTTACCAGAGATAATCGATCTGCATTAACAGGTGGACTCCCTCAGTGCTCGCTCGTATACTTTCGTGGTGGAGTCTCCGTCTGAAGTTTGGAGTTTGCATGTGGTCGAATTGATGGATCACTATATGTGTCAAAAAATTCTCTTTCCTTATCTCTCGCGCGTCTCGGGCCGTAAACAAACTTCTAGCGCACCTTCCATTCATTGGCACCTTATCACTCAAGCGCGCTCTCGTCAAGAGCTATGGCAACATTGATATCATTTGGGGTGCGTTGTACATCTTTTACTTCGGACTCGCGGTATTCGCAGTACACGTTGACCATTTCCCGAAGGCTGGCGTACGTGAACATGTCACTGACAGCCGCCAAGCAAATGCGGCGAGTTGACCGTCTGTCTGTGCTTCAGAAACAACTCTTAGCAATATAGTTGTCTGACTTTACTATGGTTCTTTCGATATTACCGCAGTAATTATCGTACCCCTATACCCCGCGTTTCTTTCACAACGGGGCCCCGCAGAGTTCAATGTTCCATATCTTTACGACATGACCCGAACAAACTAACAGCATGACAGACCTCTGGCACCCGAAGTTCTTCTACGATACTAACGCGTTGTTCTCGCGCGTTGGCAAGGCTGGGAGACTTGGCGTTAGTAGCTTCTTGAAGGATCCCATACTATGCATGCTTGGCGCCCAGCTTCGTGGTGGTTCAGCGTGAGGATTGTTGTCGTTGCCAGTCTAAGATATAATGACGGCGGAGTTCCGTCCCTGCTCTACCGGAACTGTCAGTCTTCTATCTTGCCCAGTAGAGAGTTTTGATACAAATACTACAGCACGTTTGCCAGGAAGTGTCCCCATTCATGTCGCCGGGACGAAAGAATGAATACGGAATATCTTTGTAGACACCATGCCGTGTAAGTCACGTAGATAAAGCGAAGCAGCACCGTTGCGGATCCCGGCCTACCTAGGCTCTGGACATTGAGCGGTGATTGATCAGAGGACCTGCATCTTTGCCACATAAAATTAAAGACTCTTCATGGACCACTTCCCCGCATTCAGGTCGATCCCTCTTCCCCGCAACTGGCGGGATACACTGTGCACCGTTGCGGGATCGGTCAGCAGACATGGCGATGACATTGACAATGCACGATCACGCTGCTTTGCAAATCGGGAAGGCACCAGAAAGCAATGACAAACAGCTTAATGCCGAGCATGAATTCAATCAATCCATCCAGTACGTTACCAACCTTAACCTCCCTTTTATACCTACCCATTCCATTTACCCAGCATTCGCTCATTGTTGGGCACGTACCAGACTTTTCCTTTCTACTGGCCAATTTCTGGTCTCGATTCACCTGTCATTCGTCGGCAGACATCCCCGCGTTTCGGTACTCAGGATCCGACAACGACTCTTCGAGATCCTGACATGACTTGCGATGCCGGACTGCACGGTCGACCCGAGGCTCACCATTCTCTGTCTACGACGACGATGGCCCCTGAAGAAACGCTCGAGTGGAATTGGGACGTGGAACACGCAGACCGGCGAAAAGAGAAACAGGCGGACGCTGCTCTCCATGGTGCACTGCCATTTCTCGTTGATAGATCCGTTCTCAAAGACGTCGTCCGCGAAATGTTTGCCACTAACCCCGCTCGTATCTCGTTTCTCAGCGCAGGTATGTCGCCGTGTCTCATTATGGTTAACAGGACGCTTATCTTTACGTCTAGGAACTTTCCATAAGGTTCGTCTCTCACCGCTGCTATTACCCCCAGTCTTACCTTTCTTGTAGGCTTATCTCGTTACCCTCGTTGATGGGAGGCAAGTCGTCGCCAGGGTAGCCCGCAGATTCATGCCCCGACTGAAGACAGAGTCGGAAGTCGCGACTATGCAATACTTGCGGCAAAACACGAACATCCCAGTCCCGTTCGTTTATCACTATGACTCGAATCCGTATAACCGGCTCGGAGGAGAGTACATTCTGATGTCTAAGGTATGCATTTTACCCACAGAGCCGTGTGCATTCGTAGACCCACCCCATACTTCCAGGCACCGGGAAGACCCCTCGCGGAAGTTTACCATTCACTGGGCTATAATGATCTCGTCAAACTTCTTAGGAATATCGCGAAGATGGTGTTACCGCTGTTCGCTCACCGCTTTTCCCAATTAGGATCTCTCTATCTCGGCCCGAGCCCTCCTTCAACTCCATCTTTTTCGAATGCTGCGACGCCGAAGGCGGTACAGACCTTTTACTCCGCTTTTCCGTTCTCACCAACACTAGCGATGTCCAATATCGCATCCCCCACTACCGCCACCCCCAAGTCTCATACCAAGAAAGAGTACCATGTCGGTCCCATCATTTCATGGCCATTCTTCGGATCTCACCGAGGTAATTTGGCCCATCCTGACGAAATTAATCGTGGTCCTTGGACGACAAGCCAATCCTATTTTGAGTCTTGCGCAGAGAGGGAAGTAAATGGTGTCAGACGCGAAAACGAGGGCAAGTCAGCGCCACACAGACTCCATCTTGACCCCGACGAGATCATGTCGTCACGCCACCATCAACTACAGGCTGTACCGGGAGACCAGAGTGACGACAGTGACGAGTGGGATTTGGAGGAAAGCGAGGCAGAGTGGGACGGACCTGGCGACGCGATGTATCGCGATTATCGGAGGATGCAAAGAAGTACATTCTTGATCGCCCATCTCGAACAGCGGGTCGAACGTGTTCGGGCAGAGACCAATAGGTGGCTGAACCTGATGGAGAAGATAGCCAATAAGGTGAAGAAGGAAGGGTCTTCTCCGGAAGCGGAGATGTTTGGACTCGATTGCCATGATCTGAGTCTGGAGAACGTGTTTGTGGATACTGCAGACCCGACAAAGATTGTAAGCGCGTTGTAAGCTTTTTATTCTTTTTCTCTTAACATCATATATTTTAGACGTGTATAATTGATTGGGAGTCAACTACGACTCGACCACTCTGGGCTTGCGCGCATCTTCCGGCTTTCCTTCAAGCCAGTCCTTTCACGGCCAAGCTTTTTCGCGACATTGTTGTGGAAATAGCTTCCAAGAGCAAGGACCAAAACGCGTCTCTTGCAAAAGACTGGCTGTACTATGAAGCCGCTGGCACACGTTTACGTATGGCTCACCGTTTTGTCGAATGGGATGGATGGGAAGAGGGTCTAGTTGACAGCATTTTAGGCCCTGAAGAATCCGAGGAGGATTGGTTAAATGATCCTGTAGTTGTCCCCGTTCCTGAGTCTCATAGTGCTGGCGCTGCAGGGAGGAGAAAACCTTCGTCAAAGTTACCGCTGCCTTTAGAGAAGGAGCTGGAGAAAGAACAAATGCTTAATACGACGGGGGACATATGTGGCGGCCGAGGTGGTGAGCTCGGAAGGAGACTCGAGGCTTGGCTTACAGTGACCCAGCAGACACAAACCGCCCGGTTCTTGTGGGAACATTCGGAGGAAGACCATCATGACGAGTTACCAGTTAACATGGACGGGTTAGTGATTTGATTGGGGACTCTGTAGCGACTAATGATAGGGATTCGGATTCGTTCACGTTCACTTTCATATATTGCAAGCTTTGTATAATGAATGTAGTGCCTACTGTCAAGAATCTTGTACATACTAGAGAGATATAATTACAGGTCGCGTCAGTTACATTGAATGTATCATGAATATCCTTTCGTAAACATAATAACCTCGAGACCACTGAGTAAAGCGTGCATGTAACCCTCTAACTCTTTCATTTTATTACTCATCACCTCCTTACCTTCCTCCTCCTCCTTACTTGGAAGCTCCTCTATCGATCAGATAGCGCCCAGGAGTTCAATGTGGTGCGACGACGGGTAGACACGGCGTGAAAGTCTGCAGTGGAGCTCCGCTAATTAACGAACTCGGTGATATCACCGTATGTCAAGTAATTCTATGTCGCTTCCTGTGGCTATTGTTAGCATTTGTGGGGCAGAGTCAGCTATATTTAATGCTGTGTACCGGAGTGTCTGCTGTGGCTTTCAGGGTCCATACTGGCAGGTGCTGCGGGCCCAAGCCTCGTAGGTGAGTCGACAAAAGTGGATATCATAGGATATTCCGTTACTGTCGTACTCAGTGGAGTATGAAGGAGCTTTGGATCCCTGATGTTTAGCATAAGTCGTGAGAGCATTGTACTTGAAATTCTAGGAGTAGGGTGCTATCAGTTATTGGTTACAGAATCATCAGTAACACGTACACGTTCGTAAATGTCGTGAATACCCCTCGAATGTGGGCCTGAGTAAAAAATAGGGTGAGGAACCTATAGATTGAAGCATAAACAGCAACAAACGTTTCCCAACTACCAGTGAGAAATGGTTAGCCTTGTTCTTATGGCTGTCATGGGACTACCGGACTCACGAAGAAGGTTAATATATTGACAAGGTTGGAGACAACAATAACTCTGTTGTGATGTTTATCAAGATGTGATATCTACCTGAGGCTCCATGACCTACCCAAAATAAACCGAGCCTGCACATATCTCTCAGCGTGACTATTGGACTGATAAGGATGAAAAAACGAACCATCTCTCAGCAACAAAGTGAGCAAATTGACCCCACCAGCACGCTGAAGCTGCAATGCCTTGTGAAGGGTGAGGGTGAACACCATGATGTCGAACACCAGCATGCCGCACCAGGCGATTCCTAGGCCTGATGTGATAGATTGTCATCAGTTTGGGCGAACAAAGAAATGGAGAAGGACACGAACGCGCGGCGCTATAGCCAGAAATAGCGAGTGAACAAACAGCCTTGAAGATATGAGCGGCGTACGTACGAGTCTTTCGTCAGTGACGTGGAACAGCCAATGGACGGAACGATATCAGCAGGATCCGCATCAGGGCTCGTTTTTTTACCCGACGCGACTGCGTACTAGTAGAACTAAGAAATAGATCAACAACAGTGAGAAGTACTCACAGCGCCTAAAATAGTAGCCGTAACGGCAACACCTATTTGAACGATGAGAATTTTGCGACTTCTGTCGTATAGCGCATATGTGCGCATGATCAGCATCACTGGAGAAGATCAACACAACGCGATAGTTATGGTGGGCTCTACACACCTGCGACCACAATCTGTACAATAATAACGAAGTATTGGTGATACGTTTGGAGCTTGAGACATCTAAACTTGACGTGTCGCTAAGCAGCTACAGTCATTACGAGCATTCAAGCTACTGACATCTTCCAAAATTAAACTCAACATAGGTCAATCAAACTCAAGTTCAGAACTCACTTGAGCTTTATTGGATGCGTACCCGGTCCAAAAGTATTCCATAACAACCGGCGCATGCCCAAATATTCCGAGATAGCGATTCAGATAGAAAAAGAAAGCGGCCCAGGAGAATCCCCGGTGTACCCAAAAACGTGATACTTCCAAGGCAAAGGTGAGAGCATAGTCGTAGTACAGTATCGCTAAAGAGATAGTCGCGATGGTCGGTATCAGGTATGACAGAAAATGTCAACCTTACAGAAAGCCACGAGGGAAAGGTAGTAATTGACGTTTCTACACAGGGTGTGCGTCAAGTGGAAATTAGAAATGATCATTGACAGACGCACAAATCTTTATATTCCGATCGGAGGCTGTCCGAGTCAATCATCGACATTGATGGCTCCTTGGTCGAAGCAAAACATGGAGTGTTCAGGTCACTTTCGAAGAGTATTGTACCGGGACGTGTTGAATGGTACAGCGGATCGGGGGAAGATAAGTATGGATTATGGCACATACGCTTTTACCTCGGCTTATAGTCTACCAGGGCTGATTTGCATCTCATCTGTCCGATTGTCATGCAAAATGACGCATGATCATCACCGCTGCCTCAACATTTCGATGTTCTTCGCCTAACTTGGCGTACAGGACCCTTAATGGAACTGTGACGCAGATAAAATGCTAGAACTACATTAATTACCCCGTATCCTTCAGCGTCGTAGGGGAGAGCAGAAAACACTACTTACTGCCAACGTCAGCTTTGAATGCTAGGTGCCGATGCCAGTACCTTAACGGATAGAAGACAGGCACAGTTCATACAAATATCAGAAAGGTGAATAGCCTTGCCATTTAAACAAGTACCGCGTCTGGACCATGGATCGCCAACCCCGAAAACATCTACCGCAGTAGACGTGACCGTATCGTTCAATGTATTGACTGGCACCTCGAACGTGAACAACCACACGGTGACCGACTTCACCGACGCATTGTAATTTCTTCGTCACGGAAAATCTGGGACCAAGTTGGACGAAACGCCACCCTTTGGAAAGTCGAGGGAACAGCAAGTCTAAGTATCCATTACTAACTTGGGCCTGGAAAGAACAAGAGTGCTCGGAACCAGTTGCAAAGAGGTCGGCCGACGGTAGCCGAGAGCGTGGAAAGATAGTACCATATTCACTTTGTCAACGAAACAGCGAGGAAATCTTTCCACTTTCACCATGATCTCACAGGACAGTTGCCTACTGCAAATCCCTGGTTTCAACTTAGATCGTTTGCGTGTGACGATGATTTGTGAAAATTTCATCTTTGGCTCAGCTGACCGCTCGCAGAACTGAATCTTCCTTGTGCGGCATGGATTTTCGGCTGCCAACGATGGCAATCGCCATAGGTGTGCTCCACGGTATGTCGTTCGTGTAGTGTTTTCACTTATCGTCCACCTTCTATCAAATCATTAATCATTGAACGGGCGGTCTCATTGGGCGCTGTTTATGCTGATCCGCCGTCCAACTTACGTTGGTGCTATTGGGCTCTGGATTATCCTTGTCTGTTTGCATATATAGGACATCTCCAGGCTCGAACGACCTCCCCTGCATCTGGCCAAAATATCACGAGGCACCGATGTGTGAGTCCGTGACTTCATTTATATCTGGCTTCTCTCCATATCACAGAATGAACGCGCCCGTACCAGATGCCAGGGCCTTTTCTGATGTCAAGTACTGATGATCTTTGAGAGGTGTTAGTGCTTCGACGTATGAAGCGACCTTCACATGGACTTGTTCAAGATCTCCAAGCCCGGCGTCGAAGCTTCAACAATATCCCCCTGCCGAGTTGGACAGTGAGTATCAGCTGGTCCAAGGAAAACGATATAGTACTACGGATCATCCTCTGCCAACTTCCATAGGCCCCTGCGCACAAGCGGACCTGGTGGACTGAGAACTTCTTGATACCCTTGTCCGATGATATAGGCCTTTTATATCATGTCACCTAGGACATCTTATGTTCCGCGTTATTGTTAGCATACGTGAGCCCAGTCCCGAGCAGGTTCAACGAATCATTCATTCTCAAGTTCGCAGCCTCTATGCATCAAAGGAGAAGTAAACGGGAATAGGTCGGATCCCGATCCGTTCGATAAGCACCGGAGACCAGTTCTCAACACATTTGACCAAAACGCCTCAGCGCTTGTGTCGTGATATCGGCAGGTCCCTTCGGCAGTGGAGGTTCAGCGGCAATGACGATGCTTCATAAAGACACCGTAAAGTAGTTTGTTGTTTTTGCTGTCCTCGTGAGGTCGAACTGATCTGTCATCCCATGTCGTTGAATGGTCTCACCGCAGCTGGGCTACGAGACCTCCACTCAACACGGTATTCTGCTTGTGAGTCGACTATTCCATCTGGCGGAAATGTGGTTATTCATGTCATTTCCAGTGGCCTCGGGTGTGATAGTACTGTTCGACCATCGTAAGTAACGCTATGCCTTGTTATTGCGACCGATCTGAACCTGTTTTTCACACATAGTGATTACACTCGATGACGAAGTAAGCTTTCATTTAACCATCCTGACTACGCACTTCATTTAATCTTGCACCAGGTAGACTTGGTTTGGGTATGTGCTACCTAGACCTGAATGTGAGCGTCAATGACCGTTCATGTAGAGGAGTCACTGGTCTATCGGCAAACTCTTATTCATCATTGTACGTCGTCATCTAAGTCTACGTTGAGCGATGAAATGACTTGTCTTTACCTCAGAATCGATATTACACGCTATTATCAGTCATGTGTGTTTGCCAGCTTCTTCTAGGATTTTACGCTCATTCTAATGCCCTGTTCTCCCAGCTTTAATTACTATGGTTCGTGGCCCGCCGAAGATAGAGTCCACGATTTTCTCATGTAGACGTGCCGCACTTACAGGCCTTTTCATGATGCCGCTGTCTGAATCGGTAAGCGGCTAGCCTTAACCCCTTTCATGAATCTTGACCAATTTCCGTTAGTTGTAAGTCTTCGGAATTTTATGCGGACCGACTGTGGGCTGTATGTGACCTTCTTACATAGTTGTACGTTATTCTTTCCGCAGCCTCCGGCTACGCCTAATCATGTTGAAGGTCACCGTTTCTTCCAGTGGCAAGGATGGACAGGCCTAATTGCGTGCATGATAGCGGAAGGTCCGTCTGCTCTCCATTCTTACCAACATACTCATATAAAAGCAACATAAGTGATTTTACAGATGCGACTTTACGCGTTGTATCTTCTCAACAAAAAAGTGCTAGCGCTCATGGTCACGAGCTTTATTATATGCTCAGCCAGCGCAGCGGTCATCATGGGCATCGTTCTGTCTAAATTAAGCAGTGCGCCCTCTTCATCTCTCACCCCGAATGACTAAAAACCGGCCCGTAGCAGTGTCGTACACCCTTGCAGGTACCTCTTTCTGTGCTCCGAACGGTATACCGGATTACTTCTACACTTTCTGGATTCCGACGATTGCATTTGAGTCCCTGTTGTGTGGGCTGGCGCTATTTCGGGGATTCCAAACGTTCAGCTCCGATGGACCTCTTTTTAGCTCCGGACGCCATCTCGTTAGCATCCTCATACGAGATTCAGTCTTCTATTTTGTGGTGTGGGTACGCCACTTCTTCCTTTCTTCCTGTGTTTGATTATCTCTACAGCATGTTCGCAACATATCTCACCAATCTACTTGTCTGGACTGCCGCCCCGGTAAGAACTCGAGATTGAGATATGTTATGGTATCATCTGACCACTGCCACAGGCCGACCTTCTCGAGATTCCTATAGGATTTTCTGTCACATTTTCATGTGTCATGTCCAACAGAATCATCCTTAACGTTCGTCGAGCGAACCAAGAGGTCACTGAGTCTAAAGCTACAGGTTCCCCAGAACAACGGTCGAAAAAGGATATGGATCTACTTGGTGACCAGGCATACGTGTCCCACGCCACTGTGACCGATATCGAAATGATGCAGTTACGCTCGATGCGTTCCGAGCATAGACAACCAACCGTTATAATTTGAATCTTTCTTCGGAACCAATAAATTATCAATTTACTTTATCCACTCGGCATGTAAATCTTCATCGTCCGATCTGCATTAGAACAAGATTCCATTTTTCCAACTCGGCGAACTGCGACAACATTCCTGATCCACTATTATCGTGAGGGGTTAGCCGGACGATCAACAAGGACAGAGCTGGGAATCGCGATGCTACAACGTCTACTCGCAACAATATGCTCCAATCCTCACCTATGGCACTACGAAGAGATCAATGTCGAAAAATTGCGAGAAGATGATGACCTCGATTGCGCATTCCTATTCCTTGGTACCAACTTCTCGATCATTTACCCACCATTCAAGCAGTCGATGGTTCTTGTGGTATTCGTGTGCGGCGTTGCTACGTGAAGCGTATGGACACTGGAAACGAAGAGACTCTGCGGGTTCGGAAAGCAAGACTTGTATGGCAACTCGGCGAGCGAAACGTAGCATCGGATCCTTACTCGTAGGAGGATCCGTGTGTCGGAAGAAAACATCTGGAAGACTCGGGGGTCTTCGCGCAAAAGAGACCCGAGGAGACGAAGACCATCATGGTCTTCTACCTCCATCTTGATAGTGTAAAGACCGTCCACAAGATGCGTCCGTTCATGTGGGAGGGGGAGAGAGACTACGAGCTATTTGTACTTAAACGCTGGATTCGAGTTTTGGGTCTATCGATCAGTTCTGTGGTTTGCTTGGGTTGTCATGTCATTTGAAGCGTTTCAAGCTAGGCCATATGCAGACTGACCGAAGAATCAGAAAATGGGGATAAGAAAACATCTTCAGCGCGTATCGAGGAAGGTGAAGGCTCTGACGCGTAGATATCGGAGAAGATTTCTCCATGGTGTTCTCTCCAAAGCAACATGCACATTCAGTGACGCCAGTCTCATCCAAACCCACAGGCATCTGAGAAGATGGCGAGAGGAGGGTGCATAGGACATCGTTGTTGGCTCCAGGCAAATGAGACGAGCCAGGGAACGATACTGAAGTTTCTGACGATGGGGAAAATCCGTAGAATAACAATCCCCCCGAATGGTCGCAGGTCAGACACCCTTCTCAGTTCCACTCTTTGAAAAAGGCAGTAATTAACACCCTTATTTATATTATTACTAAAAGAATTTCGTGAATTATTTTCTACTACAGACGGAAGCCTCAAAAACCGACACGCTAGCAGCAAATTCGGAGGCAAGAATCATACCAAACCAAATATTTCCTTTTTCAATGCTGGCATCTGCAAGTAATCACGAGCTCGCCGTAACCAAATACACTGACTGGTGTACAGAAATGTACCAAGGAGCATGAGCTTCGGTTCTAAGCATCGGATGTGACCAGACGGAAGGCTCGGACCGATGTGCCTCTCACCATAATGATAGTGACGCAACCCTGTACTCAGGTTACAACCAATACATCGTTCCTGTCAATTGTTTCAATTTGAGTGCAACATCCGCTCATCAGACCTCTGCAATCATCGTACTAGGCGTGAAGGTAATCTATGCCTCAGGGCCCATTCAGTCTTTCGTCGTTATGGCGACTCCGATGTTTTGAACGTGAGTGGTGCACTTTGCTGTAGCATATTTTTTTGTACTCATACTTATCCTGATACAAATGTCAGGTCAGAATTGTTGTTGCTTCCTGGGATCTAAAATCAAGTGCAAGGAGAGCGACTACGCTATGCCAAGATTTTCAGCATGAAACGGTAAAACTGGACCCAAACTGTACCTGGGACTGCAGATTCATATCACGCAGAACTGGACACGCTACTCAGGGTTGCAACACGTCGTCTACTTGATGATTTCCCAGCTCTCATCTTTCCTTCAACTCATTTTGACCCTTCAGCACACTCTTTTCAATGTTCTTTCCGTATGTTCTCATTTCTGGGGTCCTCATCTCGCAAGTCTGGTCCTTGGCGAATCCATCCACGTTCTGGCCTGCAGCGGCACCTCTCGCTGTCCGGTCTCCGTACCTCAACAGCTATCTAAACCTTATAACAGGAGCCAATCATGCCAACGAATGGCCTCAACACTGGACAGAGGACCACGTAAGGGTTCTCTGATTTTGAAAGCTTTTTTGACACTTTATACAGATCGTGGCTTGGGATCTCTGGATATCTGTGGATGGTGAATATTTGCAGCTGTTCGGGGGTGGAGGAGGCCCTGCGACGAACCTGACCAATATCGCGCTAACACCAACACGGACTATTTTAATGATCCAGGCAGGCCCAATGGATGTGAACGTAACATTTCTCAGTCCTATAGAAGTACGTTCATCTCCCGTCTCCGTGCGCATTGTTTACCTTCTTTCTTTTAGCCAGACTCCCTTGTTAGACAGTCATTTCCTTTCACTTATTTATCAGTCGATGTCGTGTCAAGGGATGGGCGAGAACATGACATTCAGTTCTACACCGATGTCACTGGCGGTATGTCCTCCCCTTCTAATATAAGATGTCTTTCTCACTCATGTACTTAAGAATGGCTTTCCAATGATATTACTGACAGTGTTAGATGGAACACGGCTCAAAAATCGTCATTCATCTACCACGAGGCGAGCCTTTCCTCTCCATCATCTATGAACGAAGATGGCGAAATGGCGTTGGATGCTACTCTATACTACGCGACACCTTGGGTTCGCATCCATTTTTCTGATTTCATGCACCTGTCTGATGAGTTGATACAGAGTTCCTCCGTGACCTTCCAGACTGGTGATGCTGCAGTTGCGCGTCCGATGTGGGCTCAGAACAAAACACTTTCAAACACCCAAGATGATAACTATCGTGCGATAAACGAGTACGGAGATTCTCCTGTTTCTGATCTTACACTTAAAATGTTCTAGTAATTGGCCGACGTTCTCCTTTGCATTCGATGCGGGGAACATTACGACATCATCCACACTCATGTGGGCACTCGGGCTTGTGCGTAGTCCTTCTATCAGGTACCGCCAGCAGGATCGTTATCCATATTTCTGGACGGAGTACGATGATATTGATCAAGGAGTGAATAATTTGACTTCATTATCTTTCTTTGTGTTCATCTTCGTGAACAGATCAACGCCTTTTTGCAAGACTTCGAGGACGCGCAGAATAGGGCCGATAACCTCGATGAATCCATTTTGTCTGCAGCGCGCGATATATCTCCAGATTATGGCGATCTAGTATCTCTAGCCGCTCGACAAACATTAGCTAGCACAGATATCACAGTATCAAAGGCCGCAGATGGTTCTTGGAACAGTACTGACATCAAAATGTTCATGAAAGATATGGGAAGCTCACGGTAATTGGTCTCTATCTATCTTGTTGGTATTCTTACTTGTCAAACTAGCCGAGTCAATCCCGTCGATGTTATCTATGCATCAGTTCCAGCATTTCTCTGCTTCAACGCGTCATGGGCAGGATATTTACTTGAACCTCTCCTCGATTATCAGCAGTTAACATTAAGTCAAGCATTATACGCAGCACCAGACTTGGGTTTGTGCACTCCAAATTTCTTGCTTCGCGTAGGACTCACCACGTTTCTTTTTCAGGAGCACAGTATCCAACTGCCTTGGGAAATACCTCTCCTCCGGTGAACGAGTCCATATCCAGTAAGCTATCTGAATATTCAAACAACACATTTCATGACGGTTATCTTAGATTCGGCTGATATGCTAATCTTGGCCTGGATGTATGGGGCCTACTCGACGGATTCAGCCTTCTTAAGGCGATATGTAAGCGTCTTGGTCGGTGAATCCTTGCACACTATGCTCACTGTTACATGCAGTATACCTTGTTCAAGCAGTGGGCCGAATACTTGAAGAATGTAACATCCGCTTCTGCTGGGTTGTGGGTCGCTTATACTTCTTACCTTCTCGATGATTTCACTCAGAGTCTTGTAGTGTTGACAGCGATGGCCTGGACAACGTCAACCTGGAACTGAAGGGCATCATTGGCATAGCGTGTATGGGAAAGATTGCCGAAGCCATAGGGCAGAGTGACGACGCTGGCGACTACGAGGTATTTACATCCATATGACAAGTCTGTCTAGATTATGAACTCCTCCTCAGAGCCTAGCGCAGTCCCGCATGTCAAGTTGGCAAAGTTCGGGGAGCGAAGGAAGCCATCTCGTCTCTACATATGGCAATGCGTCGACCTGGAGTCTCATCTATAATATGTTCTCCGACCGAATACTCAACCTCAGTCTTGTGGAAGAAGACGTGAGATTCTAACCTGAAGATACTCCTGCATACTGATTTTCTTCTTCTCAGACTTATAGGCCGTCAAGACGCATTCTACCTCAGCCAGATCGGACGATGGTAATGCATCACGTCTGTTCTGTCTGCGCATGAATCTGATCTCCATTGTAGCTGGCATTTTTGGTGTACAGTACGACAGTACTGTTGGTCAAGTGGCCAAATCCCGTTAGTCTTCTCAGCTGACTGTATACTTACCAGTAATCATTTGTATCTACAGATTGGACGATGCTCACCGCGGGTGCAACTCGCAACACTGATGTGCGTGATGGTCTGGTATTGGAGGTCCATCAAAAAGCCTCCTCAAACGCCAGCGCTGGAGTTTTCCCCTACCACATATAATGCTCAGAATGGGACCACTCTTGGAGGACAGGCTAGGTATGTGACCAGTCATTTCTTTCCTGTGGGATTTGCCCCTTAGGTTCAAATGTAATCACAGTCCTGCACAAGGAGCGATATTCTCGTTGTTGGCTCTCAAGTACGTCCTTCTCGACCTTCATCATTTTGTGCTCATTATCATGCAGTCTCGATCCGCTCGAATTTTCCAGCTCGTCAGATGGTATAGAGGGGTCGTCATTGTCCACAACGACTGGCATAGGCGCCATTGTAGGTGGTGTAGTTGGAGGTGTTGCTGCTATTGCTGTAGTCGTCGCATGCGCCTTCTTCTGGCGGCGTCGAAAACAGCGGGGACATCATCTCGCCCAAACGAAGGCTACCGAATATTCGCTGAACCGGTCGCCCGAGAACCACCAGTACGCATCAGTGACCTCTCAGATCATGCCCCAGGCCCCAGTTAGCCATTTCACACCTACCCCTTGTGTCAGCATGGTCTTCGGATTCAAAACTCATACGCCTCATGCCCCCAAGTCAAGACACGTATTCAGCGTCGACCTCGGGTGTAAGCAGTAGCTCGGTAATATCATCTGAGGTGGACACAGCGACACAACTTCGCAATGAAGTAGAGAACTTGCGTAGAGAAATGGATCAGATCCGTGTACAGACTTCCTACCAAGCACCGCCAGAGTATGAACTTGACCCGATGTCCGGTTCTTCGTCCGAAGGGACTCTTGCGCCGTCAGTTCCTGGGAAGTGGTCACGTTAATTATTTTAGTTGTACGACATACGTTCGCTGTACTTTCAATCCCTCGCTTGATCCGCTCGCCAGTCAGTGGCAGATTCCCAAGTTCAGGTAGACAAATGTATACCCCAATAAGCAATCCGCGATTTAACGAAATTGCTATCTCGCGATCGGCAATCGCTACTCAAATAGTCTTACCTGCCTTATCCGTTTTCAATGGTGATTGGAACCTTAGAAGTTAGGCTACTGGGGATTAACGAATAATAAAAATAATGCAAAAAGATGGACTCACGGGGGATTGAACCCCGGACCTCACACAGCCGCGACTACATAATGCAAAGCGTGCGCGCTACCACTGCGCTATAAGCCCATAATGAGTTCTGTTAAGATTAGTATTACTGCAGGCTGAGGACTTAGGATCGCCTTACCAGTCCATCTACTTAATGGAGTCCCCGAACTTCAAGTTGAGCATAGTCGACGGAGTTGGAAAGAAAAGGCCTCTTATATACGCCATAACAGTTGCTTTTATTTTATTTTTCTGTCCATTTTTCACCGTCCCAAACCACCTCGACGCTCCATTTCTCGCTATCCATCCATTGATCTTTTAAAAAGCCGTCCCACCATTTCACATGAATCTCATCATCGTCATCAAACCAATATCCAGCAACTCGTGGATCTGGGCCTAGGTATTCGTTTCTGAAACGCATAAATAAGCCCAGTTTTATGACCTGCACAACGAACACACCTAGACACACCTTTTAGAATCGATCCCGTCCGCATGTACAAAGTTTGCGGCTACCCCTCCGCCATCCCATTGCTTCAAATAATGGATATGCACCAGTTGATTTATGTCCGAGCCTGGGTAAACGATCCGTGTTGTTTCTCCGTCCTTAGCCATGTAAGACGCAGGTAAATGGATCCTTGTCCGTTTCCTTGCCACCATCTTTACTAAAGGCCATCGGTGAACCTCCCAGGCTTTAGCGCGTCTTTGGTCTGTGAGCTTTTGTAGCGACTCCTTCTTTTTTGAGAGATCGGCAGGAGATTTTGTAGCATCGAGACCTGACATGAAACCTTGAAGGCAAGCGTCATGCACAAAAAATATTCACTCCCCGATCGATTACCGATGGTGGGGAAAGCTTCCAAAGTAACTCGCACATGTACTTAACAAGCCGATGCCATTCAATAACTTGTAATAGCTAATACTTAAACAAACCCTTCTAGAATCAGATAATACAATCTGTTCGGAATAACTAACAAAGAGGTAATTCGTACACTGATACACAGTACTAGTAGCTAAACATTGTCCTGGAAAACTCAACTTCATGCAAGCGATAGTGATAGCGATATATTAAGTAGCGAAAGAAAAGACTATGCTCCCTCCGCAGACAGACTTTGCTGCTGCGAGAATGAACCAACAAAAGGCGTAGTAGGGCTGAGAGTAGCCCCGGACCCGCGGGATGAGTAGGTCAAGGCAGGCGAAACAAGAGGCGGGGATGACTGCTCGACATCGTAGACGTCGCGGTCAGGGTCCGGGAACACGCTGTGAGGATATACATGTCCGTCGTAATCGTTCTTGAAGTCGTCGCCTGCCTGGATATTACTGCGATGATGGCGTAGCATAGCAGAGTTGCCGGCATTATTTTTCAGGTCGCTCGCGTACGAGTCGTTGTTGAACAAGCGGTTGTTGTTGTTTGAGTGAATATTGTTTTCGCTGCTGATGCTACTGATAGAATTTGCGGATCTGTGCTGTTGGACGCGCTGCGCAGTCGCACGTAGAATTTCTGAGGATATATTCCTCGATTTTGGGATACTCATGCTGCTGTGCTGATAGTGACGAGAATGATGCTGTTCTGCAGAAGAAGTCGAAGTAGAATGCGGAAGGGTCGAGGACCGAACATGAGCCTGCTGATTAATATGCTGGTTGCGATTTGGCGCTTGCGAAGAGACGTGAGAGGAGTTCTGAGAGTATGATGAGATATGGGAGTGAATCTGGTCAGCGTCACGGTCACCAGGTAGACGAGAACCATTCACGTTGGACTGGTGAGTGTTGCCATTCCGAGACTGCCCACGAAGAAAGTTCTGCCCTTGTTGCATAGCTGACGACGATTGGAACTCTTCCTGTAGGGCGGGAAGAGAGCCGTTCATCATGCGGGGAGAGTGGTAAGCATCTTGCCGTTGAGCCTGTAACTGAGGAAGTGAGATGGTGGAAGCTGGCGTGCGAACACCCCTGACACCCACGTTGTAGTCGGTGGGCTCTCCTTGACATTGCGCCTGAGCTTGAGACAGATCCAACCTCGTTGGTCGACGACGTTGGCTCGCTAAATTGCTTCCTGCGGCATGGGCCTGCAAGATGTATTCCTCCGTTGCGGTGAATCCGTTCCTTGCTTGAGCAACACCACCACCAATAACGGGGTGATGGTTATCGTATCCCAAGTTAATGTCGACGTCACCAAGGGCGCTACGGAGACCCGCCGTTTGAGGAAGACCGCGATGATGGGCGAGTCCGTCCGTGAACCGATCATCAGCACCATTATAATTGCCGTTGTTACGAAGGGTACTGATCAAGGCGGCGAGTTCTTGACTTTGAGATGCAGAAGGGAACTGGTCATATGGCGACTGTTGAAGAACGCGAGCACCCATAGGAAGCCTTGAAGATGCCAGGGCTGGATTGGAATTGATAGGGATATCATTGCCTCGATAGCCAAATCCGGCTGACATGGCGGCATTCGAGGAGAAATCGCGGAAAGGAAGATTGACGAACGTGGACTGGTCATAGTCAACAGCAACGGGGGAAGGGCGAATACGACTGCCACCGATAGTCAGAGGAACCTGCGTCTGTTGGGATCGCAGCTGCTCTCGTCCGTGCAAGTTCAGGAGGGCAGCTTGAGCGATGGTTAACCTTGATGGGGACTGATCGTCCTCCTTCACAGAGCGCTCAGTACGCTAGATGATACGGATTAGACCCTGCTAGATTCCCCGAAAAAAGGTCCTTACACGTAACTCGCGCTGCTCAGATGTATCGGCAAAGCGAACAGAAATCCGGCTACCAGGGTCGTTCCAGCCTCTCACCATACGTCCATGCAGACGCTCGATGACTTCTTCGGCACCAGCGCGGGTATCCAGTCTAAATGAACGCATTACTAGGATGAACGTTACGGAAGTAAGTTTGACACCAACCTCACAAAGGCTATGATTCGTGGAGGATTGCTGAGTCTTGTTTGGAAGAATCTACTGCTCTTGATCCTATGAGGAGACACCAAGGCACCCAAAGACTAAAGGATAGCCAACGTCAGATTGTATATTTGTTGGAGGTGTAATGGACTCACAGATTCGTCGATGCTCAATGGTAAACTGAAGTTTGCATAAGTATGGGCGCCCATTACCAGAAAGGCGTAAAGCAACTTACCCTTCAATGTATAGGTTTGTGCTATTGGGGTCGTGAAGTCTTTCCATTTTCGCTTTGAATGAGTCATCACCGTGATCAACAGATGATGCTGAGTGACTGGAGGAGATAGATGGGGCCTGGGCGTAAGTCGTTCCAGGAATCTTATGAACTTGCTGTTGACGGAGGTCGCTCAATAAGGACGAATGAACGAAGAGGGCACTGCTAACCTTCGAAAATGTCGGATGCAGATTCCTGAAGCGTCTCAAAGATTGGATACACTTTTTCTGCGGCTTCAATCGTCTCGAATCTGCAAAATAGTGATAATAAGAGGATGAACGGAAAGGGGAGCATATATGCGCACAAAACAAACCCATATCCACTCTCCTTCTCCCCCACGTGCCTTGTGAAGCTTCTGACACTCCTCACGGGGCCAAAAGGCGCAGCAAGCTCGAAGAGTTGGTCTTCGGGATAATTAGGCGGCAAGTCCGTTGATATACACGTTCGGAGTCTTATTGGAATCTTCGTACGGATCACCTCCATCACTCTTAACTGAGGAGGCAGGCGTCAAGCCGCTACCTGTGACCGTAGCGCTGTTCATAAACGAGGATGGGGCCGCTTGATGGATTTCGATATCTGGCAAAGGAATATAGGTTGCCTTCTTCGATGGAGCACAGGGCACTACTTCCGGAGACGACGGAAGAGCGGACGGAGGTGCACGATCGCCTCGCTGGGGCGACGTCGTCACATCCGTGACCTCGCCTAGCTCAAGGTCTATCAAGAATGCGTTAGTAAAACGTGAAGAAAGGATAAAACAACACGTGCCAGAGTTGGGAGCGGTGGTTGAAGGGCTTCCAATACGAAGTGAACGGAGAAGCGTTCCTGCGTCCTCCGAAGCAGAAGAGCCAGTCTCTGCTTCTTCCAACCCATCCCGGCGCTTGTAAGGGCGTGCGATCTGGCTGGGGTTACTCAAGGGCGAATGGTACGAGGAGAACGACGATTGGGTTGTCGAAGGCGTGATTTCTGATCGCGAAGGGTTACTGGAAAACGAAGCAAATGTTGAGATTGATGGAGCTAAGGTAAACGAAACTGAGGTCGATGTCGAGGAAGAGCCTGGCGAAGAATGTACTGATGCAGAAGATGGAGAGCTGGAATGAAGCTTGTATCGAGAGTCTGGTAGAGAAGATGGTACAAAATCGCCTGCGTTGGGATTAAGAAAGCCTGTAGACGAAGAGACAACGGATTCTGGAGGAGAAGGAGGGGCTCGCGTTGGTGGAATCGGCGTGGAAAGAGAAGAATGTGGGGAGCCGGACATGATGGAAAGCGGCCGTATCGAGATAAAATAGAAAGAGACAAGGAAAAGCGTCGATAATGTCGGTAGTTGAAAAGAGCTTGGAGCTGGTACCGCAGCCGAAATTGCGTACAAGGTACGTTATAAAGATAATGTTAAAGTAGAGCTAGTTCGAGTAGTCAACGTAAAAGGCGAGGGCAATAAGCGGGTATGGGTGCGGACGGATGTGAGGGTAGGGAAGGAAGAGGAAAAACGGATCTCCTTCAACGATCCCCCGACTTTATAACCAGTGCGATGGGACAAATAATGGCCTTTTTGAGCAATTTGGGCCATTTTCTGGGGAAATTTTCTGGCCTTGCATGACTACGACGCGTCGTGCACTTCATAGGAAGCTTCGATTTCTCGGCAGCCACCGGCAGCGCGTCTCATCGACCGATGCAGGCTTCGCTTCCGACTCCAAAGGGAACTTGCCAGAAAGTCGGCTCTCCGAGACGTCCGAGGATGTGCGACGATACTTAGCGGATCCACCTGTCACAATTGCTGTCGTACAGTAATTTTGTTGGGGAAAGGTGGGAGCCTATGTCGCCAGGGAGATACATACAAGTATTTTTTACTTCGTACTCAAACTTCAGGCCTCAGTGATGGTGGGAGCCATACGGGATCTTAAATGAACCAAGTCAGCGCGGTAGTCAGACGAGAGGATATACCTGTGCAGAGCAGCTAGCTGCGACGAATGCGAACATACGGAATTCTATGCAAATGTTAGGATGATTGTGAACGTATTGCTTCGACCAACCTTCTCTTACAGGAGTCCTTGAGGAATACGTTGAGTTTCGTTTCAGCATCGATAGAGGGAAGGAATAATATACTACGCATTATTGTTGGGGATACCTGTCACATAATGTCGTAGACAACAGATGAGTGGATAACAGACGTACCGTAGTCAAGTCCTTGCGTCATTAAAAACATCTGGCTGGCGGTTGAAAAATCCAAAGGCTGACCGACTTCAAGGTTCCTCTCAATCACGTCCAGTATAGAATTTCCGCGGGACCATTCGACACATCAATCGCGATTTGGATGGGAACTCGAAAATTGATAGAATAACGGATATACAGCAGATATCATATATACTCCCATTGGAAACAATCCTGTATCAACAACATGAGAAAATAACGCTGTGGCCAACGAAAAGAAGCAGACCGTGCAATCTTCATCCTCATCGACGGGTTCCGGAACCTCTCGTCCTTCTTCCCAATCCTCGTTGAAAAGATTGTCGATGATCACCTTGATAGGATGATTCTGAACGTTGACGCTCCATCGGAGCTTCTCTACTGTGTCATATTTGATGAGCTTGCCCAAGTGGCAACGCGATTCCAGCGCATACCCACCCGTCGCACAGGTGGATGTAACGCCTGTGCACGTGCCCATTGGTATCGGCTAGTAAGGAAATTTGCTGTATTAGACTGGATTCGAGGGTGTGGAGCGAGAGGACAGACATCACCGGTATTAAAGACATGTGTTATGTGTTGCGTTGAAGGCTACCGGGACAGTCAGCATCAACTATAAATGACATAAGAGAACCTACAGGTGAAGGCAGATGCAAGCGACGAGCTGCCATCCTTTCGCTGGGAGCTTCGAATGCAACCACAGGAACGCCGAAGGTCGTTCCTAGCAGGGAAGCCAAAGCTCCCCCAAGCGAATGTCCGATAAGCCAGATATTAGCTTCGGGATACATATATGAGATGTTGTTGTAGAGATTCTGAGCATCTGTTGCAGCTTTATCTCAAAATATGTACGCGAAACATACCGTCCCGATAGGGTAGAATAAACTCTCCTCTACCAAGGTCTCCTGGACACAATCTAGACCACATTTGTATCCTCCCTGGTAGCATCCACAGACCGTCGACCATGTAGGGCCCACTCTAGCGCAGCAGCATGAAAACAGGAGGTTGTCGTTCAACTTATCCTTGGCAACGGTTGGTCCACCTCCTAACCATGGCACAGACGTGCCCTTGATGGAAATCACGACAGTAGACTCGTCCGTAGACACGAAGACGTGGCCGCGAAAGCCATCAGCGTCGGGCTCCCATCCATAAGAGTACGTCTATATAACATTAGCGTAGCTGCAACACGAGTCGAAAACGCAGCACATACAGCATTCCACTCATCTCCCAAATCATACCACTGTTTGTCCTTTGGCTCAAAGTATGAATTTGATGTCATCTTCGCCAGCTGAAGTAACGTCTCTCGTTTCTCTGTATGCGGTCCAGTCGTTGCCTCGTTGACCCACGCCAGCGGTTCAACCTCGTTCTGCAACTCCCTTATGCTGCGACGTCTCGCACTGGAATATGCCGCCATAGAAAATGGCTTACTGACGACTAGAGGTCTTGTATTGACGGAGTACATCTCGGAGACGAATCCAGACTTAGTAGCATCCGAGAAGACGATCCTGGACCCGTTCGATACAGCATGTGTATGTCTCAATTGGAAGTGGAGTTCGTTCGTGACCGCTGCATTATGTGAAAGAAATAAAGATATGAGAGCTTGGAGAGCAGTAGGGAGGTACGACAACATGTTCAAAGGTTAGTGCACGAGGAAGAGTAGACGGCTGCGTCACGGCCGCGAGCGGTCCGTGCTTGTGGCGTGGCGACTCGGATAGGCAATCACCGCCAGCGATTGATACTTCCCACGCTTCTGAATCCATTTACAAGTCACGAGATAGCTAGGCTCCACTTCGAAAGATTTTCTTGCACCATTTTACGCATACTCAATTCAATATTCGTATCGCAAGATTCTAAATTCCCAGACCAGTGCCTCCGCTGGCCCGGGCCTGCAAACCCGTGCGTTTTGTCAGTCACAGATGTCGCATCCTTCACTTCATCCGAGATGGCTGATTTCGAAACCAGATGAGCATTCTTTCAGCCCAGTTCTCGTGACAACAATTAGTAGAGCGGTCCGGACCACGTTTTCAGGGCTAATGCCGTCCACAATGCGGCCCGCTATACTATCTAAAGCTCAAGATGTGACACGTCTTCCTGAGTCGCTTTCCTCATAAGAGCCTTTGCAAAACTGATGGAGCCTGTGACTCATTGCCATGAGGATACTACTTGCGCTTGTAGCAGCCCGTCTCGCCGCATTGGCATATGCGGTAGACCAATCGCCTACGTCATCCTTGGGGCCTATTGTCAATCTTGGATATGCGTCATACGCTGGTAATGCAACATCCCCGGCTGGACTCGAAGATGGACCATTTGTTTTCTACGGCAATATTCCTTACGCGCAGCCGCCCGTCGGGGACCTTCGCTGGAGAGCACCGCGAATGCTGGATGAGCAAGCCCAGACGGGCCAGGTTGCAGACGCGAGGGGCTGGGGCCCTCCGTGTTTGCAACGCCCAGCTATGGTAGGAATCGGTTCAGAAGGTTTGATTCGCTACCGAAGCTCGGAAATCAAGCTAAAGAAGTATCAGATTGCTTAAAAGTCAACATCTGGAAACCCAAGTCTGCTTCTGAAGGAGATGCCCTTCCGGTTGCCGTTTACATTCACGTAGGTCTTAACATCATATAAGCCAGCGTGCTTCATATTCACGTTTTCCGCGTCTAGGGAGGGGGGTTCTATGCTAATGTGGGTGTTCCTTAGTGGTGACACCCTTTTCTAAGTTGATGGTTCACGATCTAGTCACCACAAGGGTTTCCCCTGTACGACTGGATAGAACAACACGGAAACTTGGTTGGCGTTTCTATCACCTATCGACTTGGACTCTTGGGCTTTCTAGGCGGCTCTCTGGTAGCTGCCGACGGAGATTTGAATGTTGGATTACTGGATCAGCGCGCTTCCCTTGAGTGGATACAGCGACACATATCCAAGTTTGGCGGCGATCCAGATAATGTCACCTATTTATGGAGAAAGCGCAGGAGGTGCTAGCTTGATTATGCAAGTCACTGCTTACGGAGGTCGGTTTTCTGTCGATCTCTTGACTTTCGTCAGGTGACAGTCTCTTTCTCAGGTACAAGACCGGTTCCTTTCAAGCGTGTGGTGGCACAATCAATAGGTTATGGGCCTACCCGAACCGAAGCAGAAGTGGAGGCAACTTTTCGTAAGTTTTCAAGCTTTGTCGTGCGTAGACTCATGGTTAAATCATCCAGTCTCTGCAACCAAATTTATTGGGTGTCCGTCATCTGGCAATGATGCCATGCCGTGTCTACGGAGAGCATCTCTCGGTACATATCACTCAAAACCCAGCTGCCACGAACTAACCCATTTACTCTTAGGAGCCATCGTTAGTGCCACAAACCGCATTCCAGGCAACCAACCCTCTCAATTTGCACCCGTCATTGAAGGCCCGGCAGGTTTTCTCCCCGGTCTGCCATCTCGCTTGATCGAGTCTGGGAATTTCAGCACTGTCGAATTCATTGGCGGACACTGCACAAACGATGGGCGGACGTTTGCTGGTGGTCCTCCAGAAGACTTTGTCACAGATGCCGATATCGAACGTTTAGTATTCTCCAGATGGCCTGCTGTTGTATGGCTCCTTTCCTTTATTTCGTCTCCCTTCACCTGCTGACGCTCATATATAGTCGAACGCCACGATGGCAAAGGCTTTAATGCTCTACCCCTCCCCACAGACCTCGGGCAGTCCTTTTGCGACTCAATATGATCGCGCATGGACGATGGCCGGAGAGGCGATTTTCACATGCTTGTAAGCTGATCTAGAAAGCACGCCTTTATCGCTGAAATTCGAGCGTTTTTGTAGTGACTGGTATCTAGCAGAAAATCTGGTTAGCAGAGGTGTAAAAAACGTATTTTCTTACGCGTAAAACGCTCTCTCGTTCGTTTTCCAACGAAATCTGATGTCCTTATTCAGGTGGAATGCTCCCGACACTGTACTATATAATGCAAGACCTTATCTAGGCGCCATGCACACCTCAGATCTCTACTATCTATTCTCCGGTAAGTGCTGTGATTTCCCCGATTGATGCATATTTAGCGCCCTATGACAGGTACCAAGTAAGTCATTGATAGTGCCCGGGAGCCGTCGGCATTGATGAAGCTACCTCAGTACATTCGGGAATGCAGGGAATACCTTTACGCCTTTCAACACCGTTCGTTGTCCCTCTGTTTCCGGTACAATCTTCTTCACTGACCTATATCTATTTACACAGAGTGAAGCTACGCTCTCGCAGGAAGCCATCAAGTACTGGACTTCGTTCGCTAGTACCGGTGACCCTTCATCTGATCAAAATGGTCACGTACCCCTCTGGGAGCAGTATGTTGGCTCCGATGCTCGTCGGCGAATGGTCCTCTCCCGTGGGAATGATACAGCTACAGCGTCTCACATGGAGACAATCCTGGACGACGAGATAGCACGGTGTAGATTTTGGATGAGTGAAGACGTGACTGCAGAGACTCGAGTGTAGCATCTCTGTCAAATGACGAATCCATTTGCGTTACAATAATGCACCAACGGTCTATGTCGCGGACCTCCAAGGGTTCACGTGTTTGGCGGCAGTCGAGACTGTACCCTTTGGGGCTAGCAGCTTCAACCACGATTCTCCGTCATTCACGGTTGTCTACCCAAGATATGACCGATATCAAAATCAATCATATGTCTGTGTTTTCAAACGATTTATGCTATAAAACGAACGGCCACGTTCATCCTCTTGCCAAGTAATGAGCCTCCTTTTCTGCCTGGTTCTGATGACATCTGGCCTTGCGTTAGAACACTTTAGTTTGAACCTAGGTCCTGTCGTTGACTTGGGATACATGGCTTTTGCTGGCAATGACACGTCTCCAAACGGCATACAGCCTGGACCAGTTGTCTTCTTCGGCGGTATTCCGTATGCTCAGCCACCGGTGGATGCTCTTCGGTGGAGAGCTCCTAGATCAATAGATGAGCACATTATTACAAACGAGATCATGGATGCGCGGAATTGGGGACCCCCTTGTTTGCAGGTCCCCGCAATGGTAGGCATAGGTTCAGAAGGTAGGGACCTGAAATATTTTTGTTTCCGACCTTGACTTGAGCCTACCTTGAAGATTGTTTGACGTTAAATGTGTGGAAGCCCAGAAATGCAAGCAAAGGTGATGCCCTCCCTGTGGCCGTCTATATACATGTAGGTCATTATCCTGTCCTGGTGCTGTATTTCCTGTTGACGCACCACTTAGGGTGGGGGGTTCTCTTCCAATGCAAGCCCGGATTTCCTTATAGAATTGATTCCGAAATCTGATAAAAACTCAGTCGCCTCAAGGATTCCCACTGTATGATTGGGTTGAACAACATGACAGCGGGCTGGTTGGCGTCTCCATTGCGTATCGACTCGGGATTTTGGGATTCTTGGGCGGGCACCTAGTTGCAGCTGATGGGGATTTGAACGTCGGCCTTTTAGATCAACGCGCCGCTCTTGAGTGGATACAAAGGCATATACACAACTTTGGTGGTGACCCCGACAATGTCACTATATACGGTGAAAGTGCCGGAGGCGCTAGTGTAATGATGCAAATTACCGCCTATGGCGGTATGTCAAGGTCTGTCAGGATCTTTGCCACCTACTGATCTTCGTCAGGAACACGACCTGTCCCCTTCAAGCGAGCAGTAGCGCAATCCATCGCATTCGGACCTACGCGCACAGATGTCGAAGTCGAAGAAACATTCAGTCAGTGCAGATCGTACCTGCCATGCCCGAAGCTCATCAGTAAATTTTGACAGGTAACGTCGCGCAACTTGTCGGATGTCCGTCGCGTGGCACAGATGCTTTGCGGTGTCTTCGTAAAGCATCTCTTGGTTGGCTCAATCAGTCAATTCTTGTAAAATATCGCTCAATGATAACCAGGTGCTATCGTTAGCGCCAGCAATCGTCTTCCGGCCACAGAGCCTTCCCAGTTTGCGCCAGTGGTGGAAGGATCGACAGGTTTCATGCCTGGCCTCCCGACTCGATTGATAGCGTCCGGTAGATTTAGCCCTGTAGAGTACATTGGAGGCCATTGCACTGGAGACGGTCGTACCTTCACTCTTGGCCAACCCAGCGACTACCAAAATGACGAAGATATCAAGGAATTAATCCTATATTGGTGGCCAGCACTAGTCCGTACTACCACGTTATGAGCTCATCTGTCTAACACGGATACTCGTACAGTCCAATTCTACCTTACACAAGGTGTTGAGGTTGTACCCTTCGCCAGATGTACCTGGAAGTCCTTTCCCCACGGACTGGGATCGAGCGTCGACCATTGCAAGAGATATTGACTTCTGGTGCTTGTGAGTGTACCGTTCGCTTCTTGTGTTCTAAATCATTATGGTTCGGTATAGGAACTGGTTCCTTGCTGAGAAATTGATCGATTCTGGCATCGACAATGTTTATTCTTATGCGTAATTACCCGTACATTCTCTTAAGTTTCTTGGCGTCCTCATATTCAGTTTAGATGGGACGCACCAGACACCGTGTTATACGAGGCTCAGCCTTATCTTGGCGCCATGCATACCTCGGATGTCTACTACCTCTTTTCAGGAACAAGGTAAGTACAGTAACAACCCACTCTTCAATGTCAACTTATCACGTTCTTATCAGCACATTTGGAAATGCGGGTAATACATTTACCCCATTCAACACTGTTAGTAGTTTCTCCTCTCCACGAAAGTCGTTTTTGATAACATAGCAATAGAGTGAGGCAACTCTTGCCAAGGAAGCGATAGCATATTGGACAACATTTGCTTCAAGCGGAGGCCCATCTTCGTTCAAAGCTTCTACCTTTGCCTCGTCGTGGGAGAAATACGTCACACCTAATAATACTCGGCAAAGGATGGTCTTTATTCGAGGAAACGATACAATGACTGCGTCGCAGATGAAGCCTAATTAGTGGTGCTGAAATCGATCGGTGCAAATTTTGGATGGACACCGATGTAATATCGGAGTTGCGAATCTAAAGCAAATGTTTCCGTAGAAAAGTTTGTCACTATCTCACTAGTAAAATTTACTTCCTTTCTTCCAGTACTATAGAAATGAGATAGATCCAGTCAGATCCAGTCGTGGCAACGACACATGGACTTGGATCTCAATTTCCCGCTTACACGTTGGTTCATGTATTGTATATGTATTCCGTAGGATGAGTGATGTAGAATTATAAGGGATATAGCGAACCATTGATTAAACGATACAAATATGCTGCTAGGACAAGACTGATACCATCTGGTAGGGTATAGAAAAATCAGATATAATTAAGACTGATGCTCAAATTGACCGATGATTCAGTCAAGCCCAAAGGCCTTGAGCTTTGAACAAGGCATATTAGTCTAAGTTTCGCGCACAGAGATATAAAGACCCAGAAGAAATGGATACACCACCTGCCGCCACCCTTGCACCCCGCGGAAGTACCCTTCCTTCCAGAGGAAGGTAACGGTAAATCTGCAACTGCCGCACTGGTAGGCCCCAATCTATTAATTGGACAAAAATGCAACACTGCTGCTCAGTCCACATCTGCAGTGCGCGGGTCCATCCCTCGCATCGCTCGTAGATTCATCACACCGCCTGCAACTGAACTCATCGCATGCCCGTAAAAGAATGCAGCCCGCGATAAGACAAGCTGCTCCACCAAGCCACGAAAATCAGTAAGCATCAATGGCCACGATAACTCGCCGCGTCGATCTTCGACGGTGAGGAGATCATCCATGAAGACGGCACCTTCTCGACGGAATCCCTCCAAGACCGTTGTGTCCCGCTCGTCTGTTGCAACATAGAACCTGATCCCCATCAGCTGACGATGATTCGGCTAAGCGACGGAGTGAAATACGCACCAGTCTCCCGGTAATGGCACCTTTCTCTTGAGGATGTCCATGTCTGGTGTAATGTGTAGCGATTCTGGGACATCGGAGGTTTTCAATGTCTCCTTCCCCTTTCTCACAGCACCTATGAACTCTCTGCCTTTCTTTAGATGGTTCTTGACTCTGGCGATATGCTCTTCTGGTGTCTTCTCCATCACCCAGTTGTATCCTCACAACTGAGCATCATGAATACAGACTCGTAATTGCCTAGAAAAAATATGACTCACAGTCACCGCGGCGCATATGTGCCCCCATCCAAAGTCTCCCTTCCGTGAACGTGTACATGCGCTCAACCATTGCATCCGCGAGAGCTGAGACGGTGTCAATCCTGCGGACGTCATCTAGCACCAAGCCGACATATTCATCCAAAGCAGCACGTGTTGTAAATCGCATAGACCCCTTCAAACAATGAGATATTTGGAGTCAGCAGAACCAGGGCGACATACGGGCTTCCGTCCATAATGTACTTCTCCAGCAAGCAGTACAACGTCTTCCTTTCGACCTTCAAAATCATTCTTGAATCCACGTAACGCTTTTCGAGGTGCGACCTGTCGTATTGGATCCACTACTGCCTTGCTGTACTCCATCCCTAATCTTCATAGGTGTCAGTCAATAATCCTTTACTGTGGTAAAAGAGGTACTTACAGGGGCTTAAAAGTGTGTACCACTTCCCATCCATTGTCAACTATCACCCTCTCAAGGTCTTCGTCGCTTGAGAGGCCCAGCACCTGCTGTGCAGTATTCCAATTCAGAAGTACTTGATCACCTGGAAGAGCGTCTTGTAGTGTTCTATAAATTCCTCCTTCGTCCGCATCCAAATCATTTGCCTCGTTATTAGTTGTGACCATCTCATCAACCCTCACGGTTCCGGGAGGGTCATACCACCCATTCTCGATGACATACAGTTCCGGAATCTTCCCTGTGAGTACATTTTCTGTCAGATGGTAGGATACTCTCTGCCATTGTCCGTCGGGAGCTTCGGCATCGCTGTCATGACCATGCAAGCGAAGATAATCAGATACAGTGATGACTGGGTGTGATTGGCGGAGATTGGTGACGTTGATCATCAGATTTATGGGTAGAACCCAGGCCATCTGTTGTTCAGTGGGAAGATCGAGCCATTCCTTGCTTCCCAATGCATCCCTGCAATGTGAATGGGTCAGAGCTTAATGACCGTAATGTTTGGATCCAAACAAGGCCACGTACCCTTTGTTAACCATCGTAGCGTAGTCGGAACATACATGCCTGTAGCTGTGTTAAGTGTGGGGAAATCGCAAGAAGAGAGTGTACACACAAATCGTACTCGCAACTACGCGCATAGATGAACGAAGGGATAATAAGTGTCCGGCGAAGAAGTTTGGCTTGTAGTAATGCTGATTCGATAATATACCGCATCTGCTCTCACGAAGTTGGCATAGGCCATAGTTGCAAAGTTGTCACATACATTATTCCAGCCAAGGTTCAAACTCCAATCTCTTGCGAGATAACCTTCCGTGGTGGACACTAGCTGTGCTAGTTCTTCTAATGTCAAATGCTCTGGATCGGTAGGTCGCTGGTGAACAGGTCGCATAGGCAAGGAACCAATTTCGGGGCTGACGACTGTCGGCGCAGGTTCAACACCGTGACTCATGTCATCGGGGTCTGGCGTAGCGATTGTGGGAGTGATGTACGGAGAGTCGATAAGGTTATGAGAATTATAAATATCGTTATCCACCGACAGCCATCCTTTGTCACGAGTCCAAAGTTCTGGTGTGAAGTTGTGAAATATACCTGCGCCAGCGAGTAAAGTAAATAAGAGCAATAAGAGCGTTCCCAATATACGCGTATATAAGATAGAGTGCCGAAAGGAACGCCTGTGAGTCTGAACAGGTTGAGGGAGATGAGGCATGGGCGAGATGGAGAATACAGCGCCAATGGGTGGCATAAAACAACACTTGCAGACTCCAAAGAGGCACTGCTGTAGACTGTAACAGCAAATATCACCAAGACGACAAAGATCCTAAAGCAAGGAGGAGCATGATTGATGCCCGTGATACTGCCCAGACGAGAGTCGAGAAGAGCTGACAATGAATTCCATGGGCTCGATCGACCGACCATCATATGTAATAATTGAGTTTATGGCCGGGAAAAGACAAGCAATAGGCGCTGAGCGCTGAGCGCTGATTGATGATCCATGGTACTCCAAGGCTTAACCCAAGGCGATATCTAAACGTAGTATCAACTTGAAGCTCAGCTACTGCCTAGAATGATGAATCAATGGAGCAGGGACGCGTTGCTTCTGCAGCGACAAAACCGGACAAAGATGGCCAGGGTTGACAATTCAGCGCGAAGAGATCCTCAGAGCCAGGACTCCTTGCAGCGATGGAACGCGGTACCCGGAAGTTTGAGAAGTTTGAGCGCATGCAGGACACGTGGCACACGAGCTAGCTTCCTATTTTTGGTCATCACCGCTCTTTACATTCTTCGGATGGGTTTTGACCAAGCTTTCAAGATATTCACTGCCCAGTGCCAATTGGAAGACCCATTTTATGGATAATCCTTGGGCATTTCAAAATCTTGGAGTGTCGCAAGATCATAGGATGCCCTGGGATCACGGTAACGGAACCCAATCAAGTTTCGGCAACATCTTGTTTCGAACTTAATGTCATTGTTATCTCTGAAATAATTAACCTCGTACGCTTCTATCTTCAAGAAATGCAATACAATCTGATATAGTGCTTTTCTTTACATCAGGGTATCTTGACCGAGGCTGTCTAGTCGTCATCGAAATGGTGATGAATGTATTTTCAATTTCCCGACGGTGCCGATAGGAATGATCCGGGCTAAATATCTTGCCGCAATGACACATTGTGCAAGGAAGGAGCGGCCCGATCAACGGAGAGTTGAGGTTATTGCAGCGGTTGCAAACATTTCTCACACGACGCCCATGAAATGACCAACGGCAGCCCTCATCATCGCCGCCGTCTCGCCGTCGTTCTCAGTCGCCGCAGCCCGACTTTTCCTTATTACTCGGCCCCGCCGCTGTTGCTCCTGCCTATCTCCCTCTGAGTCCCCGTCTGGGTCTCCTTTCATCGACATGGACACCGTTCAGTACAAACTATCTCTCCCATCGTCGACTGCGACTTTCCGTGCTAATCGCTATAAGCCACGGCATCGTACCCCTACGCATGCCGGTACCCCTGGTCTCGTTCTGATATGCGCCCATGGCGTTCCCGGTGTCAAAGAACTATATGAGCCTATCTTGCTACGGCTTTTCGCCCACGACGAGCACAATCGCCTGGCAGGGTCACCGCTGCAGATTATCGAAGCATGGGCAGTTGACGCGCCTGAAGGCGAGGACTCTAACACGATGACATACGCGCACGCCCTCGCTGCTCTCCGACAAAGCATATTCCTAACCCACGTCGATGCGTACGGGGGAATGCACCGCGTCATTCTGATTGGCTGGGGAGACGGCGCGAATGCTTGGTATGTGGCGTTATCTGATTGAGAGATCGGTACTTATACTAACCTAGTCGGGCGCAGCATTCTCTCATCAGATTTTTTCCCGCCAGGAGATCCATCGCCCTACGAGGGAATGGTTCTCGTTGATCCTGCCATTTACGACGACGGCGATGCGCCTCCTCCTCTTGCCCCTTCGGAATTGGAATGGGATTCGCCCGACCACGCGCGTGTATACCTCTCTTCACACAAGCCATGGGCCAGTTGGGACGCGTGGATGAGGGATATCTTCGTCGTACGCATTAAAAGAAAATGAATACACGCTATGTTACTGATTATACAGCAGAAGAACTCTCTGATACGTCTCCCTGACAATGGCGTAGCGCTAAAGAGCCCATACCGACCTGGAAAATATTCCGCAGCCCCCTTTTCTTTCCTCCCTTGCCATGCACCCTTCTCATGGGTCGTCTGGAGTGAGACGCCGCGACTGACGCAGTTCCCGTTCGCAGGAACAAGGTTTTCAGACGGAGGAGTTTATGTGGGTATCTTGATGAAGATCGAATGACTAGTGGCTGATAGTTTCTTTACAGGAATCACCCGTCAAAGTTGCCAATGCGATCTACGCTGCCCTTGAGGGCATGGGCGAGATGTACGATTTGATCGTACCCGTCGAGGGAAAGCTCTGATATAGGTCAGAGAGTTATTAATGTTAAGATCTAAGAAGTAAGGGTGTTTGATTGTAATATAGGGTGCTATTAATGGGATAGGGCTACCGGTATAATCGTTCTTCGCTTGTCAGAACCCTCGACGCGGGAACTCGCGCAGTTATATTTGTGTGGATGAAGGCTGTCTGAAATCTGGTCGGAAATTGGCGTCGCTTTCCTCATCACCGCATCCAGCGTCAAGTTTGTCGGTGAAGATATCAGCACACTGCGTTTACTTATGTTGAGGTACGTTGCATAGTCTTACAATTTTGAATTGTCACAGAACCAATACGAATCAACTCGTAATTATATAGAGCTGTGATTATCGTGCTAGCGCTAAATCCCGAGGGAACCGATTAATCCTATCGAATATGATGATCTAAATGATGATTACGACAGGTCAAGCCCTGCTCGAATAGAGTTACTTTCTACCATAAATATCGCGACAAGCCCCGTAGAAACCGATTTTCGAGCCCAGCCCACACGAATGAATAATAGGAATATAAACCAACCACCTTCAACGTAAATGGCGCAGCTTTCCAATGACCTCATCCATGTTCTTTACGTTCCACTCGCCACTCCAGCTCTGCTGCCACTTCTTCCTAGATCCTACATACGAATCTGATTCTGATTCCACTGCACTGCCGATAAACGGGGTTCCAGGTGGCGGAGTCTTGGCAAACGTTTTCCTATAACAACTAAGTCCCGGCGTTTCGAAAACCAGAAAAGTGGACATACAGGTAACGACTTGTTTCTTCTTCCGTTGAAGTCCTAGATGACGGCCTAGACATATTGGGAGATTGGTCCGGTTCTGGGAGCTGCGGACTGGAACGGACTATATTGAGATAGCTGCGTTTATGTCGGGGCTCTGGGGTGGACCGAGAAGTCGGGGGAAATAGTGACGGCGATGAGCTACGCGTTCGAAGGGGAACGCTTGGTTTGATGCAGTGCTGAGGACTCTTGGGCGGCCCTAGGACAAGCTCCGGAGGGATTCTTTCCCCGAGCATTCGCGTAGCTTTGTCGAGTTGGCGAACACGCGGGATGTCGATTTGGGTGTCAGAGGTATTTTGGGATGATGGGTATGCAGAGGAGGAGGAAGGTGTAATTGTTGACTTGGATGCCTTTCGCCGAGTGCTGAATAAGAAAGGGAAGAAAGAGAATGCTCTTCGTCGTGGATGATTTGCTTTGGATGATTGAGAGAGTGGGATGGGAAATGGGATTGTGGAGTGGGGCCGGATAAACTGTGGTTTATTTGGGACTTTCACCAGCGGTTTCGGTGTTTGTGGTCGACTGGTGTTGGGCGAGAAAGTATGCATAGTGAGCGTGAGGAGCAAAATAACTGTTGGTATCCATGAGCCCCACGAGGACGAGCAAAAAAGGATAAAGATCACCTTGCTGTAAATTCCGTGTTAATATTACGACGAACTTTGGCGCCGCGAAACTAAATATATGAGGAGTGGGAGGTCAAAAGGTGATAGTTATCCCGGAGTCATGAACGGTCAGATATAAGGATTCCCTTTTGACATTTGTTGCCAACTAGCGGTATTAAACCTGGCAACAGAATGGAACGAGGCAAAACCCAAGTCGGCCTGACCCGAGGTCAAGTTGGGTAACCTTGGGGTTTTTGGCTAAAGGTGGCGTCGGTTACTACGAGTTTTCTTTTTGAGGGTAGATTAAGTCGGGAGACGTTGCATGCCTACAGTCGTGTCGATCATCGCGCCTGATACATCGGTGCTTGCAAGCTATGGACAGCTCCGACGTGCGGTCATGACTATGGTGCCCAAGGAATTGTTGGCTTGGAAGGCACCGGGGCTGTTCAGCAGGAATGAAGATTCCGAGCTTATTCCTGTGCCATTCTAGCTGAAGGGACACCGAAACTTTCAGTGATTATTCGATAAGGGTAAATAGTAAAACACCCACAAAATCAAATGCTGATCGAGGGAGGGCTGCGCGACCACAACTCGTGCATCGTCTACACGCTTCAGACTTTCATTTGTAGTGAATACACAGTGAAATTGAATACAGAAGCGTAGGACTGGCACAGAAGAGAGTTGCCAACAATGTTGCCAAGCAGAGGCGCAGGTACTTCGGAAACAGCCGGTACCCTACCTGGTCGGGTATTGCCGAGTGGATCATGGGCACGTGAAAGACACGACTCTTTAGTTCTGTTTCCTTTGTTCAGAGCGTTGATTCAGATTTCTTTTGTCCAGCAACATATTTAACTGAAGCCATGCACTTCCTCAACTTATCTATCAACCACCATGTCATCCAAAGCCCCGTCTAACTCGCACAACGCAAATGTTGCTTCGCCGCCTACTGCTTCGAACAGTGTATTTCACTTGTCGCTGAACTTTGGGACGCTGACGCCTGGGACATACGTGAGCTTTTCTATGGCTACTCTTTACGTCCTATCTGACGCGTCTTCCAGACCTTTAATATCAGTATCGACCTCAACACATGCACTTCAACGCCAGGCGCAGCGGCCAGCTTTGCCGGTGGCAACGATTCTCTTGCGACATCCAATTCTGCTGCAGTTGGTGACGCCGAGTCGCAAACTCAGTGTGGCTCACCCAATGAGTACTGTCATGTATTTGGCTGTTCCAAGCGTTAGACTATTCCGCGAACTGAGACTATGGAGACGATTCTCAAGTGGGAGCGCAAAATAAACTGCTAGGACTGCGAAATAGATTACATTTGTACCACCGCAATTCAAGTTCCAAGATCAGTTTCGCTTCCGAACTCTTGCCCCTGGAAACCACGTCCCCCTTCGCTTAAACATGCTAGCCTGGAAGCCTAATGGTCTGTCGCCGCATATAAGCGTCCGCCGTTTATCCTATATTTACTGCCACCTTTCTCCAGCTGTTACTAAAGGGAGCTCATGAAACCATCTCTAACACGAGGAACAGCTTTCTCTGGGCTGAAGGACATAAAGCGGTTTGGATCTATTCATATCTCTAGCTCAGGGAAATCTTTCTCTGATGTCATTGCGGTCGCAGTCTTGGTACCGGTCACGGCACTTGCAGCGGTCTACAGATAGCACTGGACGACTGGACGAGATCCGTCCGTGCATAAGACGCTGGTAGAACCATTCCCAGGAGCTTTGGATTGGGCCTTCGGATCCTCGAGGTCTGGGATATACATCATCAGTATTACTTACCCGTGCGGCAACAGACGGAGGATGATTTGTGTCGGTGACCATTGCATCATTACTCATGGCGATGTGTACGGAATTCACTTTGAATAGTCTCCGCGTCCATACGCTCTCGAGGGAACTGTCGGATCGCTGGCTGTTTCCGAGCACGGAGAAGTGAGGAGCGGTATGTTCTCGTTCTCGAGTCGAAGTTCTGGCTCCGACTCGGGCACAAGAGTTTCCAAGTCTGAGGGCTTACTACCATCCTATTGCTCAGGACGATAACGTACGCAATTACTCGGCTATTTGGTGTCTCCAGGAGTGTCGTCATAAGTGCCAGACTAGGTTGAATGGACTTGGAAATGCTATGTGAAGAATGTAACCCAAGGCTCGTCTGTGGACCTGTGGACCTATAGGAATATGTTCACTGCGACAGCCCTGTTTCCCGTTCAGGTTCCCTTGGCGTCTGCATCTCCGTCGCACAGATATCCAATCCAATCTGACATGCAATTTTGTTGTATGGCCTCGTAGATGTACAATATAATAGATAACAAGCAGAGATCCCGGTGAATGTAGTATAATAGCAATGTATGCGTGAATGTCCCCAGAGTCCAAGAACCACTAACAGATAATACAACAACAGACCTGCTCTTCTGCCTCGTTAGTGGCAAGTTCCCTTTCTCTTTCTCTCTGCTGCTCCTGCTCCCGCTGCTGCCGCGCCTGTTCCTGCTGCCGCGCCGCTCTTGCTAATCGCCTCTGCCTAACCCATTCTATCCCCTTGCCCAGTCGTGCACAAAGCCCAACTCTGTTCTTCCTCTGCTCTTCATATGCTGCATCTTCAGCTGTATACGGTCGTATAGATAGGTGTACAATCGTCGGTGGAGGTTTTGGTGCGTTAGGGTCAGTTGCTGATGTCGGTGGAGCATTAATGGGAAGATTATGTGCTAGCCAGGAGGTTTCAGCGAGGCAGATCGATAGAGTAAAAGTAGCCATAAATACCTTGTAGCACTTCATCGTCCTGCCATACTTTCCCGAGATGCAGTATACGAAGATATGATGGTGCTGGCGGTCGCGGAGATTCGGAGGACCAGTCTGTATTCGGGGCCAGTTGTGGGGTTGCGTAAGTGACGATACATTAATCAACGCCCAACGAATTCAGTGTAGTTTGGATGGACAGAGAACAAGCGAGCCGAGGAGGGAAGAGAGCAGGAGGCGGGCCGGATGAGCTCAAAAATCTCGGAAAATAAGTAATAAACTGACCATGCGGCCATGCATTCCATATCAGCTCCTTGACTCGCCCGACAGTGTGTTCCGGGTTGAAAGACATCGTTCGGCGCTTCCCGGATAGCAGAAGGAAGGTGAGGGAGATATTGGGGAATTCTTCCTCGTCGTCACCAGTCTCCTTCTCATCATCACCGACGTCGCCACCCTCCGTGTCTGCCTCGCCACCTTGGTCCTCGTCTCCGTCCTCGCCCTCGACGTTCCGTTTCTCCCGTTCTTCTTCCTCTTCGTCAAAGTCGTCGCTCCATATTCGACTGCTCCGGCCTTCCTCACCTACCCAACCAGTTCCATCTCCTTCTACAGCGAGGTCGACCCTCGTGTAGCTTGTGCGCGCACTAGCATTAGTACTATATGCGTTCACCCCCAAGGCTGGCCCCATGTACCCCTCGGAGCGCACTCGCGTCAGTGTGTGCTCCGGCTCATCGAAAGTGACCGTGGGATGGGGACGCGATACAGCAGTTTTTGGTCGGGGCATGTGTCGTCTGTGTCAATGTGCTGGGCAAGTCCTCGTAGCGATGCTGCCTGTAGACGTACAGGAGCTGGTAGCGGTGCCCGGATGATGATGGTAAACGGATGAAGGAAGCAGCTTGGTATCTCTTAAGGACACAAGTCACTCCGTCTAACGGGGCTAAGTTAAGAATAGGAGAAATTTTCCAGGGGTCCGGTTCCAGGGACCGGATGCAAATTCCAGATCTGATGCTCACGTGGCACGTGCCATACATACCCGATTCCCGCTCACTCAATTTGACAATTTCACAGACACGCCGCCGAGCACCGCCAAAGACTCAACCGTCGACAACTCGAACAGAATAGGAGATGAGACCTCTATAAAGCTGAACAGTCGGAACTGATCTGGCTACCTTCCTGCGCCTCGTCCTCTTCCTTCACGGGGCTAGAACTCGACAAATGCGGGGAAAGCAGATCACAGGGTGAACTAGATTCAAGAACTGCATCAAAGAAGCTTTCTATTCATGTGCGAGTATCGGCTGCAGGGTGCTACCGAAAATCGGTTTCCCCTTTCAGTATGTAGGAAGGCTGCATTTTGAGTACTGAAAGTATTGCAACTTGATAACGAACACTCACTCTGCGTAACCTGTCAGATCTCTGACGACGAACAGAATATGTCGTTTCAAATAACCCGGTTCCTGATACTCGTGGCTCAGGTTTGAACGAACATTAAGAATACAAGTCCTGAGAATGTGATGGTTTCTTGCAAAAAAATGATCGACTCACTGTAATACCATCCAACGTGAATTATCTGCAGGCGCAAAGAGGTGTAGAAAGGTGCATGGATACCGAATCTCGGAACATTCGGTGGAACAGAAGCCTGTCCAGCCCGGACTGACGTACGCATATTGCAATTCGAGCATTCTATTGGCCAGGATCTATCAGGATGCAGTCGATAGGGAAAATCAATAGCACACCTCGACCGGACTTTATTCTATTGTATCCCATTCTATTTTGTCGCAAGACGATGAGCTCTGAGTGTACATTTGGGAGCCAAAAAGGAAGATGATGTAGTTATCGGACCCGGCGTACATATGTAACCTTCTGAGAGGATGATAGGGAAGCGCCAGTCAATCTTGTCAGTTTTATTTGAGTAGTCCCAAAACAGATTCGGCTCGTCAATTTAATATAATCTCTGAAACGCCTGACGCCCACTGAACATGCCAACTTTTCTTGGCCAAGCACTTATGCAGTGGGGCTTCAGCGCTTCAACCTGCAGGTCCCGATAACTGGACAGATGGAAGGCGCGTTGTCGATATATCACTGGTGCCAAGTAGGGGTTGCCTGAACTCGACACTTCCCCGGATATGTAATTCGACAGCTTGTTACCTCGATCATTTTGTGTCGTCTTGAGTGTGTTAAAAAGTCTCTAAAGCGCTGTTCATACTAAGAGAGTAGCATGCGGCCGAAGGATCGTCCGACAAGGACGAACGAGAGAACGTATCAATCAGGCGTAGGTCTATACGTAAGAAAATAAGCGCGGGGCCGGCGAGGCGGGAGAAGGAGGGCCCATACGCGCGTCGAGAACAACAGACCCGGGAGCATGAGCTCATGATTCCTGACTTGAAGCCGGAGCCGGAGAGACGATAGCAACGATTTACGCAGACTCGGTTTGTGTAGTTACGTGAACTACGATGACCTGATGAATCATCTGCGGAGACTCAAGCATTCAACGTAACCAGCAGCAGCAGTAGACAAGTGAGGACACAGAGTAAATGGAAGGGTGGCCTTCGAAACGCAGAGATGAACGGTAAGATGCTAGTCCGCATACCAGTAGCAAGGATTCATTGTGATTACTCTGCGGCTCGAACCGCAAGAATCAGACAAATGTGATACATCATCGCCGCAATTAGAACATTCTGTCCCAGATTGAAGATAGTCCAGCGATGACACCGGAAGTGGCGATAGAATGAGAAATTGTATATATCAGTAAAAGCGTAAGTCGCGAGGACGAGAAACAGGCGAAGAAATAGCGCACTTGGTTCGAGGCAACGGGTAGAGATATATTCCGTGTGAGAAATGGTAGTCAACGTTCAAAAAGTCGGGCCGTCAAGCCGACATTCTGAAGGTTCTCACGCTATTTCACTCTGCCGTCGTGACACCACCACTGATTGTTAGGTCTTGCTCAAGCCATGCTACGCCTATCGATAATATACTTTCTCTAATATATCTCTCAATTGGACGTGCTTTCCAAAGTTTAGCGATTCGATATTGTGGATGACATCCAACTAGTCCTGGTCTCGTCCTCCTGAAGCTGTTCAATTTCATCATCAGAGTTTTTCTATGAGGTCCTTGCGTTCCGATGAGTGAATCAAAATATTTTTTTTTTGCAATTCATCGAGTCAATATACCGAAGATTACCCCTCCAGCGTCAACTGCTTTACGAACGTAGCGCTAAAGCTTCAGAGGCAACTGTTCCGATAATGAAACGACTATTGGTCGTCTGACATTGCCTCAGATGGACAAATTATAGCATCGATGATACATCTGGGCTTGCTTCTAAGGAGTCTCACGTGTTTTCCCTGGTATTCGTGGCTGCCTGACCGTCGTAGACTCTCCTTCTATCGGCCAAAAATAGCCAGGGAATCTCTAGCGCTTTGAACCTCGACCACGGGCTGGGCTTGACATTTTATTTAAGGATTCAATTACTACGGGAGCTAGGTGACAACGAGGTGCTCAATTTTATTGCTGCATCAAATCTTATCCTGAACGTATTATGACTGGCCCTGCTACTTTCACAAGGTCTTTTCATAGAGTTCCCATCACCAAGTCATGCATGTTGGGGGATGCGTGGCATTTGCCTATAATTCTTCCGAGCCAGCTTCTTTTCCTTCGAAATAACGGTACTTCATTCCTAAGCTCTCCTTATTGGTCCCAGTGAGCGCCGCTCCCCTTTCCAATCTCAACGTAAATCAAGCAATCTCCCGACTCGCCTCGACGCTTGAGGGGAAATCCTCAGGAGAAGACACGCCATAGATCAACTTTCGTGGACGTCGGACTCTTCATTGCCAGTGAATCTCATAGCATTAGTCTAAATGACACAAGGACAATTTTGGAGTTTCTGCGGGATCCGCTTTCGTTTTCCGTTCTAGTGCGCTCGTACGATCTCTCCTTGGATGTAATATCTCTGCTAGCTCACTTCGTATATCAGAGATCTCATACGGACGCAATGTGATAATGGTACACCCCTCTTCATCGTGATCGATACTAGCAAATCGGCTAGATGTACGTTTTATGGATAGTTGCGACTTGGAGTGAGGCCGCGGAGAATTACCTTTGGTATTCCTCACACGGGTGAAATAACTAAGCCTCGGGCACCTGTTGAGAGCGAGCCTCCGGGCCTTTTTCCAAACGCCCCAGTTCCCTTTGTCGCAGCTGTATGTTCAAGTTAACACGTATCTAATAGGCTGCTCATTAATTAGCCAAGACGGGTGCATTTCAACAACTTCTACAGTAAAATATCAACATATAGACAATAAAGATAAGTATGTCACGAGTAAAAAGGTATAGGCAATGGTGAGTGAAAGATAGTATTATACATAAAACGCTGAGAATAGCAGTGGTGGATGGATGACGAACAGAAAGACAATCAATGTCTTTCTCTCCTGTGCTTTTGCATTCCCCTTCTGGCCGGCACTGAGGATGTGACACAAATCATCGCGTAGACACAGTCTCTCCATCCAGTATACATCAAGATCACCATGGCCTGTCCCTCTGGACTTCCCACCGTATAAGGGTTCCAATCACCCCAACCCAGAGGATTGACGGCTGGCGAAACAATTCCCGTTGGTGTTATATGTTCACCTTCCCCTAGTTCTGTCCTGATATTATCCGCCCATGGGATATATGATTCAAAGACATCGGGTCTTAGAACCGCCATGCGATATACTACCGATGCAAGCATGCAAGAACCAGATATCTCGGAAAACCAGGCGTCATCATCGAGGTAGTTGCGAAGCAGAGGCGTGCCTGTGGGAGTAAGCGCGATCGCAGATTCGATGATCTCGCGAATCCAGGACGTAAGGTCTTCGATAGCGGGCTGGTGCCAAGATTCTTGGGAGCTGACAAACGATTTCATGATAACAGCAAGAACACGAGTCATGCCGGCTACGATGAGGATAATAAGTACATGTTTGCACAAAGAAGAGAAGCAGGAAAGAAGAGAGATCAGAATCACCTGCGAGATAAACGTGATGGAAACTAACTTACCAGCCGCCCATCCATTCCCTGTACTCCACAGACCAGTATCACTCGACTGAGGACCGACTATATGCGACCATGCGCCATAGTACGACTCGTTCTGGATGTACTGGGATTGCAGGATCTCGCGATAGTAAGCACACTGCTTGTAAGATTCCTCAAGCAATGACCCATTCAAAGTATCTGCCGCGTAATATGCGATAAATGGTGGAGCCATATACATGAAGTCAGCCCTACGATAGAAATGAGTCGAACGTATAAAGGCGGGGTTGAAAAAGACGTGCCACAACTCTGCAACATCAACCCTCTGGCTGATGGCACCCGACTCGTTTTGGTACCTCGGCGCCTGTTCCAGCAGGTATCGAATCTGTTCTACCGCGGCTTGCTTATAGGTGTCGTTTGTCTTACCGAGCAACCATGCATACACGCCTAAGCTAGCTGGATCGCCTACCGCTCCGCTGCCATCGCCCAACACATTAGCTTCCGTGCCCAACACAATTTTATTCTGCGCGTACGCGAGAGCCTTGACTTGTTGAGGATCTGGCGCCGGGGCCGGAAAAGGATTGGGACCAAAGACAGATAGCATAGGCGAGTAGAGCTCGAGTAGGGCCTCTGCGGCAGCACCAAACTCCCAAGTATGGTTAGGAAGGGATTCGACGAGGGAAATGACAGCGAATACATCCCATCCGGGGTCTAAGGCCAAGGGGTTGCCGAGCTGAAAGTCAATCTATCAGAGCACGAACCCGCATGAGGATTAAATATTGCCTACCGTATAGCGAAATGAAAACGCTAGGCCGATGAGCAAGAGACCATTCCTCATCAGAGAAGAAAGCAACGGAAAACGAAGAGAGAGCGAAGTTGCTGGGCGAGTTCGGATTCGTACTTGGCGGGAAAACAAGATAAAAGCCAAGAAGAGAAATACAGGTGAACAAGTTGGTCCAGCCTTTCTTGGCCTAGTTCTTAGGGGTCATGAAGACAGTTCGACGTTTTATGTTTGCCGTGGCACCAGAAATCACGGCGATTCACAGCCAGCTATCCTTTAGAGCCAATAAAGAAGATATCCATCTTGGCGTTCCTGTGATTAACAAGTAACAGGTTACCGCACTGCCGCATAGAGTAATAGCACAGATCGCGGGAGGTGAAGACTGCTAAGCGATATCGATCACGATCAAATTTCGATATTTTTGTTGGCCCTTTTTGATTGCGTCACCTTCTGCCTCAGCTTCCTGGACGCCGGTCGTCAATGCTTGTCGTCAAGGGGTGATTATAGCTGTAATACTAATAGCCGGACTGCTGTGTACTGATGTATTGTATTTGCTATTTTACACTATTCATCATCAACAGTTTTATTCTTCTCTTACAAGCCAATCATTCGAAGTTCTGGATGCCATATCGGCGGGAAAATCGAAATCCAACTGAAATTGTTGACACTACGGCTATCTCCCATGGAGCCCGTCTAAACTCCGTCTCTTTTGTATTGATGTGCTGCGCACAAGACTATTAATCAGAGTTCGGGAAAGATCTGTTTCAAGGTTAGATATGCAGCTCCGTATTTGTATCTTTGCCCATGGAGAGCTTATGCCGATCGATTTCAATGTCTTCAGTCGAATAAAGGTGTGCCATAGGATGGGGCATTTTCCTTTCAGGAAGCAGAAACAGCAACTTTGAACCAACATGGCTTCTTGGCAAGGATCACCTCACTCATGATTGCATGTCATTAAAAGCGGCTTCCGTGGGCAATGAAAATGCTGATGATGTTGAACTGATTAACATATTACCTGCATTTTAATGTGCTGATAGAAACACTATGATGATATTGAAGATTGCAAGTCAGCACTGTACTCAATTTGTTCCCGAAAAGAGATAATTGACAGCTGAAGTATCCATGAGAGCCCCATAGAACGATGTCCACTGTGTTCTATCTATCTAAGTTCGATATGAAGGCACGAGTAGGAACATATAAGTCAGGTAAATGGTGTTCATGCTGTAACCAATCTTTGAAGAAATCGGTCCTACGACAAGATATGTAGATGGATCATAAAATACACAATATGGAGATAATAAAGTAGGCTCATACAAGACCATAATTCATAGCACAGTCTTAGGATGCCACATGTAGATATCGAGAATGAGATAAATGGGTGTCTATTGCGATCTAAAAGATAAGAAACAAAGAGAAGAGTGACAATCACTTGCAAAGATGTGTTGGAATGTCAAGTGTCACGCATCATGGTGCAGTCGACATCGGGATCTTCAGTAGGAAGCACCGTTCATCTGTTCTCCTCCTCGGCTTTCCTTATTACATCATATTGCTTCTATTAGTGTACACGGCATGTAGATAAATAGGTAGACGAACGACGATGACCCTCGCCTGTTTGCGAGGGTTCCCTGCTATATCTGGGTGAGCGGCTGGAGAATTACTGCTTATCTCAACAAGATGCACTACCCCATGCTGACTCAGTGCTAGTCTTAGTGTGAGCTAGGAAAAGGAGGATAAGTGTTGAATATACCATCTACAAACAAGCGACGATTACCTATCTATAGACTTCTTCCTCATAAAAGGTGCAGCCTGTATTCTCGCTCTTTTAGGATCTCCAGGTCCTTGCTCAGCTGAAAGGGGGTGCTTTTGAGGCACTGAAAAAAGGTAGGTGAGATAGTGGGTGACATGATGATTAAATACTGAGACTAACAGTTGTATGAAAGTTTGTGATGGGACCCTGTGTTGCCTGTGTTGATCTGGGGAGACATGGAGTTCGCATGGAGGTAGTAGGCTGTGATTTGTTGGGTGCTAGTGTTGACACAGTGCTTGGAGGACCAGGTTTCATGGCATTAGTGCTGATCTGGCATTGTGCCATGGAAGATGGCTGTAAATCTAAGACAATGTTGTAAGCAATTCATCAATTGTGATGAGGCTCTTACCAGGAAACTCCTGCAATCATTTCTGAAGGCCATCAATCTTCCTGTTTCTCTTCATGAGTTGTTCTTCTACCTTCTTCATTTTCTGGTCCTTCTCAGTCACCTGCTGCTCAAGCACAGTGATACAGCCCCTTGCCACTTCATACATTCCTTTGAATATACTGCTGATTCCTTGAGCCACCATCAACCATTTCCGGGTTGATACGAGCAGATGATGAGGCAAAGAGGGCTTGGGCTCTTCGATTTTTAATAGTTCATTGATGCCACAGGTGGGATATATCTTCAGCAGATGACCTCCAATATCCCTCAGTTGCATGACTATGAGGCACATGTCATTGATGCATCCAATGAGCTCTTGGGTAAAAATAATGCGATCCTTTCTGTCCTTGACATCAATATCCAGGCCTGCCAGGTTCAGCAAAGCCTGAATGTCTTTCAGGCTTTGCTCAGCTTTAGAAATGGCTATCACAGTGTTAGCAACCGATTACACAAATAAGATCAAACAGTAACACATGACTCGCACTTCAGTCAGGTGCAGATACTGTTTGCAGGTTTATGTGCAGGGAGCATGCACACTTAGTTATAGAGAGTGAGTTCAGACTAGTTTTTGGGTGAATAAACTTTAGTTCGAGACTGAGGTTTAAGACCTGCAGTCGAGATACTTATATACAAGTTTGGATACATGTAACCAGGGACTCTGGTTACTCACTGGCTACTTCCAGGATACTCAGATAGACAGTAGCATACGATTCTCTCTCTTTAGCTTACCATCACCTGTCTCATCTCGACGTCCTTACAGAGCTCGTTCCTCACACTTCGTGTGATTGAGTTCTCTAGTGTTGCTTCGTGGCTACGAGCCTACACTTTTTTTTTGTGACCTTCATGCTCTGCTGTCTTTTGCTTTCCTTCTTTCACTCTGGACAATGCCACATCATCACCTCGTTTCACATGTTGGACCATGCAGCGCTTCAATCTCCCAATTCTTGAACCTCTTGAGAGGCCTGATTCATGGTACCAGCCTGCTGCACCAGTGCCTGTTGCACCCAGTCGTGGGCCAACCCCTGTTGATGATGATTTTGATGGCCAACCCTTGCCTAGCTCCTACTCTTCACCTAACCCTGCCCACCCTGTACCTATCCCTTCCTGCCCTGTATCAATGTCATCAAAACTCGACCTGCCGACTCTCACATCCATCACATCCACAGATGTCCTTCTATGGCTCATGCGTTGTGCAGATTCCTTCGAGGCCTGGTCAGCGCTGAACAACGACAAGAAGCTCAAACCTGAGACTCAAATTCTGGTTGCTGGACTCAAGATGGAGCATACTGAGGCAACCGCTTGGTGGAATGAGTGTAATGCACTAACTCTAATCTGAACCAAAGCTGATCTCTATCCTGTCACTCACGTTTGGTGATTCAGTGTTAGAGAGGCGTTGGTAGATTTATAAGAGGTTGGGCATTACTTATAGCAAAAGCGAGGAGCTCATAAGAGTTAGGAGTATATAACCTTAGCTAAAGCTAGGGTCTGAGGCCACAGTGAAGGCTAGCTTAAATACATGTTAGACTCGTACTAAGAATAGTGTCTACAAGGGTGCATGCAGTGAGAAGTGCGTCTTTCAACGAATGAGGAGGGAGGACACTAGAAGAAGCATGCTCCCGACGAATGAGAGTAAAGAGCGCATATCACCTGCATCTGCATGGGACTCCGTCTGAATAGGCTGCATCCCATAGACCGCCCTCGACTAGCGGTCGACTCCTGTCCAACTACTAAGAAGCATGATGCCATCAAGAGAAGCATGATGGTATCACAGTTTTACCCTTATTTTCCTTATCTTATCTTATCCTTATCTCTCGGAACCCTGGACCTGCCTATCTTATCTCCCAGACCCATGATATTCTGCTGGCACACTCCTTACCCGTATACCCGGTTGCCGTCACCCCAGTTCACCCCTGCCACCCCCAGGTGACCAATGACCCGCATGCACTGAAGAGGCTGGCTGTGGGCACCTGTGGAATAGTGAGCAGGCTAAAAGGCGAACCTCAAAAACCCACACACACACTCACACAACTACATGAACTACAATCACCCTCATAAGTTCTAGGGGGAGCGATTATTTCTAATGCGATCCAACTATACTTCAATATCTCGAAGAGTTTCTCTTATTCTCAGCGCTCTTAGCGAAGCTAAGCTTTCTCTAATGACTTCCTAAGTCTAGGAACTTTTTACAGGAAGGTCGTTCACTGGCGCGACGCAACCTTCAAGGCAGATTTGAGTTATAATACACAAGGGACACTGATCCCAACAGAAACAGAGGCAATACACGCCAAAACTTTAGTGAGCTCGCTAAAAGAACACCACAGGCAAGCACTGACTTAGCCCGCTCGCTACACAACTGTATGTAGGGGTTCTCCAACTAACTCCAGCAGGTTATCTCGACTCAAGAACACTTCAGAAGTGCTCAGAAAACAGATTCAGAAACAGAACTTCGAACAGGACTGAAACAGAACAGAACAGAACAGAACAGAACAGAACAGGACAGATCTCAGATTTCCACTTCAACACATTCTCCGAACAGACTTAACAGACTTAACAGAACAGAAACAGCGTCACTGATTCGTATTCACTCTGACTAAGTTCTCAAAAGTCTTATCAAAAGGGTATCTCGTATTTCTCTGAGTGAGCTCGCTAATTCTACGCACAGCTCGAAGTCACAAACTGATCCTTTGTTACAGTACCGCCTTCAACGCGTGCACGGGAACTCGGGGGCTCGAAACCTAGCCTCTACCTACTGTAACCAGTCTACTTATACTACAGGGGAATTAGAATTACAAACGTCGCGCAGTACCCAGACTCCTACATGCGTAGCACGTTGCCACCACTGCCTTACTGAGCATCCGAGTTGGACTTCCCAGTTTTAGTCTCATTTCTATAGTGAGCTCGCTAAACGCGTGCCAAGAGGTGCTCTCCCGACACCCGCGGGCTCGTTCTCTAGCGACCGACAGGTCTAGGCGCACGGAACTATCAGTTCTGGCGTATGTCATTCAGGACTTCTTTCTTGGATTCACAGAGGCTTCTCGTAGACACGGCAACAAGTGAGTCTTCGAACAATGGGACTCAGAACAATGGAATGCGGGCTCACGGACTTCGGCCGAAGCCCATTGCCCAAGCTCGTGCCAGTGATATCTGTCAGCTCGCTTAAGGATTTCCCCGGA